TCGATCATGGACTAGAGGAGCAGCCTTTGCATATGGTTGCAGAGCTGTTTGAAGAGAGCTTAGAGGAGAGCGCGTTTAGCGATGACGAACACATCCAAGGATCGATACACAAGCTGGACCCTGCCCCATCGGTGTCGACAGCTTCAATAACATCGTCTGCAGTCATAGCTGCTGCAACAACTCCTGTAGGATCACTAGCAACTATCACTTCGATATCCAACATTGGCGCCTCTCGCAGCATACGTGCAGACCGTGGTGAGGAACAGGAGCCCGGCTCTAAGGATTGGGGCGGCCCAGATGATAGGCCGCATAGCTATCAGCCCATGACGTCCGCACGGAAACACCCCGGCCCAATCCACCAAAGACATCAGATCAGAGGTTTCTCCGCGGATTCTGAATCTGAAGGCGAGGTTGAGGATGATTTTGATGCGGCTGAATCAAGTCAACACTTGCGCTTCGAATCTACACAACTCTCGTTGACGCAGGAGGAACTGGAATTGCAGCAGCAGCGTCAGCTGGAGGAGCTTCAACGGAAGCAACTCGAACAGCTTCAGGAACTTCAACGCATGCAAAAGGAACAGCAACTAGCGCTTCAAAAGGCACACACTCGGCTTGCAGTTCAACATAGATCCCTCGTGGACGACGACACGGATCGAGGCGACCACAATCCACGTGAAAGGTCACGCACTTCAAAGACGATGCTGGATGTTTACAAGCAGGATCGCCATCCACATCCAAATGCGCATCGCAACGAAAAAGTGCGGCGCCATACAAGTTCTTTTGTGGAACCCCGACAGCCGCTTCCAAAATCAATGTCACCTTCGCCCATCCGTGAATCACAGATACGACGTAATGAAGGCGGTCATACTTCACGATCGAATCATGCGCGCGCACATCCATCCAACAGCAGCATCTCAATCTGTTCAGTACCCCACGATATACTGGATAATCTGGACCAGGACGATTTGCGACAGCACAAGTCAGCCACTCGACGAGCGCCACTCGAACCATTACAGCAACAGCAGCAGCAGCAGTTGGAAAATAAATGTGGAATCGACTCATCACTGGACGAGAAGCGTCGCCTGCAGTTGCAAAAGCAGGAACACAGACAGCGTCAGCAGCAGAAGCTCCAACAAAATCAGCAAAAGGAACAGGAATTGCTTCGTAGACAACGTCAACTCGAGCAACACCAGCTTCAACGCAAGCAGCTGCTACTTCGGTTACAGGAGCAACAATCTCAGCAGGAGGAGCAACAATTTCAGGGGCAGGAGAAGCAGCAACCATCTCGGAATGCAACCCGTCTACAGAATCGTCCTCATCCGTCCTCAGTGCTGTCCCCGGCTTTGGCTCGGCCGACGGCAGCGACAGCAGAAAGGTCATCAAAACCTTCTTCGATTGTGGGATCTACAGTCGTAACACCGAAAAAGAAGAAGCCGCTGAACCCAGTCCAAAAGGCTCCTGGCACGGAAAACATTTTGGCATCTGCTCGGACTCCTGATATCCTGCGGTCGACTTTGACCGCAGCCGGCCCTGCGCTCTCAACAGCAAAGAACGTACTGTTGGGAAGCAAGCGTATGCATTCGGTGTTTGAGGATAAGGAAAACTTTGCAACGCCGCACTCTTCCTTGCTGCGCAAAGACCGCTCGAATGCCTCTGGAAATTCGAATCTGTGCCATGGTCAGCCGATACATTCGCCAAAAGTTTACAAGAGACAGAGACCGACAACAACTTGGATGGCCAAGGATCCCGCACCAATGGCACTAGTATCGAGGAGCAACACTGTCACTTCCATAGCAAGCACAATTTCAGACCCCCTCGCCATCGCAGCCGCGGCCGCCTCACCATCACTAGCACCGTTACTTGCATCCTCACCTGCACGGCCGGTTCCTCCACTGGTACATTCTGCCTCTGCAGATTTTGCCGCTGCGCTGGTGTCACCTCCGCCAGCACTGACGACATCATTGCCGACGGATACCTCGGCCAGTGTACAGATGCAGACCAACAAGGACTTTATGAATTGCTTTGATCAGTGGATGTCAGATCTGGGTAGCGAAGACGTTATGGGATTTTCCCTGAATAGCAATGCTGGAGCCCAACCAGCGTATAATCTGGAAACAGCGGGATTGGTGACGAGCAATCCTACAGTGCGTGAATTAAGTTGCCAGGTAACAGCACAGAGTGGAGCAGAGGACGATGTTGGGACAGGTGGGCAGTCGGAGCTGGATGATGAGGCCGAGCTGGATGAGTCTGAGATCGATCGATTGCTTTATTCGGAAGTTGGCGACGATTATGGACCGTATGGCGTTGGTGGTCAGGGATATGTGAGCACACCGGGGTCTGAAATAGGTGGCCGTGGACATAATGGCGATCTTACGAGCGACCCAGTGACATCAGATTTGTACGATTGGTTTCCGGAGACGGTTCAGAACTCAGTGGCAGTGACAGTGGCAGAACCTTACGAAGCAGCAGCAGGCGTGGTTACGGAGCAGCATTTATCGTTGCTTTCGATGGACCCGACCTTGTCCTCGTCCCCCGCAGAACTGGCATATGGGTCGGATCTGGGATTGGAGTTTGACACGACAGGGGATCCGTTGTGGTTGCAGCAGGAGCTGCAGTTGCAACAACAACAGCAGCACCAGCAGCAAGATCCACAAGAGTCGCAGCTATCTGAAGACCAGCAGCAAGATCTGGCGGAGCAATTGCAGCAGCTTCAGGAGCAATCGCAGATTGAGGAATTCGGTTCATCCAGAGCTGGGACACCACAGTTGGACTCTACAGACTCGACACTCCTATCGTCGACGCTCAGCGATGTGCTCTCGCCGACAAGGATTCTGGCACAATCACACCATTATATACCCATGGGACCTGGAGGACAGTTCTTGCCGGTTGGAGAGCAAGAGTATGTGGATCATTTCGAGAGCGAGCCTATCCACGGCAACAGCAAACACGCAGCTTTAGCTGCTCTGTACACATCTTTGTAATTGATCTTTTCGTAATAAATCCACACTTAAGTGATAGCAACATGTCATCTGTGAGTAATTATGGTAATATCGTCTTGATTAGCTCTCCACCTTTTCTCAGCTCCCGACACCATCATCATGGCTATTGAAGACCTGCTCAGCATACCAGAGATCCACGACCTTGTTGCCATGCTTCTCTCCACGAGCGACTATCTCGCGCTGTGCCGTGTCTCCAGGCAGTTCCACACAATCTTCATACCAAAGATATGGAGTCGTGTCTATTTCGATCGGCCTCAGGACCTGGACTCTTTCGAAAAGGGACTGTCAAGGCACGGCTCTCTTATCCAGCACTTGAGAGTCGCCAACCAGGCCGGACACAACCGCCTTCCATGGCGCATCCGTCAATACTGCATCGGCATTGTCTCTCTTGTTGTCCTGGATCACAACATCCAGATTGTTAGCAGCCTGCTATTCCACGATGACACACGCACCTTCGAACCGCCGTTCCGTTCGCTGAGCATTCTGGAGCTGGATCTGAGCACTGATGATTGTCAGCTGTTTCTTTCGGCCTCCCTTGCAGCAATCAAGGCGAGTCGCGGTAGTTCGTGGGCATCTCTCCACAGCCTTCGCATCAAGACAGCACGATATCGAGCGATCTTTTTTTCGCTGAGCGACTTTCTGAGAACATTTCCCAATCTTCGACAACTTCGTCTACATTGGATGACCCTCAATGAGAACAAGACCCACAAGGATGCGAACATGGCAGCCTCTTCTAGCGAGTCTGTGAACTGGATTCATGGGCTTCACGAGTTATACCTGCCTCGTACTTGCATTTCTGCCCCCAACTTGTTAGAAGCTTTACAACGACTGCCACTCCTCCAGAGCCTCCATATTGCGGATTTTAGTAACTATGACGGTATTCAGAGCGTTTTTAAAAACCTGCATATTTTCTGCCCGCACCTCACCACGATCGCCATGCTAGGAGATGGTCACCCGATATCGAATGACCTATGGATCGATCTCTTCAGAAAATCCCCAGGACTCCGAGGATTCCACATCGGCAATACAGGTTTCAATGATGCGGCACTTCGGATGCTGCAGCATCATTGTGGTGATCTCGAAGAACTTTCCATTTCATCTGAGCCGGCTGTGACCGCCCAGGGTGTGCGTGAAGTGTTGGAGGATTGTCCACGTCTTGTCCGGTTGGAGCTGTGGTTGAGCGGGCTGTCTTCTGAAGTCTTTGTTGGTCTGAGAGAGTGGGCATGTCGAAGGACACTGTCGGAGATTTTCATCAGTCGGCTCGAAGTACGCACGAATGACCATGAACAGATCGGGGCCCGTCTACAAGGACTGGAAAATCTGAGGAGACTGACATTTGGCTGCGACCGGGGCCACATGGACATGCTGTTGTTCAGACAGCGCGGACAGGCGATCTACCCAAAACTGGAATTTCTGTGGCTCCAAAACATGGAGCCGAGAATGACTGCCGAGCAGATGGGACAGCTCTTGGCTGCGCTACCTCGGGTTCATGAGATGACAATACTCCATTGTCTCTCAGACGAGGCTAAAGAATGGCTTCAGCACCACCACCACCACCGGCACCTCAACATACATGCAATCTAATGATCGCAAGCAACTAGTATGATTAAACATTACTCAGTTTACGAAATTGGTTAATGTAGGGAGCTTTTACGATAACCTAAAAGACTTTTCTTGTCATTTAAAGAAGGGTTATGCGCATGCACGAAAGAAAAGAGAATAGGCGAAAGAGAGAAAGCACAGGAGATGCGAAAAGGTATGGGCATAATCCCAGCAGCTTGCGTGATCGCTCTAGCTGCGAGTGCATTTTGTTCGCTGTGGCACAAAACAACGCGTCCTGTATTTGTTTCCGAAACAGGCGGCTGTGCACATCGATATGCGCCCCCTATGCACCTGCATCCATACACAACATGCATAAACAAGTTCACACGGTCTTTCTTTCACTTCCACTATGTTTGAACCAATCCAGAAAGCAGAACGTCCTGCTCTCCATCAAAACCAGAGCCATCGCAACCAGCACAGCCAAGCACTATCGCGTCTATACGTTTACATAGCTTTGGCCAGTTGCTCATGAACCGCTGCCCTACCACCATCATCATCATATCTGGGCCGTAGCCATAGGCACACATTGCACTTCAAGGACTGGAGCTTCATAAACCTTTCTTCTTTTAATACTTTTATCGCCTCGCCTCTTTTTAATGAACACTACAAGTCCACGACGCAACAGCACCATACTCTTCGCTACCAGCCATGTTTTCCACCTCAGCTAGCTTTTTCTTTCTCTGTCGTCCCGTTGAATCTTTGGATAAAAATCATTTCATATCATTTTCTGCCGTAGCGCTTGTCTGCAGCTTCTCTGCAATCAATACCTCAGCGTTTTTATTTATGTTTGTAGAATCTGCATACACCTCCTACTATCGTTATACCCAGCGCTAACAGCAACAGCATCTTTAGCAACATTCCCACTCCCACCAAGCTCAGTTCTTTTAAAGTGTTCTGATCCCGTTGCCCTACGATTTAGTCCTTGTTCTCCCAAGAACTATGACCTATGATTATATCTTTCTCAGCCGCTGTATCTGACTTGGACATCAAGTGCACTTGCGGGGCTGATGTTGGACCTACTGTTGCGGAAATGATTTCGAGAACTATTTGAGGGAGGGACTCTTGGACTTCAAGGCATACGACTTTACGCTGTTCTTACCGGACTTAGACCACAGTCTGCAACTAAACTCGTACTTTTGAGTATCCCCAGGCGTTTACCGCACAATGATTAGAAGATCGTTTTATGATAACGTTCCCGGCTGAAAGAGTGATCTTAGCATTGTATCATCACCCAGTCATGGTCGATCGATCCTTTAACGGCGTGGATTATCATGGTATGCCTGAAACACCAACTTTTGAATAATAATTTCAGCAACAACTGTAAACGCTAACACGAGATGAGCTGCATCATATGTTCTTGTTTTTCGGACAAAGGACGGCATAGACAATTCGGAGCAGGACCCGTCACATCAATGGCACCATGGGGATTAAGTATTCTCTCGTGGTAAGCACTCTTGGACACGCGTAGAGCGTATGCGGCAAGGACGTTTAGAGTGCCAACACTGGAAGGGAATAGAAGGAAATTACGAGGAGCAGCTCGACAAAAAAGATATAGAGTTCGGTTTTGCCGTCGTAGGAGAGGATCGATGAGCAAGGCCTTTTCGAATGATGCGGCAAAGACGAAGTAATAATTTTTAATTCGTAGCAACATACCCAATAAATGGATACACCGGGTAGGCGGCGGATTATGGTTGCCTGCATCATTAAATTCTCCTTTCATTCAGCTAGCATTCCGTCCGATGCAACGTATGTTCACCCCAAAGCATTTACGCGTTTGCTGATTGCGTCCAGTTCACTAGGATTGCATTACAGAACACCATGCTTGTCTTTTACTGAACTCAAAGCACTCTGGGTTACATTTCCGCGCCCGCTGAAGATGTGTATGGTATCAGCCTATGCTTTTCTTTGCGGAGGAGCCTGACGTCGGAAACGCATGGCAGGAAGATGATAGCTGGAGATGAGTCAGCAGAACCCGCGGCAACGAAGAGATTGGAAGCAGGGTGATGGCACATGGCCCTTACTCGCGCTCTCTGGGATCTAGCTTCAACTCCACACAATATGCCGCGTCCTTCTATGAATTCATTTGCGCTTCAAAATGCGCACTTTTCGCTGACAAACATCGTATCGCCTGCCATTTCACTTCCATTCTGCCCGAGCCGTGCGTAAAGTGTAAAGTCATCAAGTTGTGTAATCGTAATCGTAATTCAATTGGTTGGGCCAACCTTATTTACAGTTGTCCCTCCCTGTTTCTTTTTATAAGCTTTACACTTTTTGCATCTCTTTCTGATTCATCATTCCACACCTGGTACCCCTCATCTTCCTCCTCCCCTTCTCTTCCGAATCTCTCATTCAAGCACAAAGGCAACCACCATGTTTGAAGGACTAGGAGACTGGCTGCTCTCCGTCGCAGCTGAAATGCCCTTTGAGACCGACTGGGAGTCGTCCTTGCAGGGGTCCTGGTAAAGAAAGATATCCACGGGTTCTACATCCAGCCTTTTCTTGATCAACTGGCCCCTTGACACCATCAACTAACTACAACTTCAAATTGCCGGTTTTCTTTCTCTCGCTCTCTCCATCTCTCCTAGGTATCTATCTCCTCGTCGCCATACGGTCGAGTTTCTGATTTACAACGTAGTTTTCTTCCAGACCGCTCGCTATTTTTACCATCGCGCTCTCTCACCTGGGTAAAGTGAATTGAAAATGCTGCAATTGCCGCAAGGATATTTGAGAGAGGAACTGCACAACCAATTGAAGCGGCAATTCAATTGCGGATCTGGGAACTAGCAGGTTATAGCGTGGACACAATCAGGATGAAGCTTTGGATGATGTCAAGAGCAAAGCCAACTACAGCCATGATACATCCAAGAGATTATCGTGTTGTCAGGACGTCGGGAGGAATCTTAACATGGATCATACAACAATCACGGCCGCGATCGTGCATCTTCTCGCTCTCAACAGCTACTTGTAGAAAGGAGCTCTAATCCCTGATTTTTTATTTTTTATTTTGTCTTCGTAGATCGCCAATTTCAAAGATGTTCGCATCCTATGAGCCGCCATTGAAGAAATCCAAGATCGAGATCGCTGTCATGGCCACCTTGGCGATATCACTCATGATCACCGTCGTTCAAAAGTGGTTCCGTGGAGGCATGATCTTCTTACTGCAACCTTGCCATATGTCGGCCATGATGCTGATCATCATCTTGGCCGGACCCAAGAGCAAGAAATGGCCTCATATCCTGCTGAATGTCTACTTCCATATCATGTGGGGAACGTAAGTAACAGTAATGAGACAATGAATAGGGAACCATCGGGTTCTGCTTCAGATGAGGACGCAATGATTGCACAATGGCTGTGTGTTAGCCGTTGATGCCTCCCCTCCCCACGCACTAAACCAATTTTAACTTTATCAAATCTTCACATGTGTATAGAATGCTGGCCTTGTTGTCCCCAGATCTTCGCGACTACGACCTATTCTTCGAGATCGAGAACTTCTATATCGGTAAGGGTCAAAGAGTGCAACAACGATCCTCATTTTCATAATCCACATTCCTTCCCCGTCTCCCTTTCGTTCCTCCCACTTCCTTCTCCTCATTTGCTAACGCACTTATTTCCACGTTTACCACCATAGAACATTACCTCCTACTGTTCGTTCCCTTTTACATGATCTGGTCAAACCGCTATGTGATCTGGCCCGTATCCATTGATGTGGCTTTCATGTCCTTTTCACTCTTTGCGCTTTACCACTCCTTCATCCTGAGCTCTATGGCCCTTCTGAGGGGACAGAACCTCAACTATCTGCTGATGCCTCCTCCCGGTCCCCTGCAGGCGTTCGGAAAGTGGTACCGTCCGGTCATGTACGCCTTCTGTGTGTTCTTGACCATGTCCCGGTACTTCCTGATCGAATTCGTGATCCAGATCTTGCCTCGCCGGAGCATCTCACCTGCTCAGAGCGAGCGCGCCTCTCGCAACGGCAAACGAAAGACACTGTAAGGCCTAAGCGAAGTGTATAATAAGTGGAAGATCTAGAGCGGAATCGTACTGAAGCGTTATCCTGCAAATAAAAAGTTATTTATCGCATCACATTGAAGCTGTCAACAAGCGGTATCCAGAAGAAAGTTTTCTATGGGGAGGGGGTTTTTTTTATTATGATTAAGGGAGGATGGAGGCGGGGTAATACTGTACGTGTACATGGGCATGATTACATTCTTGTTACAACAAATGCGTAGTGAAGGGTACATAACTTTTTTTTTTCTATGAGGGAGAGCGACAAAAAGGGCTTGAAAGATGGGAATAGCCCTGGATAAAACCGCTTTTACCACCTGCCAACTGCGACGTCCTGCGGAGGAGGAGGAGCGGAAGCATAGGGTGACGGCGAAATAGATACTCGGATGAAGCCATCGTTCTCTCGGCGGCCCTGCACATTGCCGTTGCCGTTGCCTGCCAGTCGAATAACGCTCATCTTCTTCTTCATCACCCTCTTTGATCTGATAGACCGGTCACTTCCCGTTCCCGTCCCGGTACCTGTGCCTGTACCGCCGTCATCCGATGGAGCGAGATCAAACGCCACAGAGCCGCGCTGTGCTTGTGATGGCTGCTGCTGAAGCCCTGACTGGGGTTTTCTCGAAGAATTGGCAATCTTCAAAGGCGAGACATTGAGTGGTCGGCTAAATGATGATGGTGGTGGTGTCGTGGTTGGCAATGCCATGGATAACTGTAAAGCACTGTTTTCGTATCCCTTCTTTTGTGCCATCAGATCCTCCCATCCTTTCTGCTGCTCCCTCTCCGCGGTGGCCAGGAGGGCCTCAAAATCCATTGCCTTGAGATCTGCAGGTGTTGTTGGAGGGAACTCGTCGCTCGGATCAAATTCCTGGGCTCCCAAAGACGCGTACTGATGATGGCCTGGAAGCGTTTGTGCCGAGTATCCGGAGCCCGCTGAAAAGGTTGAGCCGGTGCTCAAGAAATGAGAGTGGCCCGCAACGAGCGTATCACCGGAAGCCTGGTGAAGATGCTTAGGATAAGTCGAAGAGGATGATGAAGAGAATGACTGTTGGTGGAGGTGGTGGCGGCTGAATGATCCTTGCTCGTTGTTCCCTGCTCCCGGTGAGATCGGTCCTGGTGACTCGGTCAAAGCAGCAGAATATGGTGTCCGAGAGGAAGGGGCCAGGGTCGTGGAAGAGGACACCCCACTGCCTCGTGTTGGCCTCAAGGGCTTTGTGTCGAGAGCTGAAACTTGAGAGCGAGGCTGAGAGTATACGTTCCTAGGTTTCCACGAGACGACCTCCTCCATGGACATGGGTGAACGCGGTGATCTGATGGGCGAGGATGGTCCTGAGCGTCGTGGTGAACGAGGGCTATCTATCTGATCTTGCTCCATATCAAATGAGGATCCAGATAATGGCCGTGTAAACCTGGAGTAACCATTAACTCCACGTCCACCACTGCTGTTCCTGTTGTTCAAGTCGCGCGTGCGGATCTTGAGCGTCGGCAGTTCAGGAACTGTATCAGAGTCGCCGTCGACGCTGGAAATCTTTCTCTGGGACGATGGGCTAGCCGAGAAGCTCGAATTCCTTGCTCTGGCCTTCATGAACGGTGTCGTAGGCGTCGTAGGTGTCTTTGCTGGCCTAACTTGAAATTCGTCCATTGAGACATCTGCATCTCCCGTATACCCACTAATGGCATCGCCATCCGAATCGAATCCCTTGAATTCTTGGTCGGTGTCTAACTCCATGATATTAGATGAGACCGTCAAGCGTGGCGTGCGTCGCTTGAAGTTGAAAAGACCGGGGATCTCAGAGTTACTCACGACATCGCGAGCATACATTTCTGCGAGCTCCAAAGTGAAACTAGTAAAGGTGTGTGTGATATTGGTGGTCGAGATATTCTCCATGTTGAAGAATTCAGACGACAGTGGCAAAGGAGGTGAAATTTCTGTGCCGCTGGTGTTGGATCGGGCAGCGCTGCTCTGCCGACGACGACGCATGGCCATCTCCAAAGTTTCACGACGAAGGCCCGGAGACCTTGGCTTGGAGATTGTGGTCGCCAGCAACGCAGGGTGAGTCGACGTAGTGAGGGATCGTGATCGGGTGGAGTGTACGCTGCCTGATCTCGAAAGTCGAGCTGCTTCTGCTATAGTCACCTGTGGGTCCGTCTCTGGGACTGAACTTAGGGCTGCTGGGGGTTGGTCCTTCTTGACGCTCAGATCTGCGTTCAGCCCCTTTTGTGAGGGGTGATATCCCTTACCAAGGTGCAATGACTTCAAGAGCGACCGACGCCATTCAGAGGCCGGCTGTCCTTGCCGCTTGCTTGAGCTCTCGCCAGTTTCTGAGCCTGCCTGCGGTCGCTTCCTGTTGCTGTTAATTGCACCAATCTCTCGACTCTGCACCTCGGTGGCCTCTCGACCTTCCTCATCCGCGATCCTGTTCTTCCCTGCCTCTTGCTTTGTCAAGAACCGCTTCATGGCGTCTGTGCTGATTCGCATAGAATTGGGTCTCCCATTTGATCCGTGTGCTGCCTCTGAGGCTGCGAGCGATCGCTCCATCTTTTTGCGCTTCTTGAGTGGCAGTTCAGCAAACTGGGTATAGTCCTCGTAATCCGCTGGTTGAATGATGTCGAGGGAGTGGTCAGAATCGGGTTCGTCGACCCTAAGCTCTTGCAGCTGTTGATGCAATGTTGCCGAGCCTTCGTCTGCAGGTCCGAGCTCAGGTGAATGTATGGTCGCATCTTGGGCCGATTCTGGTTTGCTTGTGCTGTTGTTGCTAGAATTTTCTCCAAAAGCGAGCTGTTTCGATGGTTGACTAACCTCAAGACGGACGCGAGGGAATGTCCAAAAGTTTTTCGAGTGTCGATTCTTTCCTGAGGATGAAGCACTGCCATTGCTGACATTGGAGTTGCACTGTTGCTGCTGTTGTTGATGGGCTGTGTCGCTAGAGGAGGTGAAAAAAGCGGACTGGCGACGCTCATTGGCGGTGGTTCTCTGCTGTGCTGAAGGGTCCTCAAAAGAATCCAGGAGCTGAGCTTTGGCCCTGTCTCGCAGATTCGATGATGACTTCATTGAAGCTAGCGTGTTGTTTACTTTGTTCTTGAACTTGACACGTAGAGATGACGTGCCCTCTGCGCCTGGTCCCTCAATCTGGGGTAGAACTGGTTGCTGCTGCTGCTGCAAGATCTCGAGTGAATCCTCAGGTGCCGCGTACTGCGTAGACTCATGATTCATGTCTGCGACAGAAGAGTGCGCTTGTGCGTTTGATTCGTCAAACTGGATGGGTGGGATAACATAGGATGCCCGTCTATCGACAGGCGGCGATGATTCGATTGCAGGCATGGAAGATGGGAATGCACTCGATCTGGATTTGTGTGACATGAATCCAAAAAAAAAAACAATTGGGCGAAGGTGACACGAAGGGATAAAGGAAATGAGATGGTCAGTGCCGGGTACACCAAAGTGAAAAATGCCCTCTGGCAAGCCGGAAAAAGAAGTAAACAAGCATTTTCCTCACCTTTTCTGCTGCAGATGCTTGTTTTTGAATCTGCCGAGGGCCTTGAGGAAACTAGACCTTGCAGAGGGACCAAGCGTGGCAGTCGAGGGCGTAGGATCTCCTATTATTTCATCCGCCTCTTGTTTGCCCCGTGTCTTTTTCGCTGCTGTCGATGCTGCTGGCTTCGTTGTTATAGGAGTGGTATTGGCGTTGGCGTCCTTTATTTGCTGCCCTGGCTTCCAAGGGGGTTGCTTCTTTTGGGATGCTGATATTGATGTTACTGTTGGTATGATCGTGGTCGTATTGGTGCTGGTGTTATTTTGGGGGTTCGCTGGCGAAGGGGTTGGGGGCAGTTCACCCTTCAGGATCTTTAGGGCAGGACTCGAGGCAACGGCAGTAGTAGCGGATGAAGATGGCGGAGATAAAGGCGTTGTTGATGAGGATAAGGGGAATGTAGAGAGCGGTTGCGTTCCTGACGATCCACTGTGAACACCAAGCCCTGCATCAACGGCTATAGATGCTCCTCCTCTACTACCACCTCTCCCACTGCTTGCTGTAGCTGTAGACACCATTCCTGTATGACTGCCTTTTGATCTTGCCAGTGTGCGGTGATCAATTTTGAGCTCGATATCCCAGTCTCCGAAGATGTCGCTTGATGTGGTTGCGACAAATTGCTTTGATGGGCGATTACGGTGGTGGTGACGATAGTGTAGGGAGGTCCTCGAGAGGGTCGATGTTCTGGCTTTGGGTATGGATCGGGTCCTATACTGCACCTGGTGCGCTGCTGTTGATGATGTGGAGGGCCATGTGTTTGGTTCGGTTGGTGTGGAGGGTATGGGTTTGATATTGGGGTCGTCTAGGTCTGAGGTGGACAGGCAGACCGAGGGGACCGGGATCAGCATTCAATTGGCAGTCTGCTGCTACGCGAGTGTTGGTGTTGAGATCGATGGGGGAAGTAGGGAATTGAACTCGGGAGTGGGTGTTTGAGGGTGGGAGGGTGGGGTATGCGGGTTCCTGGGATTTTGGCTGGGTATGACCTGCAGACAAAAAAGTTTTCAGGCACACACAGGGGAAGTTAGTCAGTATCAATTATAAATGAATTCGACCCCTAGTCCAGCAGGGTAAACTGTGAACGGACCCTTCAGTCGGTATGTTGTTGAAAGGAGGTTTGGGATTCAGAAAAGAGGGGTGGAATGAGAACCGGGTGATGATGAATGGCAGAAGGTTAGATGATGAGCAGGTCTAGGTTGAACAACGAGCAAAAGACAGAGGTTGCGAGCGATGAAGGAAAGGCTCTGATATTGAGGTTTCTTTTTCTTGTCCTTTGCTCTTAAAAAAATATTACGGTGTGAATAGTAAGTAGTACTAATAATACTGCAGGAAGCACAAGCACAAAGTATGATAATCGCTAAACCGGAAACCGAGGAATAACAATCGAAGACACCATCAAGAGGGAGACTCAGCGGAGGAACAACAATAGCGACCTTCAGCAGTAATAGAAAGGAGAAAGGATGGAGTCGCTCAGCAATGGACACCAAGCAATGGCTGTTGCTGATGTCGCTCTGTCTGGGCTAGGAGCCCTAACAAGAAGGGGGAAAGAAAAGAGGGGGCCATGCATCTTGGTGATACCAATCCAGTGCAGAGTGCCAACTAATTTCATATCCGCAATGGTGAAGTTAAAAATGATGATGACGATGGATTGAACACGGCCATGGATGCAGATACGATAGGATAGCAGGCGTTTTCTTAAGGAGATGCTGCGCCTAGATGCTTGAGGAGACCATTGAGTGACTCCATTGGTCAATTGCATCCCACACGCGATTGCACCAACGGCTATGAGGACAATGGTCCCTTTTTTCATTTTTCGCTTTAGGGCAAAAGCTTTTTTCGTTGCTTTGTTGGTTAGCTGTGCGGAGAAAATTAATATAGACAGATATGGTGGGGTATGTTTGTGAATGGGATGCATGCACGCACATGGCATTTTGCCGCATGCAGACTATTTAACAAAAGAAGCGTAATTGGGTTGAGGTGATACCCGCAAACACCCATCCGAAAACGCTGTCGGCTGAAACTATACCTTTTTTTTGGTATGGTATATTGACTTGATGGTTCTTTGTTGTTTTTTTAGTTGGGAAGGGTTGGGTGAGGAGAAGAGACAGCTGAAGTGATGCGTGATAGAAGGTGAAGGTACTCTGGCCTACCACTAAACCATTGCGGGAGAGATGAATGTGTAGCGAGAAGTGAGGAGAAAGTATGCTGTATTTGGAAAGCGGTAAATATGTGAATATGAAGAGGGTTGTGCTAGAGCGGGATAGAGAGAAATTTTCGTCGAAGATCGTTACGTGGGTTAAATGGGTGGTGTTGAACCTGTATTTGGTCGTTAAAAATCGTGAAATTGCTAATATTTTTTGGAACCAAAGGTCAACTCCCAGGACAAGGAACACGCAAGGAGGACGGGATGAACAAGGAAAATGGAACAAAGAGAGAAAAGAAGAAGAGAGAGGAGAAGGGAGAAGAATAAAAGACCGGCTAGCACTGAGAGTCGCTCTAATGAGGCGAGAGTGAGAGCATAAGCACACCCCTAGAGTCTGCAGCAATTACTGCAGCAACGGTGATTGCAGCATCTTTCCTGTGAAGCTCCGGTATGTACTATATTGATGCTGCTCACGAAATGATCTTTCATGCCCAAGAGCGTTTATCAAGAGCCGTAAAATGATCGACCTTCTGGTTTCACACCAAAGACGTTTGCAAGAGCTCGCTGAGGATAGCACTCCAGAACAATGAGTCGCATGCCGAGGAATAATGCCAATTCGCTACAGGAACACTCAAAGCACTAAGGTACTAAGCATCTGTTGAACACATTTTAGAGAGAAAAAAAAAAAACAGCGCCTACCAGAGCTGCTCTTTTATTGGGCGAAATTCAGTGCCGGGTTGGATGCTGGATGAAATAATAGCGCTCACAGCAAAAGCGCCGACCGTTATAATCTATTACTGCGATGACGATAATCATCTACAGCGGCTGCTCTTCGATTTTTTAAAAATAGTGTCATGCTGGAGCCGCCGTTTATTTTGCTGGTGCAATAATTATTCAGATACTGTGGGTTTGTAGAACGCGACGTATGAATAATCTAAGATATTTTCTACTGTGACATCATCTAAATATGATCGCTTCTTTGACACTGGATTGCCTGCATCACTGGATAGTCTCTCGGATGGCGCTGAAGAAGGTTGGATTGAAAGGTATTTACGTGCAAGGTAGCCTAGATACTTATAAGAGGTGTGTTTTTTCCACCATGCCAATGGATCTTTTGAATATTTCAAACGTCGTTTGCCAGATTCCATTGAGTAGGTGCAGTAGTCCTGGAGCTCTCTAAGGACATCTCTGGTTAACGGTAGCCTGTCTGCTGTCTAGATGTTTTGTCACCATAAGAGTCCCGTTCATTATATAGTAACGCCGTGGATGAGCTCTGGTTCTTGATTAGATTCAAAATATCTTTGATAATAATTAGGCGATGAACATGGTCGAGCAGCTTAAGAGGAGCACCATTCCGCTGTAGCTGTATATCAAGGATTCCATGTTTCTTTAGCCCTGGGTTGAGGTATGTTGCAACAGCCACTGCATCGGCTATACAATCCAGAGACCAGTGTCCTTATCGCAATTGAAGGCAACGAGAGCCGAGGAAGAGGAGGAAAAATGAAGCAGCAGCAAGTGGAAAAGGCTCGACAGACAAAAGAGTGTGAAGACCATGTGGATGGAATTGGGAAGGTTGGTTCATAACGACAAAACTCGAAAATGCACGTTGACCTACTTTCAGTCCGCCGTCGCGTCTTTGAAGAACTCTATGCGTGGGATCAAAGGAATAAACGAGGTCAATGCCAGCCACCAGTGCCAATGATAGCTCTGCCCATTGGACTTGTAAAATAAAATAGTAGCCCTTATCCTTATTTCCACAGCCGATTGCATTATATCCCGTCCGGATCCATATTTCTTCCTAGAAAAATATATCCAAGCAAATGTTTTACCAAAATCGCAGATAGTGCCCAGATTGTACGAAGAAATTCCAGGACAATTAGGCGCGAAAATGCATTTCTCGATTTGAAATAAGCATAGTCATTCGAAAAAGGACCCTGTGAATTAAAATTTACTATTGTAAAAATATAGGTGTTGGCGCGGACTCTTTAAGAGATCTGTGCTGGTTGATTTTTTTGGTTAGAACTTATCACCTCTGCATCCTGCCTACCGTTCCATCACCTCGCTTGCTCATCTCTTCATCACCTCCTCGCTCGCTGGCAAAAGTGCTCAAGACAGCACTTGGAGTCATCACTTCCTTTTAATCCTCCTCCCTTCCAGAGATATCACGTTCTTATCCCCACTTCCCACAATGACGGACTTGTCAAAACCGATGAAGGGCTGTAGGCTGACGGACAATGGGCGTTCGGGGTGATCCCGTGCAAAGCGTTTCGTGGATTCACTGTCCTTCACTCCATGGCTTGGAAAGTTCTACCGCCCGACATTGATGGTCTGCAGCACCTTCAGTCTTGTGAAGGGTCTGCCTCCTTGCGCTTGAATTCGAATCGAGTAAAGCCTCTGGTCAGCAAGGCTGCCATCCAAGATCTAGCTTTTTCGCTCCTACTTTTCAGTGCCTTCAGACCTGTGGAGGGTCTACCTTCTCACACGCGGTCCGAATTGAGTCTAACTCTTCGTTTTCCTCATTCATGCTCCGTCTGAGAGCGGATTGTCTAGGCCATGTCCAAGCGGCTATTTGATCACCATGCCTTTGAAGTCGAGCAGGAACGTGAAGAACGACGGCGGTACATCCATCAAAATGCATCTCTGATGGACCTCGAGGCTCTGGCTCAAGGGTTCTTTGCGAGGTTCGACCTTACAAATAAAAGTGCTGCGTACGATGCGCTGCACTCATCGCTCATTGCAATCGGACAGGAGCATCTTGCCAACGAGACAAAGGTTCGTGCCAATATTTTTATTTGTTTGTGGACTTCACGACAATAACATTTATTGTCAGGAGCTCTAGTCAAGGAAAAAAAGAATTACTAGAACACAGTTTTATGACTCGATCCCTCATGAGCTCCTTGACGACTTCACCAGGTAGACAAATAAAGTCAGCATGCTCTGTAATGAACCTGCCCTTGGCGTCCTCATTTTCAAGACTGGAGACAGTGCGATGTCTCTCTCCGGAACACCTCATCAAGTACTCGATCTTGGTTGTGGGATTGAAGTAGCCGATGCAGAGCGGGAGGTCACCAATAAGGCTGTGTTGACGACGACTGCTCAGCTTTCCGTTTGGAGCATTTCCAGACATTTTGACGCCTAGCTACAATATCAACGGTGAGACGGTAAGGAAGAAATAAAGAAAGAAGTCTAATGATGTTGAGGATACTGTGTAAGGTCCTTGTGCAGGATGGATTAATGAAAAGGCTACATGTGCATGTGTATGTGTGTGCCCGAAAAGTAGTTACAATTGTAAGGGTACTCTTTGTCTCTTTCCTCAGACCCATTGTCATGCACTTCTTCATTTCTCCGCTATCTTTCGCCATCGTCTTGGACGGAACCTTTTCTCTCTCTGCTCCGCAATGGGCATCCTGGGCTTGTGGCCCTTTCTTAGAAGGAAGGGCTACGAAGCAGCTCTATTCCATCAACACACAGCCGTCTTAAATACCTTTGAACCCGGCCGTAAGCGTCTTATCAACGTACAGGCGTGCATTTTCTCCACCATTCGCTACGCATATTCATCGTGCGCCACGGATGACGAGGCACACCTTGTTGTCGAGCGTAAACTGGGAGAGTTTGCGACTTCCTCAAACTCGTTTCTTTATCTGGATGGCTCTACAGCAGAAGAAAAGATACTCACTCACAAGTACCGAGAGGAGACCTGCACGAAGGCCTTGCTAACTGCCGATGAAAGCACCACTGTGCTAATGGATCGCGTCAACAGGAACCTCCACGTTCGGAAACAACGTTTCCCCGCCATCAGCAAACTGTTGAGGAAGGCCTCCGGAGGCGCGTCAAGCATTTGCACAGCACCTCAGAACAAAGGGATGGACGATCATCGAATGCTCGACCGATACTGATTTAAAGATAGCCTACGGCTGCGAACCCTATGATGTGGTCATATCCGGCGACAGCGACATGCTTATTTACAAGAACGTCCGGACAATTTGGCGACCAATTTCAAGACGTCGGTTTCTGGTTTATGATATTCCAGAAGTCCTTGCCGCCTTGGGCATCATCAGAGACCAGTTGACAGTGCTTGATCTGGTGTCGCACAACGATTACAATCGCAACATCTATGGTCTAGGGCGCGCAACCGACTTTAGTATCATCAAAGAGCTGGATGGTGGTGGTACGTTTAGCCATGTTGATCGTATGCATGTTATATTGCGGTCTCTACTATGTCGAAGCCCAAGCCATATGTGCTGACATTCGGTTCCATTTATTTCTAGATACCATGTCAATGACAACGAAATACTTGGCCGATACCCGCGTCGTTCTCAAGAACACAGAGAGCCAGCTCAACGCAGGGGGAACGGAAGGGGCGCGCGGAAAAATGTCCAGTTTCTTTGTGTGCTCGCCTTGCTCAAACGTTGTTGCCTTCTCGATGACATCATTAGGGCCAGGTTTACAACTTTCGCGATTGGTCGGTAGACACATCCCGCTTTCTTGAATCAGCTGTTCGCCATTCATCCTCATGCCGCTTCTGAAGTCGTACTTGAATCGAGATCTGTCTTCCCGCGACAGAGCTGCGCTGAATGACATTATTGCTCAAGGAATAAAGACAGGTGCCAACATTTTCAAGACCTTCCCTATTGCTCACTCACGTAGATAAGATCGTCGACAAAAAAATGCGCCACTTACTCTTGCTATTTTTATCGTAGATGCCAATCTGGTGCTTGATCCCAATGCAGTTGTGGCAAAGACCAGCGGTCGTGTCTCAAAGGCTGTAAGCAATCAGAAAAGCTCTGAATTGGATGAGTGCCTTTGGCGCCTCTTCGCAAATCTCAACGATAAGAATAAAATCCTCTTGTTATCCATTACAGGTTATTGAAAATCTGCTGAATCGGGTTATATTTCCCTCGATGTTAAATGTCACTCCAAGACCCAAGCGGGCATCCGAGCTGTGCTTGGAAAGGAACTCCCGACAGCTGCCTTTTTACCTCACAACAGGATCCGAATGGTACCACCTTAGTTCTTCATCCTTTAGACATATTTACGAGGTGATTAAGAAACGCCACTAATTTTGTTTCTGCAAATCTGTTAAAGTGTTGACCATCTGCTAGGTGGACATGGTTGGGTCTCAGGAGAAGTCAGCGAGATATGCGGCTCATCCAGCGCTGGCAAGACCCAAATGTGTCTCAACACATTGGTCGCCATGCTGGCGCGTGACAAGGGCTCGCGAGCGATTTGGATCGATACCCTGGATGGTGGTTTCTCTGCCCAGCGTGCGTCCGATGTCATCCGGACTTACAATTCTCGACAAAAAGGACCACTAGATGACGGTCAATTCGAAGGAGAAACGCCTATTGAAGTAGGTGTAAGCTATCAACGCGTTTACTCTCTTTCTCTTGTTCCTTTGTTGACTATCTTCTGATGATACGCATAGGTCGAGGTTACACAAATTCTTTCGAGGATCCAGGTATACTCATGTCGAGACGTTTACGACGTCGTGAATGCAATCGAGACAATCCATGCAGATCTTGAGCAAGGACCCTCCGTATCAGACTCCACTACACGTTTAGTTATTATCGATTCATTGACCAAAGTGCTGACAGGGTTACTTCGTGGTGTCGATGGAGTAGGTATGCTGAGCATCGTATCTTGTTGACATTACCGGCCTTCATCATCCGTGCCCTTCATCGCGCTTGTTACTTACCGCACTTTCTATCCAGGTCACGCTACAATGATACACACGGCACGAGAACTTCGGCGTCTTGCGTCAGATTTTGGTTTAGTCTTGCTGGTCACAACATCGACTGTGCATGTGTCGTATCCGGAAGAGCAGACGCCGTCCATTCTGATGGCAAACAACGCGAAGCCAAGTCTAGGTTCCACCTGGAGATATGCAACGGATCTTCAGCTTTATATCACGCGAATGAGTCGCTCCTCTGACCAGCAATCGGTTGAGTCCTTGGTTAAGAACGAGAACGGTGGAGGGAACAACGACGAGGGCGCAGAACAAGACGCCAGTGGAAATAATGGGCCATCGAGACTGGCAGAGATCATGAAGTCTAAACATCTTGTAAGAGGCGATGACTATGCTCCTGTGAGAGTTATGGCACTATGTGCCCAGTAAAACGAACGCTAACGTGCTACTCTTTGCTTTCAAATGCGCGTTAGAAAATCGGTGAATGGTGTCTTTTCGACCTCGCACTCTAGGGGGTTTATTGGCGGGCAGAGGGTCTCCTGGATATAGAATTCTTGAAACTCAAAAGCGGATGCTGCTTCATCCTTTCCACACTCTCGAGGTGTCCCTCGCCAAGACATACGCGCCGCTACATGCTTTTCAGCCGGCTGCAGTGGTAGCGGTGATATCGAAGTACGAAAGCGCACAGCGTCAATAAAGCGATTAATGCCATTCTACTCGCATGACAGCGCGCTTTCCATAAACGGGAAAATGAAAAATACCCCCTTCCTGAAACGAGTCTTTCTTGTTGCTGATTCCTCATTGCACATCGTATCGTCCTAATTGCCATTACATCGCATTCCACTTTTTCACCCACTAGTCACTCTGTTACCGATGGTGCTTTCCTATTTATCATACACAACCGCAGTATGAAAGCCAGCCCCAAGAGAGACAAGCCCGAGGAGGAAGAGCCCGCATTGACCGAGGAAAAACGCAAATTCAAAAGAGTCGAACCATCCGCTGATACGGAATTCGACATTGATATCGTCCCCGAGGATGGAATCGGCATCAAGACCATGAACACTGCCTACAATGGATCGTCCTTATTAGCACTAGTCACACCAACGTCTATGCCCAGTAAGAGCGATCAGATCAACGATCTTCAGAATATCAGTGTCCACATCGACCTTCCTTCGGACGAGAATATTCTAACCCTTCCGCCTTCAACGCCCGCATCACAAGCGAGCGCCAATCAACCCTGTTCATCCCAATGTTCTCCGCAACAGCTTTCGACGGCTGACGACCATTACCCCGAGCAGGCTCAGATACATCCCCATTCATATCACGACAACCATATCCATACCGTTGAAAGCATCTCGTTCGTCAACCTGTGCAACACCGAGTTCTCGTCCACGCACCTGCTCATCAGACCTCATTACCCGTACCAACTCCCTCTTGAGCTGTGGGAAGTAGTCGCGTCCCATCTTTATCCCTCCCAATTGACGAGGTTATCGCAAACATGTAAAGCTCTATACGGCGTGGTGGCGCGTCTGTCGTTGTGGCGTCTCTGGTACGAGAACCTGTTTGAAGCTGGTCAATTCGGCGGTCTCGCTTCAGCCCCTTTTTATCCGCCGGATCTGCATCAAGCGGCAAACATGTTGTATATCTGCGCGAGGAGCTTCAGGATCTGCGAGGAGTGCGCCTGCTTCTGCAAAGAATGGCATTGCCTTGGAATGTTGATGCAGCTCCCGTTGTCTGTCACTATGCCGCCCTCGACCGCGCTGTCTCCATCTTCCTGCTCGCTTTCATCGACATCGACATCGACATCATCATCGTTGTCGTTGGCACTACCACCTGCACAGCCAGACAATGACCAAGCCCACGAGGCGGGGACACCGTGGAGCATCCGGATGTGCCTCAGATGTAGGCAGAAGTATTACGCTGAGCATCCAGAACCGGAGCTCATCAAGCCAGATATAGACGAGTATCTGTCCCTGCACGAGATGAAGTCTCGGTTCGGTTTCGGAAAACGGAAAGGCAAAAGAGTATGGGGCAGAAGGATCAGAAATATGCCAGGCCAGATAATGATTGAATACCCTCTCCACGGGATCTGGATGATCGCCAGGGCAGAGTATGGTGGGGACGTGGGAATCAACTCCCTGGATTGGGACCACGAACCTTCTCTGGCGAAAGAAGACGAAAGAATCCGGTATCTGGACCGGAAGGCAGTCAATATGAAGATTGTCCATGGCAAGGAGCCTCCTCTGCGGAACGTTTGGTTGCCCCTCCCACCTGCCGCTTCCGAAACCGTCCCTAAAGACAAGGTCAAGCATCGAACCAGGCAATACATCGCAGCACGCAAACGGTGGCGGACTCTGAAGCGCCTTCCAGAGCAGCAGCAATTGCTTGCTCGCAGAGAGCTGTGGAAGCTTTCGTACCAGGAAAGTCAGGATACGGAGGAGGCCCTGTCGTAAAGGAGTTTTTGGAAGCGAAGAGGCAGCATTGTCTTGCTGATGCCCTTAAACGACGAGCGTCTGGACAAACTGAGGGAGTTACAATTACATGCGGAGGAGGAACGGTTGGCGAAAGGAACAGAGGAAGGCACTTCAGAATGACGAGAATAGTTATTAGCTTTGGGCGCAGCAGAACTAGAACCAGGACCAGTGGACCTATCGTATCACCATAACTGGGATTAGGGCAGGAGCGAAGTGGACATGTCCTTGTTGTGCATGGCACATTGCTCGCTGTCCCTTGTTTTAAATAGCATGTAACCGTCAGAAGTGTGAGTCTACCAGTTTCTGCAATTTTTTTTTTTTTTTGCAACCATTACCACTACTATAACATGAACACGAAGACGAGCATAAAAAGGGCGTGTGGACATATAAATATGCCATTGATTCTTGCAGCACAAGATGGCTTGACAATTGTTCATCGCAGTTATTTGTGCAGCAGGCCGTTTGAAGATCATGATGGTGATATTAAAAGATACACAAATGGAACTAACGTATGCTATGGTATGCAAAATGGTATATGTACATCGGAGTAGGATAGATCGTGAACATTGAGACAAAGGCGCGCATTTAACGAGGCGCCAGAGGTGGCAGGATAGGCAGGCCTTCGTGTGGATGGACATGGGCGTGAACATGAGGATGAGAGTGAGAGTGGAGATGACCTTGACCCTGACCGTGACCATGGTTCGCGTGCGAGTAGGACTGCTGCTGCTGTTGCTGCTGCTTGGCATACGAGTCGTGACTCATCACAGGAGCTGGGAGACTCATGGGCGTAGGTAGAGGTAGGGATCCCATAGGGTGTGGGGCATGATGGGGCGATGTCATGGGGCTCGAAGGATTTGTCACCGTTCCAATCGATGGGAGCACGATACCAGGGCCTAGAGGGTGATGATGAGCGTATGGCTGCTGTTGATACTGCTGACTATGCTGTTGCGGAGGATAGTAATGCTGAGAAGGATGGCTGGGATGCGACGATGGCGAAGAAGAAGAATGGGTCTGGCCATGCATGCCTTGACCTTGACTTTGACCGTATCCTGGATGACTTGACTGAATCTGGGAGCCAGGATAAGGAGAAACATAAGGTGAGGTGGTCGCCGAGGGCGTTCCGGATGAGGGTGCCGAAGAAATCGACGAATGTGCAGAATGAGCGGAATATTTTCTCCCTTTTTCGGAAGCTGCTCCGGTTGGAACCACCATTGGCAACGAAGAATGTAGGCCATGACCTCCATTACTGCTTTTTTGATGGCGGGAATTCATCGATGACGCTGAAGAGGGCATCAGGGAGCGATTGTTGTTGTGCGTCGACCCTGAGCCTGTCGTGGAAGCTGCGGCTGCGGCTGCGGCGGCTGCAGCAACTGCAGCAGCAGCGGAGACAGCGGCAGAATGCTGATGACTCGCTGGGACGGTGGGCAGAGCATTGGCGAGGGCATTTGAGGCGGCAGACGTGGCAGGATATGAGACCGACGCCAGAGGCGGCGAGGAGCATGGACTGGACAGCGGAGACGGGCCCATACGGATAGCGTCACTGTAGGGCTTGACGCCGCTAGGGCTAGGATGGGGCAGCAATCTGGGGCGAGGGCTCGATGAGGGTGAGACCTTGTTCGTTTGCGACTTTGGTAAAATAGGGTGTAGATGACCGCTGGCTGACATGGACCGCTTATTGGCGGATGGCACGGGGGCCATGGAGGATGATGGGACCTGGGAGGGACCTAGATGGGCTGTTGCATGCTGTCCTGGAGGGCTATTGGCGGCAGAGGCAGGGGCGGATGCCGAGATCGATCCTGGAGCAGTCGCCATAGTGACATTGGAGACAAAGGACGCATGGGACTGAGCCTGGGACTGAGCAGCAGATGTAGCCAGGCTTGGGATAGTGCCTTGGCCAGGTCCAGGGATGATGGGCGGAGTGCTCATCCCGCTGGACGAGGACGCTGCTCCGCGAGCAACTGAGTGCGGATGCTGAGGATGGGTGTTGCCAGGATGACTTGGATGGCCAGGCTGTCCGGAAACACCGCCTGATCCTTGTGGACCATTGCGACGCATCTGTGAGCCCTGGTAAAAGAAGCGAAGGGCCGCATTCTCAGATCGCAAGGAATGGTTCTCGGTGTGAAGTGCCTATATTTGTATCATATGCGTCGAAAGGTGATTTAGTCAACCAAAGATGGAAAGCAACCGCATGAAGGTCCAAGAGCGCGACATGCGCGATCATTATCACGAAAGTGCATACATACCCTGAGATGATCAAGTGCCAATCGGAGGATCGTGCCTTTATTCAACTTGGCACTGGAGGAGCAATTGGGCAAGATCTCGGCGATTTGTAAGATGGTCGAGTTGAGCGTGTCGCGTCGGCGGCGTTCAACATGATTATGGTTTTCACGGCGCCTGCGGATCATCTCCAAAGCGGTGCGGCTATCGAGACTGTTCCTGTTAAGGATGTTGAGACCATTGATCTTATAAGCAGATTGACGCGTCTTGCCTGCCGAAGACGAGGTTGTGCCCGTGCCCATGCCAGTCGAACCCGTAGCGGATGTAGAAGACTCAGCGGCGGACGGATCCTTTGAGGCACTCATATCTGAAGATTGAGTCCCTGAGCGACCGAGGAGGGGTTGAGGACTGGTAGGACGGGATGGGAGTAAAGGGCGGAGCGTAGGTCGTGGTTTGATCGTTGCGAGAGGGGCAGGTTTGGTGCTGGAGGAAGGAGAGGACGATGGAGTAGCGGCAGAGGAAGACGATGATGAGTGTTCGTGTTGCTGGCGCTGTGGATGGAAGGCGTGTGGTTGCGGCTGCTGAGGCTGGGCCTGGGACTGGCGAGGTTGGTAGGTACTGGAGGGCGAATGAGGATGACGAGCAAAGGAAGAAAGGGAGCACGAAGAAGAGGAAGCTGACGAAGAAGGAGGTTCCACCATGTCCTGATCACCATGGTCCTCTTTTATGGCCACACTCTCCATGTTGACGTCCTCGCTTTCGTCACAGCTGTTGTAGGCACTGTTGTAGGCAGAATGATAGGTGCTTTGGAACCCAGGATGGTCCTCATCGTCATCCTCCTCGATATCGCCGTCCTCATCTTCGTCCTCATCTTCGTCCTCCATCTGCCGGCGATGATTACCGTAGTGCTGACTCTGGCGAGGATGATGGTCGTATGAAGAATGCTTCTGCTGTAGGCGCTGGGAGGAATGGTGGTCTGTAGAGGTATTCATTGTAGGCTCTGCCTTCTGGTGTGCCTGAAAATCCTTCTGATGATAAGGATGATGTGAGGGATCGTTCGAAGTCTGCTGATATGGATGCTGGTGGTGGTGGTGGTTCTGGTGCTGACGGTGCTGCTGTGGGGGATCGTATGTGGAGTGGGAGTGGGAGTGTGGGTGTGCGCGTTGCTCAGCCATGGTTATGCTTATATTTGAGTTGGCGTTTGTTGTCGAGACTTTGCGGGGATCGAGCAGGGGAGATGGTGCCAAGTCCAGCGGGGAGGAACAGTGTGATACAATGGAGCTTGGCATTCAAAAGAATCTCTCACTTCAGTTTTCACGCGCAAATAAACACAACGGGCGCAAAAAATAAAATATTAAATAGTGAGATATGTAAACAGAATGATAGTGGAAAGAGAGGGCGTAGCTGCTCAGCGATGACGAAGAGGATGGGTGAACGTGGAGGAAAGGAAAGATATCCGAGAGGGGCAAAGATGTCCAATTGTTTGTCTGGGAGGATTTGCTTCCCTTTTGCGGAACTGATTGGGAGCACAAACAAAGCAAAGGGACAGGGCCAGAAGAAAACAAGGTTGCACCTGGAAGAGATAATGGACCCAAAAGACTCTAGAGAAGACAGAGAAGAATAAACATTCAGCGTGAGTAACAGCAGAACAAGTGTTTAACAGAATTGTTCCGAGGGAAGGTTATGCAGAGGCATGGCATTGTAGTCTCTGGGGGGTGTACAAAGGAAGGATTGAAAATAGGGAGGGTATAAAAAAGGAAAAGAGGGCTGATTTTCTAAAGGGTGGGAGAGGAGGGATGTGATGCTGTGGACGTTAGATGGAGCGTGCTATGGCTGATATGCTATGTGGGCCTGACCCCGCACAGACAAGAGGGATTCAGATCGTCTGTTCAACAGAGAAGGTGGGGCCAATGTGTACACATGTTCGATGTAGGAGGCGGTTTCTGGTCCTTACAAGATACAGCTGATTATCAGCAGCAAATGGCCGTTGCGAGGGGACAAGGATGTGGAGAAAATACAAATTAAACAGCTGAAAGGGAGGAGCGGGTCGAAGTGTGAGGGTGTGCAGTGGAATATGAGCGAGAGGTGAAAGGGAGAAAGAGGCAAAAAGCGAGAGAGACTGACTGAGAGGAGGCGAGGAAGCGAAAGAGAGAGAGAGAGAGAGAAAGAGAGAAAGAGAGTACGAGAGAGAGAGTGAGAAGATGAGGAGTGTGAGAGAGTAAGAGGATGAGAAAGAGGCCAAAAAACTAAATAAATAAAAGGCCGCACGACAAACAAACAGAAAGCGCACAAGCGATTTTTCTGATCCCGACCACCCTCTCCACCTTTCCTTCAAAAAAAACCAGAGGGAACACAATCCAATTCGCTGGGAGACTATTGTATTGTATAATCAAATGAAAACTAACCGACCGACTAATTATATCCTATCCACCTTCTTCCTTTTTCTGCAACCTCTTCTTCCACATGTACATTTTGTCCGCTTGCCTCGCCGGCTGGGAAACCGAATCCAATACGTTTCTTTGTATTGATCTGCCATTCTCTGAGCGTCGATTGAATTCTCATGTTGTTTTTTCTTACCCAGTCTAGCCTGCGACCTTCACCATGCTCTAGTATGACATGATATGATGCGTGCATTTCTGTCTGTCTGTACCCGCATGGATATCGCTGAACCAATCGAATCTTTATTTCACTTGGGTAACCCACCCGCTGACAGATAGAGGTACCTTCATGCAATTGATGGCCGTAACCATGGCCACAGGTTCCTGCCAACTGCAAGTCCCTACTACTGCAACTAGCGGTGCTACATGGTTTAGCAGCTCGTAGTGGCCCAGAGGACCTTGTACCACGACACCGACCATCCAGGTCCCATTGGCTGGCGGAGGAATAAAGAACCAAACGCCTATTTGACATCATCTCTTTTACAGATCGAACTTCAACTCAATTATGAACATTGAATCCCATAAATAAATGAAATAAAAAAAATATATAGCAGTGAAATGAGCCGGTTCCATGTTCCGCGCTCTCATCCTCGTTTGCTCCGCGAATCAGCACCCTCTTCTGCGGCTGTGGACCAGAACAACACAGACATTCCTACGTGCATAGCTTTCAGCATGTGTTCCCATCAGTGGTATTTGGCTGGATAGACAGCTCAGAAAGAACAGACAGGCCAAACAAATAAACAAACAAACAAATGAGGTCGCGAGGAACGACCGCATCTCTTAATCTGGGCGAAATAAGTTGTAAAAAATGCCATGCGCAGACAACTGAGTGTCGTGAGCTGGTAAGGTACACGGATCGGCCCCTTGGCAGCATTTTCCTTCAGATGCTTGCGCACGTTCAGTTGCCGCTAGCGGCTTACCTTTCCTGAAGCATAAGGGGCGAGTGAAGGCGCATGGAGAGGAAGAAACCTGGGTGTAATGCATAATGCACCAACCAAGGCTTCGTGCGGATGAGGGATAGGAGAGGGACACAATAATTATGTGTATAGAGTACTTTGCTGTTATGCCCCATGCAACCGGTGAGCCGCAAGATATTATAGTGGTTTCTCACGATGTTTCGCCGCCATGGTGCAAATTTGTGCACATCCTTCGTCACCACATCTCCCCCCTTTCCATGTCCAAGGAGAAGGACGTACTCAGAACATGGTAACTGCTGATGGACGCAGTCTATATGTAAGACGCAATTGACAACAAACGTTGCAGCATACTTTCCTGTACTTTCGCACGGTGCGCTGCTCATGGGAAAGTGATCCAACGACAAATAAACACAAAAAACTCTGTTTGCATAAACGCAATCAGCACAGGCAAAAACCAGACGGGGGGACACACAGAAAGAAACGCGCTCGTATGGAGAGAACTCGGCCACCTACAATACTCTCTCCAATTGTAGGACCAAGAAGTGATTAAGAGACGAATCCTCGTCTCCACTTTCATGTGTAGACATTTTCCTGCTCTGCATTTATGTCCATACACCGCTCATCCACTCAGCAGCAGGCGGATGGAAGAATCGGTTCACTTCCTTATTTATCTACGTATAGCTGCAATCCATCGTCGGCTAATTATTTCAGGCTTGGTCTCGAACACCGCCCCAAAGACCGCGAGACAATTGCAGCCGAATGCAGTGCTTCTCTTCTCCTCTCTGAGGAGTGATGCGCTACTGAACAGCAGCGGAGGATAACCTATTGGAGTGGAGTTGCAATAGATCAGCCCTATTCATGAATAATCGTCATCGAAGGTTCCTAGATATTATCTTTGTACTCGATCTGGATTTTAAATCTTCTTTTTTTCGCTCAACCCCATCTGTGCTTTTTTTACTTTCCCACAATCGTTTTGGCCGTCTTTCGTCGCCGAATTGTCGTGATCACGATTTGCGCTGACACGCCAATAGGGTCTTCATCGGAGCAAGAAAAAAAAAGAAAAATGGCACCCGCTTTCAAGATGATCCTTTTGTCTTTGATTGATCCATCTTGTCCCTTGAAGAAATAAAAAAAAGTGTCATTTCGCTCGCCATCGATTGGATGCCATTTGCATTGTTCTATAGTCATATGGCCTCTGCGTGGGCAATTTACGACCGATAAGCACGTTATGTCGTTTCGATTTACCAGAATCATTATCGATCGACTCTCTCGAATGAGCGACGGACGTAGTATTGTTGGGATTTGCACATTCACGCATAAAATCACTCTTCACTTCCTATAATACATACCTTATCCCTGCCTTACTCTCGAAGCTGTCTGCGAAGTCGAATCAAGTAATACGGCCCACGCATCATTCGCTACGCCTTTCCCTGGTCTTTTTTTTTTGCTGATCCCAGGCCCTCCCCCCAACGATCGACTATCTCGAAGGAGATTTTTTTACTGTTTTTTATTTGGTACCCCGAAGATGCAGAAACTATAACAATAGAAAGTTCAAAAATGGAGTCCTCCATGTGCGCAAACGCAGTAAAATACATTAGTATATTATATTTCGCATATGTAAATAGTCCATCATCCTGCTGCTTCTTGGGCGACAGTGCTTTGTCTAGATTAAGGTGTTGTTTCTACTAGAATATCCATGTGTTCATGAATACCTGATGTTGCGTGCGTCGTGCGGTTTTGTTTACATCGACAGTGCATTTTAGCCTGCTGGCGTCATCTCAACGGCTGTTGCTGTGTGCGTGCACGAAACAAACCAGGGAAAGCAGCAAAGCAATGAATTTATTCTGTACAACCATCGAGCATGACTTTTCCCCCAATTCTTCATGTCTTCCTGTGAAATGTATTGTGGCCCAATCATTCTGCAGCACACACATGAGTACTTGGGACCTGGACACAAAGAAATCTTACCTCCCTCCTGGCCTACAGGTTCGCGTAAGCTGCATGAACATAAAATGGTACCTTTGTTGTTTGCTAATACTGCTGCAGCTGTTGCTGCCGACGTTAATGCTAACGCTGCTGCTCATTTCATTGCTAGTTCTGCATAAGCGGACTAAATTCGTACAGGAAGTACGATTTAAATCCATGGAAATGCATATGGATTGTACTTTATTGAGGCATTTTTGCCTGTTTAAAAAGAGAGAGATAGTGTAGTATATGTGCGTGTGGGGGAGAGAGGGAGAAACAAAGCTTACAGAAAATGGTGTAAATAGAAAGAAGGTGCATGCCCTGCATTAAATGTCTACAGAAATAACGAAAAGCTTGTCCAGAAAAATTAAGTACCAATGATGAGTGCAGAGCGGATCGCCTTCCGTTCCCTGACAAAGCGGCCAACGTAGAGGAGTATATCCCCAGTCCATACATCCTCATGAACGACTTTTTTGGAAACGAAGATGTACCCCAACCCATGGACCGGTACCAGATGGCGAACAGTCGAAGCACCTGTCCTTTTCTGGCTCGCTTGACAAGTTTTGGCATGCAACCGCCGTCATCGCGCCTGGCGCCTGATCCTCACTTGAATTTTTTCCATTGTAAATCGCCTTATTGCTCCAACGTGGGTCGCCTGACATGCCCGACTCTAGTCTACCGGAACGTTTTTCCAAGGTTATTCTCGATCAAAAGGGAGAACAGAAGCGAACATTACTTGATTTAGAAGCTTTTGCCCATTTGTCCACATCAAGGTTGGCAACGACACAAAACGGCGTATGATGTCTAAAGAAGCACTAGCAGCAATTTTCGCCGATTGGATGCAGCGCCTGAAAAAATAACGTTCCTTTGACCAAGAGGTACCCACGTTCGACAGAGCATCCTCTCACCTATACATATCACAAAGACCAACACGCGTAGGCTGAAGACGAGACATATGCAAAATCAGGGATGTAGTCTATCATGTCAGCCAAAGGCCGCTTTTTTTGGGGGAGGAGGGGGGGGGGATCTAATTTCTATTTGTCTGTGTAGTTCTAAGTATTACGTCTAATATAATCAAGCTACAAGAATCTCGACTTTCTCTCTCTAAAAACCAAGCGAGTTCTTCACATAGCTGGCGACCATCATCACAGGGTTTTTGGGAGAGACGAAAAGCGCCGTGCACTCGACCAAGATGTTGCCATGTAGATCGTAAATACTGGCCACGGTGTATCCTTTCCGACCTTCGGACTTTTCGAATTCTGCCTTCACCATCACAAACTGGTCGGCCTTGACGGGCTTGCGATAGTTGATGTTCAAGTTCGCGGTGAAGCCGATATGGAACGGCAGATTAGGTAAGGCCTAAAGATTGTACAGTAGATCGGGAAAAAAAATGTCAGCGGCAAAGCAATAGTGAGCAAATCGATGCAACTGACAATTAGAGCGAATGAGACGTAAGGATGGAAAGTGTACTTACTACCATACCAGTCGCTTCATCTGAAGAACGTAAGGACGCATGCACAGAGAAGAAATGATAACCATCATGTCAGTAAAAGCAAAAAACAAAAAAAAGTTTAGAGCCAAGCCCTCGATCCACAATAAATCACGATGTGATGCGATGCCTCTCCATACCTAACAAAGTGGCCAGGAGTCCACCATGAATGATCCGATCATGACCGCAAAGACTTCGTCCCAGGTGCATGAACAGCACGATCGCCTTCTTGTCCTTCCTCTCAAACTTGAGTGGGTTCACGCTCAACATGTTTTCGCCCCGGAGCGCTCCCGCTGTCAGGTGATGGGGCTCTGTCACTTTAGTCAGATACCAGTAAGCATCAGCCTCTTTCCAATCGCCCTTCTTGACCAATTCCTTGTATTGATGCACAAGTTCCAGCCTCTGCATCTGCTTCTCTAACGAAACAGACTGCTTGATCTCCTCGACTTTCTCCTTGGTCGGCTGTCCATTCGAGGGATAGGGTTCGTCCGGCTCCTCTGTGCCCAAGATCGTCGGCTGGATCTTGCCAACAGGCATGCCTTGGAACCCACCCATACTTGCGGGGTCCAGTTTTGAGTATGCAAAGGCGCCAGCAGCAGCCGAGGCGGACATGAGGGATATCCTCCGGACCCAGATACCTAATTGCCCGCCCGATTGCTGCGAGCGAGCCTTTGATGTGTCGAATGGGGGTGTTGAAGAAGTCGAGGGGGAGGAAGAGGAATGAGTGCTGTAGCTGGTAGAGCAAAGGCCGTATCTGATCCTCCCTCTGTACCGTTGAGGGCACAGCCAAGCCTGGCTAGCTGCTCCATGAGAAGGTGCGGCAGCGGATTGGGACAGCATCCGCTGCAAGCTGATGTTGATGGCACGCCGATGAAGCATTTCCTAGTCCGGCCGTAAATGGTGGCGATGAAGAGGAGAGAGGAGATGAGAGGCGGATAGAGTATATAGAAAGATTCGGTATTCGTTATCTCGGGCCGACTGGGCAAGAGAGGAATCTTATGTCCTATGTCATTGCTGCAGCTTACGGACAGAATAGCCAGTGCCGTTTGATGCCGATCGCGCTGCCTGAGATATTCAGGTACCGTTGCAGAAATGTCTGTGTATTACACAAGCCATGAAACATTGAAGTTTTGCCCTGACTCTATTGAATAATTCCATTATTGTTTTTTGCAAAGGCTCCCTTTCCACAAGCCACAGGCTAGATCCTCCGAAGCGTGTGCTGTCAACCTGTTTGCCCCACGCGGACTGTGGGAACATAACTCAACAAGGCACCCTTGACCCTTCCTCCTTCCGCTCCCCATTACCTTCGTTTGCCACCATGCTCCGCTCACTGCTGCGCCCAACTGCCAGCGCATTCAAGGCTGTCCCTGTTTCGCACCATCTCATCCTTCGTCATGCCTCTTCTGCGTCCACACCTGCAGTCAAGCCTAACATCAAGCTGATCGCCGAGATTCGTAAGGCGATCGAGGGTGTCTCCATGATGAAGGCCAAGGAGGCTCTTGTCCAGACCAACAACGATTTCGAAAAGGCTCTCGAATGGGTCCGTGAGGACGAGGCCAAGGCCGGTATTAAGAAGGCCGAAAAACTCAAGGATCGACAGGCCATGGAGGGTCTCGTCGGTGTTGTCGTGGGCGAAGTCGCTGAGCATGGCAACCGTGGAGCCATTGTCGAGGTAATTATAAACAAGGGGGGGAGGTTGTTTTTTTTTTCTCTTTCGTTTGTTGCTGATCGATTCGCCAATACTTCCTCAATCCTCTCTTCAGGTCAACTGCGAAACCGACTTTGTCTCGAGAAACGACCTCTTCAAGAGCCTCGTCAGCCAGATCGCCTCAACTGCCCTTCTGGTTGTCGACCCATCCTCCGCTGGACTAGCTGCCGATCAGAAGGGTCTCGCCCAGGAAGTCTCAATCGCCGACCTATTGCAGGCTCCCATCCTCCCCGACCCCACCCCCGCCGCTGCAGGATCAGACGCGCCAGCAACATCAGCAGCACCACAGGAATTCGCCACTGTCCAAGAGTCTATCACCAAAATGGTCGCCAAGCTGGGCGAAAACATCTCCCTGCGTCGCTGTGCTGTCATTAACATTCCGGAGAACCAGCGCGGCCTCGTCCTGACTGGAGGAGCAACCCACGGAGGCGACAAGCACCCTTACACTGGAAAGATGGGCGCACTCTCTGTCTTGACCCTGGTTTCGAAGCAGGGAGGATCCAAGAAGGTCGTTCCTTCGGAGGCTGTCACTACCCTGTCCAGACAATTGACCCGCCACTTGATCGCCTCACCTTCGATTACTATTCATCAGGAAGACTGCAAGATCCCCTTAGAGATCTCGAACGGTGGACATGCACCCCCAGAGGAGGTTGATGCCTGGCTGGACGAGAGAGTATTGATGCGTCAGCCTTTTATCTTTGGAGGAGGAAAGGTCGAGCAGGTGATCGCCAAGGTCGCCAAGGATGAGGGCTTAAGGATCAAGGTCGTGGATGCCTTGCGGTGGGAGAGGGGTGAGGGCATGGTCAAGGCGGAGACACCAGACTTTGCTGAGGAGGTTAGGCGCCAGATCGAAAACAAATAGACGCACTCATGTATAGACAAAATATATTTTACTTCACTTCACACTTTTTTTTTACATATATGGCGTTGCGCAATGGACCATGAAGCGTTTGTTTAAACCATTTAATAAGAAAGAGTAGAGTAGACTAAAGTGGGTGTGCGTTCTAGAGTGATGATAACAGATGAGAGTTAATTGCCGTCAAGGCAACTGTTTACGTGAAAGAGTACTGGGGTCCGCCGCCACCCTATGGTTCAAAAATAGGAAGAACGCATTTTGTCAGTTTGGAATCACAAAGAAAGAAAGCCACAATAAACTTGTCCCTATACACGAAAGTGTCCCGCTTACCTCTGGTACTGTCCAGTCAATGTTCTGGCTGGGATCCTTGATATCGCATGTCTTGCAGTGGATGCAGTTCTGAGAATTGATCTGGAGTCTCTTAGTGCCTTCAGGGCCGCTCTCATCTGGCACAAACTCATACACGCCGGCGGGGCAGAAGCGTCCTTCCGGGCCATCAAAGACCTTCAGGTTGCGCTCCACAGGGATGTCCTTGTTCTTAAGGCGCAAATGCACAGGCTGATTCTCTGCGTGGTTGGTGCCTGTCCTGGAAACTGAGGTCAGCAAATCGAACGAGATAACCCCATCGGGCTTGGGATATTCGATCTTCTTGGAGTTCTTGGCCACCTTGAGACGCTCATGATCGGGGGTGGTGTTGTGGAAAGTCCATGGTGTCCTGCCCTTGAGAAGAATTGTGTCGATACCCGAGTAGAGGACGCCTCCAAGATTTCCAAGAGGTGAATGGAAGCTAGGTCTGCAGTTGCGTACCTCGGTCAACTCCTTCCAGACCCAACTATCCTTGATCTTCTGTTCGAAATCAGCCAGGACAATGGGTTTCTCTTCCGAATAATCTTCGGCTGTGATTGCAGCATAGGCTGACTCGGCAGCTAACATGCCCGACTTCATGGCGGTGTGCGTTCCCTTAATCTTGACCAGGTTCAAGAAACCAGCGGTGCATCCGATCAGGGCGCCGCCGGGGAAGTACAATTTGGGGATCGACTGAAGTCCACCCTCGTTAATGGCACGGGCACCATAGGAGAGGCACTCTCCGCCCTCCAAAATATCCTTGACGTAGGGATGGTGCTTGAAGCGCTGGAACTCCTTGTAGGGATGAAGGTAGGGGTTCTCGTAATCGAGGCCAATGACGAGCCCTAAGCTGAGCATGTCATCGCCCATATGGTAGATGAACGAACCACCGTACGTCGAGTTGTCGATGGGCCAACCCAATCCGTGCACAACCGTACCGGGCTTGGACTTGCTGGGATCAATCTTCCAGACTTCCTTGATACCGATACCATATGTCTGAGGGTCGCACTCATCGCGGAGGTTGAACTGACGGAAGAGCTTCTTGGTCAAGGAGCCGTGACATCCCTCGGCAAATAGGGTGACCTTGGCATGAAACTCCATGCCTCGTTCAAAGCCCTCCTTTGGTTTGAAATCCTTATCCAATCCAACATCGTTTGTAGCGATTCCCTTAACGCTGCCGTCTTCATTGTAGAGAACCTGCAGGTGACAAGTAAGCGAATACAAGACGATCGGTCAACTACTCATTCCGGAGCATAGATTTTTTCTCACACAAATCATGCGTGGGAAAAAAATCAAAAAAAAGAGTTGAAGGTTTACCTCACTGGCAGAGAATCCTGGAAAGACCTCAACGCCGGCTTCCTCGGCCTGTTCGCCGAGCCATTTAACATAGTTACTCAGGGACACAATGTAGTTGCCCTTGTTGTTCATCTGAGGAGGATGAGGCAAGGGGATGGTGTAGTTCTTGGTGAACAGCTTCATTTGGTCACTGAGTGCTGGCTGGTTCAATGGAGCCTAAAGACAGATTTGGACATCACAAGAGAAAATCAGAGCAATGAGTATCATTACATGACACGCTCCGAAAGATCAATATTTCCGAATGGAGCATAGGGGACTATAGCAGGGGACCATGGAACTTACACCCTTCTCCTTCCAGTCGGGAATCAACTCATTCAATGCGCGAGGTTCCAGAACGGCACCAGAGAGTGTGTGGGCACCTGTGCGTACATGATTAGAAGAAGAGTATATCATATTAATATCGAGGCTCCAATACTATCTCGAGGATAATATTTGCGTGCAGATCAGATGTCTATATCGGATCCATGGATATGTACAAGACCAATCACTTACCGATTTCAGCACCCTTCTCCACCAAGACAACGCGGAGCTCGCGTCCATCGGCATTGGCAAGCTGCTTCAACTTGATGGCGGCGCTGAGACCAGCAGGGCCACCACCGACAATGACGACGTCGGTTTCGTCCGCAAAGCGCTCTGCCTTGGTAGGATCCTCAGACTCATCCTCGACCTCGGAAGCATTCAAGCTTGGGAGGGACTGGGAGAAAGCGCGGAGGGCAGTTTGCTGAGTGCGGGTGTGTCTGAGAGTGGTCCTTTGGGCGACCGAGGCACCCTGGCGACGTCCCAGGGCAGATGCAACGGTGAGTAGGGTACGTCTAGGAGCAGTGGTGGCGTTGACCCTGGCAGCAGAGACGGCGGAGAGCGAGAGGGTTGAGTTCAGGGCACGAGAAGATCTGCCCAGTTGCGCGAGCGACGACATGATGAACGATCCTGATCCTGATCCTGAGTTAAGCTGAGAGAAGGGGATTAAAAGACGAAGGAATGAGGAATGAGGAGGTAGGTGTGGATGAGGAAGGAAAGAAAAGAAGAAGAAGGGGGAAGAGGAGGAAGCGGAGAAAGACGAAAAGGAATAAGAAGTCCGGGGACAGGAACAGGGAGAGGTGAAATCAAGCTCTTGAATATGACAAAGAGAAATGGGCTGCGAGCCACAGAAAACACCGAGAAGCGGGGGCATCGTACGTGCTGCATTTTCAATTAGATCGGCATCCGAGTGTGTTTTCCCCTCTAATTGCACATATCCGCTGGCATGTGATGCATCTCCCTATTGCAGCAGAAACCTTATTTTTGAAGATCTCCGCCCGTCCGTAGGCGGGACACACGCGTTCTTCGTCATGGTGTCCTCATTCGCTTAGTTGCAGAAGGATGCACCTGACTTTGCAGCACTGGCCCTCCACATTCGCAGACCCCGGTCTGCACTCGCTCCCACGCTTTCTCTTTTGTCTCTGCCCACTATCCCACGACTTTACTGAACAATCTTCTCGCTCTTTATCTTTTCTTCTCACTACATCGAACCATGTCCGTCACCAGAGTTGTCGAATCGCGCATCATCGAGGTGAGCAGAAAGTTGTTCTGTTGGGGGGGCTTCATGGCTACCATCGTTTAAAACCCTCACCAACATCATTTTCTCCATGTACTCGTCAACGTACAAAGGCGCCCGTAGAGACGGTGTGGACCCATGTTCGCTCAGTTGATCTTGGTTTCTGGAAAGCTGTCAAGCATGTCGAGGTCAACGGCGGTGCCGGTGAAGGTATGCGCAATCTATAACAGTCCCCACAGAACGCTGCCTGGTCCTTTTCACAATGAGATGCATGCCTCTGCCATTGCCTATGAGTAACCATTCACTCTATTTCATTAGTCGGAAGCACCAGAAAGATCTCCTTCAACGATGGCGCTGTTCAGGAGGTCAAGATTGTGGAACTGTCTGGTAATATAACGAGGGGCAACCTGTCATGAAGCTCAATCCTATACACTACAAAGCGCAGAAAAAAAGAATCGAAAACAGCTGTGCTAATTCGCATACAATAATCCTGTAGACCTCGGCCACTTTGTGAGCTTTGATTTCATCGAAGCACAACCACCCGTCGACTTCATGTCTGCGTTGCACACGATTACCCTTCGAAAGGTCACTGCAAACAATACTACGTTTGTCGAATGGTCCGCAGAGTTCTCATCGGATGCTCAGCTTGGTGAGAATCCAAGTCGGTCTTTTCCTTCGTGTGGAACCCGTACAATTCACACAGCCAATTGACCACATCCTCTTTTGTTTCTTAATTCAATGCATGCACCAATAGCTGTGATTGAGGACAGTCGCTACAAGCGTCTTGAAGGCCTGGAGGATCTCGCAAGAGCCGTTAAAAAGTAGTTGACGGCAGAGTATGACACGACACGATACTACAATTGCTGTCTATAAATGGTTGTAAATAGCTGTATATGGCTGAGGCCCATGCGATCTCAATAAACTTGCCTTATTGCCGATGTGACGATTCAAATAGACTTTTTTGTTTTTTCATTTTCGTGGCAACACTAAACAGGAGCGCTCAGTCGCCTTCATCGCACACACAAACCCATGGCAAATCCATCAACACAGGCTCCTCGCAACGCAACAACGACCAATGTCATCTTTGCCCACGACTTTGTTCAGTCCTCCTACAAGTTGCTGGAAATACCAAAGTCTCTTGAGAATTACATCAACAGCAATGGTCAAGACGGCCCTTTGAGGTACAACGCAGCCCAGTCCAACAGGACAAGGGGACAGTTTTAATGATGATGAGGTACTCAGGAGCGCGAAATTGCTGTATTTATGCTTCTTTCAACCATCGGTTGTTATTGCTTAGTTTTCAAGTGCGTGGTCAGGATAAGGATACGGCAGTGCTCTGTACTCCTACACAGACATTCAGCCTCCAGCGTGCTCATACGTCCAACATGCTTATGCCTATCGCGCCAGTTATCAAACGGCGCAGGAACGAGTACGACATGGACGCCGATATGGAAATGGACATGAATGCAGACATGAATCCTTATCAGATCCACGACAATGAATCGGACGAATCCCCATACCAGAAGCAGGTTGTTCTTGACATCCTGGACAGCATCCTCGATCTGATCCCGATCTCACCACGGCTGGACCGACTTACTGATCTGCTTGGGCAATATCAGTTTGAGGGATGGGCACAGGAAGCTAAGGTGAAGGTACGAGCATGAGCAGCTTGAGAATTTTAAGCAATTGGATGTGTTCAAGAGAACGAGGTTAACATATTCAAATGTTATATTCTTCACAGGGACAGTTGAATACTTGGGCTCATCTTCAATCCATCGTTCAGGCAAGTGATCAGGAGATCCTTCAATGGCTCAAGGAGCGACATGCTTGTTTGATTGAAGGTATGCCTCTATCTTGCACTGAACACTGAAGCAAATTGCTGAAGTCGCTACAGGTAAAACGTATTAATACCAACGTATTTTTTATGTTTTCTCAACAACGCGCAGGTCACTGGAGGCTCTTCAAGCGGCAGTTCATGTATGACATCCTTCAGGAGATATTGATGACGATGAATGTACTCGAAATGTCTGCAAATGCGATTGACGGAAGCATGCTTTGCACGATGATCGAAGAGGAGGCGCCTGAGCGGGAATCTGGAATCGAAACCTGGATGGTAGAACACTGCCTGCAGAGCTTTTCAGATGATAAGGAAACCACAGAACCGGGTGCGTTTATGTTGCCTGTATAGCTCAGAGGGAGGGGATTGATTAGCATTGTTACTTGCTGTCTGCTGTGCTAGACGCGATTGCGACTGATATCTGGCTATGGTCTCTCGTTTAACTTGCTCGCTTTCTATGCAGGATATTATCACCTATCGGCCGAAAAACTGTGCACCTTTATGGGTGTCCATCTCCTGTCCACAATTGAAAGGGTATATGAATTTGAGCTCGATACTGTCTTGTAGAAATGCAGCGTCTTGATCCGCGCTCTTGCACTAATCCAGCTTGTCGACTGTGCTTTTTAGGGGAACCGGTGGAAACTCGAGGATTTTGTATACACATGGGAGAAATCCCTGCATGGACACTTTCAGACAGACCTTGCTTACCTCGCTGTAGGTTGATATTTTCACTTAAGGAATATCTTGTCAGATCGATTCCTATCAACTAACCACGATGACCTTATTTGTGGGGAATTTTTTTTTTAGGGCGAGTGCATTGTTGAGACAGATCGTGCTCCGGACCGGAAGCAAACGTACAGATACATCCGACATCTGTCCAGATCGCATCTACCCGTCGATCCAGCTGCACGGTTCACGGCGCTCTTTGAGATCAAAAATAAATGGGAGGCTCAGGAAATTCGCCCGTTCCTGCGTGATCTTGTCCTAGATGAGAAGAAACTGGATATTCTCTTGTTGAAACATGCCAGGAGCGTGAAGCAGGCTGGAGGAGGAGTCATTTACAGCAGCCGTGTCATCAAGTAATAAAGCGAGTGATCGATATCGATATCGACATCAAATCCTCGGATGCACTTGTACTTTTATACGCGATATCTTGACCTTCGACCATGTGAGGTGTATGCCACATTCATGAGCGCTTTATTATAGTTCTGCGCGAGGAGCATACATTATGTGGGGTATATACAATGTGCTGGTAAGAAACAGGCTGCAGTGGACCTGCGTAGAGTTACAATTTTGTACAGAAAGCAGAAATGAAAAAAGAACGCGGATCTGTGATGTCAAAAGAATTAAAAAGACTGGCTTCTAGAGCGCGACATCGGCCATGGACTGAAGGATGTCGTGAGCGCCGTAGGTTGTTCGTGCCTGGGAAGAACTGTGGGAGACTGAGGAGGAGGAAGAGGGGGAGTAGGAGCCAAAGCTGCCTGAGTGGGCAATGGACGCTGACTAGTACTGCTGGGACCGGCTTCTTCAGTGGACTGAACTCGTATATGGCTGGTCCGTCTCTGTTGACCACACCAACATGAGCTCTGCTCCTGTGCCGCGATGGGATTCAGGGTACAGGGGCAGATCTCGCCACGACGTTTGCCTTCGATCTGTCGAATCCACCAGCCCTTCCCGTCCGCAGGAATATCAGCTCTGGAAGACATGGATCCATCCGAGGCTCCCAAGCCTCGCGATTTCTTGCGACTAAGTTCCAGGTCATCGTCCGAGTCATCGTCGGCTTCGCTATTATGGCCATCTTGAGCGTGGCGCCCATCGATATACTGCAAAGACCCACTTTGATGTTGTTCCTGCTCTGATGAAGCCCATGGTTTCATGGTGCGGAACATATTGCCGAGACCTGGGGAAGGATTACAGGTGCTGGATTCATTGAACGGAGCCCCATGTTGAATTGAGTGGTGCTGGTAAAGGTGGGCGCCAGTATTCAGTTCAATGTCGTGCATCATGGACTTATCCTTCGCATCTAATCCTTGATGTTTCCACGCGCTGACAAAGGGGGTCGAGATTTGCTGCGAAAGTCCTGGTTTCTTGGGAGAATGAACCAGTATTGCTCGGCTGGTCTCAACCGCCGCAAGTTCTTCGTCTGCTGGAAGCTGCCTTCGAAGAGCTTTTGAATACAGAACGACGACAAGAATCCAGGAACTGTGAAGAAGGATCCATCCGCCTGGCCCCAGGATATAGAAGGCTCCGATGAGAGCGTGTGTTTTGTAGCAAACCATAGGGTGAGGCGTCTTTTCTATGCTAGAGGTGCTGTTGCTTCCGGTCAAAGGGATGGTGGTTGCTGGGATTGTTGGTGCTCCTTCTAGAATGATCCCGTTCCCACAATAACTGACTAGCTTGGACTTCTGCTTGGACATCATGATGCCAAAGTAGGCGCCCTCGACGATCGTAGATGTGATCAGGATCCAATAGAGAACGATGAGGGTCTTGAGTCGTCGGTCAACAGCAAGGCGCTGCAAGACTATACCAGTAACGAGCCCGAGGAGGGCATAGAACGAGTAGATAACAGTATAGACGATCTTGACCTGGACTGGCGAGTTGAACTGGACAAACCCTCGCAGCGTCGCTACATTGAAGCTGAGTGCGAGTGCGACAGAGGGGATCTGATGGGTGCGAACAGTAATGACATGCGTGCAATTATGAGTGAGCGAGTTGCAGACCGAGTGGTATCGGGATATCGTTGTGAGATAAAGGGTTGATGACTTACAATCAGGAGTAAGGATAGGACATAGACACCGGACGTGACGGGACAGCAGCAGCAGTAACGTATTACTTTTGATGGCGAGGATGGTGGGGATGATGATCTGCGTTCAATGGTGGATTTGAAGCGGAGCTGCGAGAATGATTCGGTGGTGCTGGTGTTGGTACTGTTGTCGGTGCTGGGTCCCATCTCCACTGCGACAGAGTGGGTGTCGGTGGGCTGTGGTCGTCTTGGGGTTTCCATGAACTGGGTGATTGAGGCCGATTGAAAGACGGATAGAGGACGTTGGAGGGGAGGTTTTTGGCAACCCATAAAAAGCAGTAGATTAGTATAGGGATCTAAAGCGAATGAAAGGGAAAGAAAAGGAGAGAGAAGGAATGGACATGGTTAGTACACAGTACAGAGAACTAGAAGAGTGAACGAAATAAAGAGCGTTGGTGGGCTGTGTATGTGGATAGTTTAAAGTGAAAGTATTGTAGTTAAAATAAACATATGGCACAGCTACTAGGATGTCCGCAATTGGGACAACGCCCTGTGCAACAGCCAACCCTTGGATTTATTGATTGATCCACTAATACTCCACCACAATAATTGTTATACTAATACTCTACCACAAATATCCATACATCCAAAATGAAAAAATAGCTCGCGGGCTAAGCACCCATCCACCTGTCTAACAACACATTACCCAGAGGAACATGAACATGAAGTTCGTAGCTGATCCTTGACCGCTGCCGATCTCCAAAAAGTGAGGAAGTAAAAATTGGGGGTCAAGGTTGAAAGGAGAAAAAGAAGCTAGCTGTGAAACATATTGAATGGATAAGGCGTGGGCTTTTGTCGGACATCATTGCTTCATCGGAAGTAACCGAGATATTTCTTGGCATGGCGCAGAATAGCGCCTGTACTAAGGTAGCGCAACAACTGGTCTTGCTGGATAGAAGAGAACCAGATGGGAGAAACAAGTCGTGGGTGAGAAAAAGGGGAGGAAGAAGGGGGCATGAAACGGTGTATGGGTGTATATATACCATACCAGTCAATATGAGGATGCTTCGAGTATGGGCAATGCGGTGTAAAGATACATAGGATAGGCGGACGATATGATAGTGAATAATTTCAGGCACGGAGAAATAGGATTGGATATGTGAAAGAAGGAGAAAGAATGTAAGAAAAGGAAGACGCTGAGGATGCGAAAGAGTCGAAAAAGTCGAAAGAGTAATAAATAAACGAAGAAAAGCGTGCTGTACACTTTTTCTACTCCTGGGCTGTTGCTTTTTTCTTTTTCTTTTGTCGGTCTATAGATCTGCGCTGGGTTGATTGTAACCAGTCGACAGCCGCATCGGATAGCGGCGGACAAGTTCTATACTTCTATACTTCTCTACTGTAGCCTCCATCATGTGGAGGAATGTCAAACGGAAAGCTGGCTGTATGGCCCAGTGGGCGTCAATAGTTTGGTCCGCGTGCTTTTCCTATTGGACCAGCCGCATCCAGGGCGCAGGGGTGTCCTTCCACAAACAGTGCTTACTTTGATTAAAGTTCACCCGTCGATTTTTATCTTTCCAGCGTGGTCATGTCTCTTCACCTTGTTTGCTTTGGCCGTTCTGGTGTGTATATGCCATATGCCGCTGGCGCGACAAGATCCCCATCAGGAATGGTGCGATCAAACCTCTTTCTGTGCCTGTCCATCTGTCCCAAACTACCACTCATGTTTGTAAGTTATACCAATCAAGATCGCAAATGACAATATCGAATGACATACTTTTGCCATTTTGGGTCTAGAACTTTTGCTGAGCTTTGAACACGTAGCATCCAAAAAATAGACATCTAAGCTACGCCTCACCTCCTTTGCAGTCCCTTGAAATATTGCAGCCAACTCTGAGGCTATGTCCCAGCTGCACCACCAACTACAACAAATACATGCAGTCCTTTTTCTTTCTAGGACACCGCCTCACGAACGTATCGTCTTTCATTCCTCCTGTAGTTAGTATCAGAGCCTAAGATACGCACCTAGGCCAATGAGACAATTGTTGTTCAGCTCTCTGAAGCATGTTTGGTCGTGCTCTACGCGCTACATCTCTTTCTGGCTTTATTTATTGACGTGATCATCTTTATGTACCACATCTGGAATCGTCTCGAGACATACCATCTTTAAGAAGAACGGCATAAAAAGCCCAGTTTTGTCGATTCTTATTATTGTAATGGACAATTATCTGCTTCGCTCCTTCTTTCTCTCCTCTCTACACTCTACTCTTTTCTTTTATTAACATTATTAAATCTGGCTAGATCCAATGGAAGCAGACCCAGCTGATACGCAGTTACAGGAGTACTCAGTAATTCTGGCAAGATTAGACTGACCTTCCGGTTCACAACTCGCTCGAATCGTATTATGCATGGCACAGGGCATCTAAACCTCCCAAACACTCCAGCACTCTATCTTCGGTCATACTTTGCACTTCACCAGACAGCGATTTGGTCCGCTCTGTTACCAAAGTGTTCTGCTTGAAAGTGTTTTACCCACCCGTGAATACATGACTATCCTCCCTATCCTTATTAGTCTACCTAGCTTGAAGACCCGTTCATTTCTACCTCACATAGCGTTTGAGTGGGCGACATAAAAGCCAGTTTCCTCCTGAGGACATTGTATTTGAATAAGATGGGGGATCTATAGAGAGCGCCTTGAACTCAAATTGGCCCATTCAACAGCTGGCTGAATAACAGTCGACATAACCATTGACAGGGCTCTTAAGCCAGCCAAGGCGTAAAATTGAGTAAGGTATGCTTCAAAGGTCATCATCCTCAGCATGGAGATACAGAGGAAACCTCGAACTTCCAAGGTGATCTGATTGGACCGAGGATTGAATGCAGTTCTATGTCTAGCGCTCTCGCCCATTCATTACAGGTACATGAATAAACAAATGCACACGCTCAAGGGATGGGAGAGGGCCAGGCAGATAATTATGTGCACAGAACTGACAAACAAATGGGCACCTGTGTCCTGTCCAGCAAGTGAGGGCCCCTTCCTATTGTTTACTACATGCTCACGGGGGGTACAATACTGCGTTAAAATGTGTGAAAATACCGCTGTGGGAACATAGCTGCACCTGGTGGCTTTCCTGGCGCGCTTCGTTTGCAGAGCTTGATATTTAGGACGCTTCTAAAAATCGGGTCATCTTGCCGCAGTGGTGTATGCACATCGTGATTATCACTCCTACCCTGCAGATAGACAGTTAGTGTGTTGAGCTGCATGTACACGCGCCAGGAAACTGTACCTTCTCTGCACTGTGGTCCCTGACAGGCCAGTAACCCAAGAGTCCAGACGCAAACATTATGCGCGCTCACACACGCTGTTGGCTCTCGAGAGGGCAGCGGTCCGGCAGCGTCGATTGCCAGTCTCAGAGGTACATGGACAGCATACTAACTCTTTGATACGCCTGTTCTACCTCGGCGGACCTGCAACCAGCAACAGACGGTACCTCCCCATGCACCATACCGAGGCAAGACCACGAGAGGAACGAAAAAGAACATTCAAATCGAAGACGAGTACCTTGAGAGCAATTACGGCTTGCGCGCGTCTGATTGGACCTACAGCGCGTGCTTTTCACATCTACGCAGCTCATTCTGCGGCCATTTCTCATTCAGGGCAGGCTCTCGTATGTGCTCTTGCTGCAGGGGCAGTCTAGCAGCACATTTTTTGTGGGTTGTCCCTGGATACGATTAGACTATGGGCTAATTATTTTTACACCAAGCTATTGTAGTTGATACCGAGGAATCAAATTCAAACGACTGTCAAGAACTTGATGTTATCCGCGTTAAACATGATTGCGCTGTAATAAACACGATCCAGGGATGCATCAAGATTTGTTTGTTCATGCTCAAGAGTTTTCTAACTGTCTGCTTGTTTACATGCAATCCATTTTTGAGTAACATTCCCATGGCTCTCCCTCCCCCTTGTTCCCTGGTAACATCAACAGTTGCCTCTTCGCCCTCACCTAAGCCTAAGATTAGAAAATCAACCCTGACTGAATAAAGTTGACGCGACAAATAAAAAAAAAACAAAACTGCAATTTTAGTATTGTAATGTCCAGATTTCTTCGCATCAGCGCCTCTGGAGGGGTCGTCTTCCCATGCCTGCCTGCATTTGCATCAACTCTATTGGAACCTTAACAAGACATGATGGGAACCAAATATGAACAATGAATAATTGGCAACACCAAATGTGAACGCTATAAAGGGGACCATGCCCCTCGGCACCATCTTTCTTCTGTAGACATCGCATCTGATCTCCCATTTACCGTCTCCAAGACATCCCCTTGCCATCCTCCCCCTACCTGTCATCCCCTTCCCGCCTTTCGGCCACTGTCCTCTTAACACCCACCACAGCTACGACGCTCCCGTCATTGATCTCTTGACCGTCCATCCTTACCATTCCAGCAATATCCACCTGAATCAACTCTTTTTCTAAAAACCATGAAAATCACTGCCCTCATCAGCCTTATGGCTGCCGCGACCCTTGTCTCTGCCGGCAAGTTCCAGCCCAGCGTCCCTCGTCCCGACGTCGAGATTATTCCTGGTGCTTTCATTATCGAGGTATGGATGCTTTTCTCTCCCCATTATCTTTTTAAATTAAATTATGTATATAAGTGGGTGCCAATCTTCAAACTTGAGCTCATATTCAACGTTTATTTGTTATTGACAAATTATAGTACCACGACGGTGTCGATCATGCCAAGGCCAATAACTACCTCAACAGCAGGAAAGACCTGTCCTTCAAGGTCCGTGGTCAGTATGAACAATTCAACGGCGCCTCGATCCAGGTCAAGTCTGGCCACAACGGTGATGATCTGGCCAAGATTCCCGGTGTCAAGCGTGTCTGGCCCGTCGAGCGCTACCAGCTCCCAAAGCCTAATCTCTCCAAGGAGGATCCCACTAAGCCCCATTTGACATCCGCCCATAAGATGACCGGTGTCGACTATGTCCAGAAGACATTCAAGTACACCGGCAAGGGCATCAAGGTCGGTATCATTGACTCTGGCGTTGATTATACCCATCCTGCTCTCGGAGGCTGCTTCGGAAAGGGCTGCCGTGTCCGCTACGGCTGGGACTTTGTCGGTGACAACTACGACAAGGATGGCATCGCTGCCCAGGACTCGGACCCCAGAGATACCTGCAATGGCCACGGTACCCACGTTGCCGGTATCATTGGTGCTGATGCCCGCAAGGTCGGTGCTCCCCAGCCCTTCGTTGGTGTTGCTCCCGAGGTCACCTTCGGTGCTTACAGAATCTTTTCTTGCGCTGGTAGCGGCAGCTCCGATATTATCATGATGAGTATGGAGCTCGCTTTCAACCAGGGCATGAACATCATCAACATGTCCCTCGGCTCAGGCTCTGCATATAGATCTACCCCTATTGCCGTCCTTGCTGACCGCCTGACCGCCCGCGGTCTTGCCGTCGTCGCCTCTGCTGGAAACGATGGTGCCGATGGTGTCTGGAGCGTTTCCAACGCTGGTTTGGGAGCCCTCTCGACCTCTGTCGCCTCCTTCGACAACATTGCTGGCAACTACAACTTCCTCTCGTACGGCGGTGCCGAACACCCTTATGCCTACTCCCAGGCTTGGGGTAAGCCCTTGGACCTCCCTGCGTCCGCTACCTTGGTCCCTGTCCTCAACGTCGATGGATCGCTCTCGGACGGATGCGTCGCTGATTCCTACGCTGGTCAGAACGTCACCGGAAAGGTTGTCCTTGTCCTCGGCGATACCACCCGCTGCAAGTCTGGTGGACGTGGTGCTGCTGCCAAGACTGCTGGTGCTGCCGGTATGTTGGTTCAGAGTGTGCCTCTGGGCTTGAACAACCTCGGAGGCAACCCCGACTTCCAGATGGCCGCTATCGAGGCCGCTGCCGGTGCTGAGCTCCTTGCTGCGTACAAGAAGAACCCTGCCACCGCCTTCAAGTGGTCGCAGTCTAAGAAGTCCTTCAGAATCGAGGGTGGTGGAGCCCCCTCCGACTTCTCGTCCTGGGGATTCGATGGTGATCTCCACATCAAACCTGACATTGCTGGACCTGGTGGTAACATCCTCTCCACCTACCCTGTGAACATGGGCAGCTACGCCATTGAGTCCGGCACGTCCATGTCTTCGCCCTATGTTGCTGGTGCCCACGCCCTGTTGTTCAGTGCCCACAAGAAGGTCCTCCATGGCCAGGATGCCCGCCAGATCCTTATGAACACCGCCGTTCCCGGCCGTTTCTTCAACCACACTGCCTTGGCCCCCGTTACCAAGCAGGGTAGTGGTCTCGTCAACATCAAGAACGCTATCACCGTTCAGACCCTCTTCTCCCCTGACAGAATCGAACTCCTGGACACTGCCCACTTTGCCGGCAAGAGCGTCGAGGTCAAGATCAAGAACTTGGGCAAGCGCTCGACCGTCTACACTCTCACTCACGAGACCACTGAGTCTGCCATCTCTTACCGCAATGGTAACTCCTACCCTTTGCTGGCTCCCATCCTTGAGAACGACAAGGCCACGGTCAAATTCTCGCAGACCAAGATTACGATCCGTGCCGGCAAGACCGCTAAGGTCAAGGTCCAGTTCAAGGAGCCTTCGACCGGCAAGGCCTCTGAGTTCCCCTTCTACTCCGGCTACATTGTTGCCACTCCCCAGGGCAAGGACGCTGTCCCAGTCCGCATTCCCTATGCTGGTGTTAAGGGAGATGTCTCTCGGGTCCCCATTCTTGATACTGATTATGGTGTCCCTCTCCTTGTTGTTTTGAACAAGAGCACTGGCAAAGTTGGACCCATTGAGAAGGGCCACAAGCTCGACTGGGCCGCCGAAACTCCCTACATCTTCACCCGCCTCGGAAGCCACACTCCCGAGCTCTGTAAGTTTTTCACTTGTTCTTGAGTGCATGCGTTTAAACCAAGGCAGTTTACTAACACGGACTCAACCTCAATCAATAGCCCTTCGCCTCTATGATGCCAGGGGCAAGTTGGCTGGTTACCTGAACACCCAGTTTGGCGTTGTCGCCTCAGAATTCGGTCGCTCCAAGAACCTCGACTCCAATACTGGCAAGCCCGTCGTCAGGAACTTCAGCTGGGTCGACGGCAAAGTCTTCACTGATGTCAACGCCATTACTCCTGTCGCTGTCCCTGCTGGCAATTACAAGGTCGTGGTCGCTGCCCAGCGAAAGCTGTCTAAGGGCAAGTACCCCGCCGACTTCGAGGTCTACGAAGTCGCCGATATCAAGCTGTAAATGAAACATATGGACGACAGCCATCACTATCCGCACTCCACCCATTCCCTCTTACTTTATGATCCCTCCCTTGAAAACCTTCAATTCTCGTAATTTATTCTCCCCTTCATAGAAAGATGTTGCATTTCTGATAAATACCATCTTAAGGAAGAAACAGACATCTTCAGCGCATATAAATATATTCGTATATTCAGGTTATTTCCGTTACTCGCTACATTATGACTTTGCCTTGAACATAAGGCTTCCGCTACGTACAATGATCGAAGGTGCAAGCCCATACGACGCCTGTAGTTCCTTGACCCACTGTTCACTTGTCACAGCGTCCACCGGAGTTGTCTGAGTGTATTCTTCCTGCGACTCTGTTAGCCCGACCGCATGGGCCATCACAGATACTGGTAAAGAATAGTACGCCTTGCTCATCATCCCCACACTCATAGACCTTGCCGAACCTAGGGAGTCCCCCATTGAGCGTTGGATCATAAGCCGCTGCTCCCACGAGATCGGGATCGTGTTCTGAAGCAATGCTGGTAAACAGACTGACGGACCGCCGACTGCGCTCAACAACCGTTCGCGCAGGATCCAATTACCATCTCGAAGACTCTTCCAGTATGCGAGTGCGAACACCACCTCCGACTCGAGTGCATACTCGGACGGTCTTTGCTGTCGAAGTTGCTCGTATACTTGCAAAAGCGACGCTATTAGCTGATCGGTCTCCGTTTTCGGATGAGCAATCGTCTGGGAGAGCAGATTAAGAGTTCCGATAGAGGATGAGGTCGACGTGACGCGCTTGCGGATTGGTTTGGCAACTTGGTGTAGAATGTACAGGGCTAGAAACCGCTGGCGCTCAAGGGGTATTTCTGGGAGGAGCGATGGGTCCGCACGGGGAGTGATTTTGTAGACTTGAGGGTGGAGGTCGTGCACGAGGTGTTGGAGGGCTTTGGTCAACTCGGGTATATTCCCAGCGTAGAGACTGCATAGGATTGATTGTTCGTAGACTAGAGCAGATGTACATAAAAAAAGGCACTCATAAAATTAGACAACGCCGCAGTACAGGTGTGATGCAAACGCGGGATAGAACTTTTTTTTTTTTTTTTTTGAGGACATAGTGTAGGGTTTACCTTGGACAGCAAAGATATCTCTGGTCTCGGTGGCAAAGAGGCCTTCTCGAAGCTTCCTGAAGCTCTCGAGGATCTTGTCCATCTCATCGGCTTGGCGTGTTCTCGGTGGGATTGGCTTTAGTTTATCATGTCCATATTGTGCTTCATATTTGGAGATCTAGCAAAGTATATACACAGGCAAGCATTGAACACCCAGAAATCCTGCGAGCAACTCTCCCTGGCTCTCTGTCCTTTTTTTCTTTTTTTTTTTTTCCTTCTTCTACACATGTTCATGTTACCATTGCCTTGATCTCAGAAAAGACCCGCTCCTGTATATTACGCGCTTTAATGCTACGACTTGATCTATCGAGAACATCATACCGAAAAAAAATAGGGCTAGGTGGTCAACAACACACGTAAATGCCACACAACCTACAGTAGACATGTTTAGTCTGTTGTACACTTTTTTTTCTTTGTTCTTTCTGCACTTCGGCTTGTGTAGCGGTATATAAACAGATGTAGATGAAAATATATATGAGTGTTGTATTCAAGCCGGTATCCGAGGGCTGCAGCCATTTCCAAAAAAAAAAAAAAAAAAAAAAAAAAAAGAATCGTCTAGTCGTCTCTGTGTATTCTGTTTGGTGACCTGTACATGGTGTTTGTAAATGTCAATCTTTACCCTGAATCGTCTCCTCCGCGGCTCACAAGCGTCATTGCTTCCACGCCTGAGGTCGGTGCCTTTTGTCCGAGCGCCTTCCGTTTCGCCACAATATCGGCATCGGCCAATGAATCGCTGTTTCCATGTCCTTGAGTCGATGAGCTCGATTTCATATCTACGCCAGCTAGTTGCGAAGTGACTTGATCCACAGCCTCGGCGACCTTGGGCTTGAGTTTGTAGGTCGATTGCTCCCACCAGGGAACCTCCTCTTTCGCATCCTGAGATGAGCTGGATGTCTCCTTGGCGCCTGATCGGGCTTTGGTCGCTCCTGTTGATGAAGATGCTCGCTTGGTGGCGACGGCTATTTTCTCTTCCCTTGAATCTTTGGATAGCTCCACTGCAGGTTCTTCCTTTTTACTCTTGGGTCCATACGTCGATTGTTCCCACCATGGGACTGCCGACCCCTTGTCCGTGTCCTGCGGACCATCCTCGTTAGTGCTCGAGAATGGTGGCGGCTCATTTGATTTTCGCTTGTGTTGATCCTTGCCTCTTCCACGGTTGCCCCTTGGAGACACCTTCTCAAGTGTTGGCGAGGGCGTCACCGGCAGAATGTTGATTTGATCCCGCGATCTTGTTCTGGAGTGCTTTCCATGATTGTTGCCGCTATCGGGTGATGGACGAGGGCGCTCGGGATAAGGTCGATCAGGTTCCACGGCTGTATTCTTTCCCCATCGGTCGCCCGGTCCGTCTACTCTCTCGGTACCACGATGTCTGGAGTCGTTGGTGTTAAGGCGCTCGTGATACATAGTTCCTGAGGCGTCTCTGTCGCGGCTGCTCGGTTCGTTGGCACGTCCTTCACGGCGTTTGAAGTAGATAACGTCATCTTTAGGTGACGATGCAGCGAGCGCGGGCGGGTGCAGCATTGGGTAGGGTCGATCCTCATGTGGCGTCTTCTCCCAGCGGCCGCCGCTATCTGGAGCCAAATCCCGAGATCGCCGCTTGGAGTGATCCTTGGATGATGCTACCTGATCCATGTGGGCCCGTGAACCGCGACCGGGACTGTGAGACCGCGTCGAAAGCCCGGATGGTAGGTGCGAGTTGTTGTTAGGCGAGGGTGATCGGATGTTACCGGAATAAGGTGATGATGGCCGCTGCCTGGAATGGTCCCATTGACGCTCTGTTCCTGCCATTGGTGAGCGCGATCGATAGGAAGGCGAGCGACTGCGGTCAATGCGAGGTTGGTGGTTTGCGTCTAGTGCTGCAGGAGGCTTTGGGGGTAGGGGAATCAATTGCCTCACAGAGCGTTGTCCAGGCGTAGAACTTCTGCTTCCGTCATAGTTTTTGGTCGGGCGAGACTTTCCGTCCGCATGGGTCGAGCCGTAGGAAGAGGATGGTTTACCTCGAGTGTCTTCGCGTCGACCATCTGACCGCCAATGACTTTCTCTTTCATATGAACTTCCTGGTCCGCGTCCTGTGGAGAGATGGCCGCTGGAGGAGTAGGTACGATCCAGACGATCGTTGGGAGTATCGCGATAGGGTGATGAATGATCTCTGGTTCGGGCGCGGCTACTCATCGTCTTGAGCGAAGAGTCGTTGTGGCTCCTCCGGTCTAAGGACCTGTTTGATCCATCAGCAAACCCTGCGGTATATCGTGGCGAAGATGAGTGACGACCATCGCTGGTGACCCTGTCCCTATTCCTGTTATTATCCCTGTAAGGGCTCTTGTCCTCTTGTCTGGAGCTGTGGTCGTCTACCGTATCAACGGACGGGGTGGGTGTTACCCCAACACCTCTGGTCAGCTCTGGGGGAAGATCTTCGTCGTCGGAGAAGACAGGGGCACCAAAGTCGATCTCCTCATCCGTGTCGTCAGCCCAGTCGATGGTTGGAGCAGTGGTGTTGGTAAATGAGGAGGATTCGGCCATGGGCGGAGTGTTATACGTTATGGCGGCAGAGGATGAGTGAGAGGCGAGGGAATAATGCTTCGGGTCCTATGCACTTCTTCCTTGCAGTTGAGAACCCCTGTAAAAGAAAGGCAAACCCGATTGCTCAGCTGTCCTCAGGCCCATATTACGCAGGTTTAGCCACTAGTGATTTTTCGCGCGAGGTAGGCGTGAAGCGGGGGGAGTAGGTTGACCAATGGATATGGATGTCCGCACATCCATTCACCTCTGACAATTCGCCTTGGACGCGACCTGAGCTACGTGCTGTGCACTTGCCTCTCGCTTCTTTCAATCCAGGTCGTCCTTGAAAATATAATCTCTGATAGCAGGCGCCGAAAATAAACTGACCACTGTCTGTACGAAAACGCTCTCATTAGAGCCATGAATGGGTCCCAGACAGCTGAAAAAGTCTCTGGCGTGGTTAGCAACCATGATATCTATCCTTCCTCCTCACCGAAGTGTCTTTTGATCAAACGAGCACCCCACGCTGTAGCAGGTCTTTGTGGCAATCTTAACCTGCTCCAGCCTTCCGCTGTCCATGTCTCAAAGTAATTTTCAATCGAACACTGGCGATCATGCGTGCCCGTTACTATGCCTGTAACAAAAAGGCCACAAAAAAGATGAGTATGTAAGTAAAAATCTGGTCAAGGACCGGTGAACGTAATGGCGGGGATTACGCTAGTCTATTGACGAGCACTGTTGCTACCAGGATCAGCTAACACATATACAGCGGGGATAAATATATCTTTGAAAAGTGTGGGCCCTGAGTATACCCTGCAAGAGTACACCAATGGATCCATTATTATTAGGTTCGTGAGCAGAAATGAGAATGCTTTTTTACAGCAACGGACGCTTCTTTTTTACACTTAGAACTCCTTCACATAGCAGCGAGATGAACAAGAGAGCAGCACAAAATAGGCGGATCCCGCTGGACAAAAATAACGACAGAAACGTAGCATGCGGCACCTCATGGACCAATAGATGACCCCCCTTCTCCATCAATCCGTTATATGTTTCCTCCTCCCCTAACAGCTGCTGTGTGTGTATTCGTCTCTTGCGCTACACAAACAGACAGATAAGAGTGTGGCCCTGGCTGGTCCATTGTAGCACAACGATACGACTCTGTTCCTCAAATGGCCCAAGGGGAGCACTGGCACAGGATAGACAGAATCAGAAGCTGGCCCTGTCCCGCCTGGTCTGCCCCCTCCTTGGGTTTGAGCGAGGAGAGAGATCCAATAATTACTGGCTTATGGAGACGTATTCTCCGCATGTTATCTTGGCCCAAACTCTGCTTGTGCCTTGTATAAAAAAGAAAAGGTCATTTTTGCGTGTTGTGGTGCATGTCCACTGTGCAATGGTGGATGGTGCGTGGTGCAGCAGGCAGCTGCATTGAGTACTGTACCATTACCTACCACAGTGAAGTAAAACAATTTGCCCCCCTGGACGATAATGGCGATAATGACGACGATAGGGTATGTCTTTCGCCTCTATTCAAGGTTCCTCCTTGATCTATTTTCATCCCTCCGCTCGCCCTTCATTTCCATTTCACACTTCCTTTTCTTCCTTTCATCCGATCGAAGAAAGCCTGGCATCTTCATCATCTCGCATCCCTTCGCGCATCATCTCATCTCCTCCCGCCTGCTCTCGTCATCAAGTGACACCGCGGAGGGTTACTGACATCATTCTTTCGCCCCGCTCCCCCAGTCCTCTGTTCCGTGAACACTCCAGGTACCAGCCCTACCTCCCTTGTCAACCCTTCAGCCATGCCCCAACGGACATTCTCAACCGCCAACGGCAGCGGGACTCCGTTAGCCGAGAATATCAGCGCACATAACCACCTCCACCACAGCCCCAGCTCTGGCTTACTCAACCGCAACACAGCCAGTAGGCCAGGATCTCCCTCGAACATTGGCGGGGCCATCTCCATGTCCTCATATCATCAACACTCCTCATCCGTGGCTTCGGTCCATAGCAACGGTAGCAGCAGTAACCTTCTCAGCAACAATGGCAACGCCAATGGAATTAGTAGCGGCGGATACGAGCATGGAACCACAGGGTCGTCGTCGTCGTCTGTATTAGATCACTCGATTTCTGTCGGCAACAGCGGGTATTTCAAACGATCCAAGTACAACAGTGGCCTGCATTCATTGTTATCCCCAAAGCGATGGAGGTGGTGGAATTACACCGCGGCAGTACTCCTAGTTTTTGCACTGGTTGAAGGCCTTGTGCTGCTGATTGGATCCACTGTCCTGTACTCGCTTCCTGACCAGATTCAAATCGGTAAGATTCAATGACAGGAAAAACAGCCGTGGGACCTTGATGATGTTAATATGGTTTTCAGCACCAATATCGAGAGCAATTGGTTTCAATTGCTTTGACTGCTTCCAATCGCTTTCAATTGCCTCCATTTAACTGGTATCAGTCGACAATCTGAAGGGATGTCAGGAATGACAACGCACTTAAATGGGATTTGGACTAGCGGCTAAACCTCATCATCGACGAGAGCAGCAGCAGACTGCAATGTATACAAACAAGCGTACGATCCTTGGACCGTGTGACAGGTGGATTATTTCATTCAGTAGAGATGGGTACCAGAGCAACAGAGAAACCGATCAGATACACTTCGAAAGCGGACCACACGCAGCGAAAAAAAAAAAAAAAAAAAAAAAAAAGGTCGACGGATTAATGGGTTTGATTCAACTGCCCCAGCAAGGGATGGGGGATGGGGGATGGGGGGGGGGGGGGGGGGGGGGGGAGGGAAAGGGGGGAAGAAGGGAGCTATGCCTGCATTATTACACTGTAGTACTCAAACATACAAGTTGTCTTACGCCCCTACTTTTTTTGCTTTTGCTCTCCATTCTAGACTCTCGAGATTTCAGAAAAGTTGATTACCAGGGCCTAGCCCTTGATCCCTCAGCGACTTACAAGAAGCAGATCCAGGTCTACCATGTCACCAAAGAATTTAGTCAGGCCTCTATGGGTGGTCTCGGCATGGTCGTTACCGCCCTGGCAACTGCCCAGCAGCGGGCACGTTCTCAGAAGGTCAACATTGTCATGCCCTATTACTCCATCTTCGACAGTGTACCCGGAATCAATATCAGGCTAAGCATCACCCTTCCACTCGACATCATGGACAGCCGTGGACGCACTCAGAACCTCGTTTTCAGCGTGTCCAGGTTCAAATTTGCGGTCCCGAGCCGGCCGAGCGACCTGGAACGCGACAAGCGAGCTATCACACCTGTCACTGTCTGGTTGATTGGTCCCGGCAGTATCTACCCCTTTGACAGAGCTTTCCAAACCAAGAGTGTCCAGGACATATACTCAACTCCCAAAGGTCTGCCCAGCGAATGGAAGGATCTTTTTTTCTCCAAGGCAGTTGCGACATTTATTCAGCATCAGAACAAAAACAATGACATCTCACTCTTTGCTACTGCAGCGACCCGTATCATCGATGTCGTCCATGTGCACGGTGCCACTAATGCCCTCGTTTTGCACTATCTCCAGCAATCCATCGACAGAGGCGCCATGGGAGAGGAGCCACCAGCATTGATTTACACCCTACACGACTATCTGGATGAGCTGCAGTATTCGAACGAGATCGTCAACGTGCAAAAGTTCATGGACAAGCGTGTCCATTCCGAAGACGAAGAGGAGGACATGTATCTGCAGATGGACGGCATCTCGCCTTACTGTCATGGACATCGCATGTTCACCTCAGCCATGGGCATCGATCTCGCTGATGCGGTTACCTTCGTCTCCAAGACCATGGCCAAGGACATTGTAGAGGGTCGCCTGGACTTTTATCTGAAGGAGCTTGTCCTTGGAAGCATTTTGAATCAGGCAGAAAAGAACTTGTTCGTCGGTATTACGAACGGTATCGATTTCAGAGAGTTGAACCCCTGGACAAGGCCCGAGCTGCTTGAACATGGATTGGCATTCCCACCCAACGAGCTAATGGAGCAGATCCAAGGAGGGAGCGATACGGTCATCAAGACGCCCAACCCCTCTATCCGTTCAGCCAAGGAGGCGGCCAAGCACTTTTTGTACAGCAAAGGACTCCTGACGGAGCAAGACCTGAGCAAGCCATTGGTTCTGTTCGTCGGTCGCTTCCAGTACAACAAGGGGCTCGAGTTCTTTGTGACAGCCAGCACAGCGATCAAGGAACGTGGCGGAATGTTTGTGATCATGGGTCAGCCTAACAACTATCCAGTCAAGTCAGTTAACAATCTGGAACGTCTCTTCAAAGGAACAGTCAGAGTCATTTCGGACGCCAAAACGCAGGATGAATGGGGAATTTACTGGCGCACTGCTGCTGATTTCCTCATAGTCCCCTCATTGACGGAAAGCTTTGGCCTCGTTGCAGCGGAGGGTCTCCTATTTGGATCCACAGTCATCTCCTCGGGCGTCGGAGGCCTATCTGAGTTCTTGGTAGACCGGCCGAATGAGAACGACAGGCGGCAGCAGGAGGAACTCGAGGAAGCCAAGCTTGAGCAGCAATATATCCCTCTGGATCAGCAAATTATTGAGGTACCCAGAGAAGAGCGCTTCAACAGCTACCTGTTCGATGCCTTTGCGACTGACGCCCATTCACAGCTGGTGGCAGCGATCTACGACGGGCTCTTGGAATGGAAACGTCTGCAGCAGGACCCAGAGGAGCACGAAAAGTTCTTGACGCGGCTGGTGGCGAGTGCAACGTCGATGGGATGGGATAGGTCAGGCGGCCCTGTGGACCAGTACCGTGCCCTGTATGAGATTGCTCTCAGCAACATTGGCTTCAGCGGACGCTCGGCATGATAGCGCTGCGGCGTCTGCCATCACCGACATACTGCTCCAGCACTCAGACCATCTGGTCCCTATGTCATTTCTTCCCTCCACTCTCATACCTTCACGATGGCACCTTTTTCTTTTTGTAGATTGTAAAAAATAACGACGAAGACTTGTCAATTTATTTATCTCCATGCAACATCATAGACACTATTCAATGGAATAAAACTTCATGACTCTTGAACGCTTACTGCATAGACGCTTGGTGGGTAGCAAAGTCGTTGCAGACACCGCTGCCTTCCTATCGGGACACCAACGTATGCGCCACCAAAAATGGCTAAGGAAGTAGCTCAGTGCTGGACTGTTTGTCTCAATATGGCAACTTTGTGGTAAACACACATCAACCGCTTCTCTCTCTCCTGTCCTCTGTCCTCTGTCCTGATCTTCTCTTGACATCGGATTCTGTCATTCATTTCACGAGGACCTCTTCTATTTATCCCTATATGCTGTGTATCGCTGCGACAGGAAATATTAGGCGCTGGACAGGACGGGCGATAGCGTCCTCGACTGTCGCCCGGACAGGACTCAGGCAGCTTGCACCACCCAACACAAGGTCTCCGTCTGTCCTGTGTCGATTTCGTCATGCGAAGTCTTGCTCAGGAAAGGCGGGAGCGAGGAACTGGGATGCGGAAGCAGGATCGGACTCATACACATATCGCGTACCGTCATCATACAGACCATCGTCATCATACAGACCACCGTCTCGACCAACGAGGGCGTTCGGCGGGCAGGAGTTCGTTGGCAATTGGGAGATCGCAGGTACAGTCTTGCGTGGCTATCTGCGTTGTCATGGATAATTACATGTGCGTCGCATCATTATTGACAGACGAGATTCCTACGCAATTATGCCCTGAACGATCATCGATAGCTCTTAAGAACGCTGTCGATCGGTTCAAGGTCCCCAGCGGGATGCAACTACATTTGGAATCGCTTGGTGCTTCTAGAGAGCAATCCATGGAACTGGTTATGGACTTCAGCGGCAGAGCGCTTCAAGGAGATATACCTGAAGTAAACAAGAAGGCGATCGGAACTTTGGCGGCAGATGCGCTCGAGGTTGGCATGACGTTCAAATCTATGGGTGTGACCCGCGAAGAGGCTATTTCCAAGAAGTTGGACAAGGTGATTTGGGAGGCATTCTTTACACATTGCGAGGAGATGTTTCCACCAGAAATACGGTTTCGACTGAACAGAATGCGGGAAGTGTCGGATCTGCGGTTCCCCACCGAATGGAACCCTGCTGCACGCTTATTGAAGAGGTATAGCCGTCTCATCAACGCAGCGAAGAAGCAGCAGCATGGAGTCAACATATCTGTTCAATGAAGGCGATCTTTCTTAACACTCACACATTTGCACCACGCTGCTATTTAGGAAAATTATTATGCACGTAGGACCCACCAATTCAGGAAAGACTTACAGTGCCTTGCTGAGGCTTCAAGAAGCAGATTCAGGAGTCTATCTTTCACCGTTGCGCCTGCTGGCTCACGAGATCTTTGAGAGGATGAATAAAGTAGGGAAGCCATGCAACCTAGTGACAGGAGAGGAGAGGCGATATGGAGTTCATGACGTCAATGGCATTCCAGATCCTTTAGCTGCCAAGATCGTGTCAAGCACGATTGAGATGGCAAATCTTGACAGGAAGGTGGATATCGCTGTTGTGGACGAAATTCAGATGCTTGCGGATCCAGATCGTGGCTGGGCTTGGACGCAGGCATTAGTCAATTTGCCTGCCAAGGAAATTCATCTTTGCGGCGAGCCGACGGTTGTGGAACTAGTCAAGAAGATATGCGCGTTAACGAATGAGGAGGTGATTGTCAATCACTACGATCGGTTGAGCAAACTTGAGCTACAGGAAGAGAGTCTTCGCGGCAACTTTAAAAAGATCCAGAAAGGCGATTGTGTGGTAACATTCTCGAGAAAAAACATCTTTGCGGTCAAGAAGGCTATCGAGGAGGAGACAGGACTCTTATGTGCCGTTGCTTATGGAAGCCTGCCACCGGAGAGTCGATCATCTCAGGCGAGGTTATTTAATGAGCCGGACAGTGGATACGACGTTCTGGTCGCTAGCGATGCCATCGGCATGGGTCTCAACCTGTAAGTCTTTTTTTCAGTATTGGCAGTACTGGTAGTATTGGTAAACAAGCTCTTCATCGTCGTAATGATGTTCTCTTCTCTGCGCACGAAATAGAAACATCCGGCGTATCATCTTCGAGGCAGTAGAAAAGTATGATGGATCAGTCGTGCGTACACTCAGCCTGACCCAACTCAAGCAGATCGCTGGACGTGCAGGAAGATTCGGAACGGATTATGCCGTGGGACAGGTTACGACCCTGGCTCAGGGCGACATCCCGACTCTGAAGAGAGCATTGGCTATTCCCATGATTGAAATTAACGTATGCAAAACGGAGAAATCCTGCCATTAAGCTCATCCAGGGTATTTCGGTGGTTTTAATCATGAATCCATATTTTTTCACGTATTTAGCGCGCTGCAATTCAAGCGACTCCTGAAATGATTGAGGAATTCTCCGTGCAGATGCCAGGGGCGCCCTTTTCACATGTGCTCAGGATGTTTGAAATGATGTCCCGGAACTCGCCCCTCTTTTTCCCGGCGCTCTACCGCAACATGATCGTAAGTGGTGCTTGTGATACATCATTATTACGGTACATACTACGTTCATCCTCGGTATGTTGAGTGCCTCACGCATTATTATATGCTTTTCTTTACATGCATGCTCTTCTTAGGCTACGGCAGAGATTATTGATAAGATTGAGATGCCAGTGCGTGAGCGGATTCCATTCATCGCTGCACCGATCCAGCTTCGCAACCCCGCGGTGGTAGACGCGGCGGTCAAGATGGCCGGAGCTGTGGGTGCAAGCAAGCCTATTACGGTCGACGAAGTGGTACACGTGCCTGCAGAGGGTTCGAGGGAGGAAGAAAATCTGGACCTCGGCAAGCTGGAGTCTTCCCATCGCATCATCATGCTGTATCTTTGGCTGAGGTAAAGCGAATGAACGACAAAACGGCATGCACGCAAGGAAATAATGCTGATCTGAAACTGTTACACACATTTGAGGAGCCAGTTATTCCGTTATTCCATATATGGATTCATTAGCCAGAGTGGCGTAAATAATGTTTAGACTAACACTAGATCTGTTTTATTCCCTCTATACTTCATTCACAATAGTCAACGGTTCTCGTATGTGATGAAGGGCGGACTCGATAGCGATGCCGCCAAGCTGAAGATCCGTTGCGAGGAGCTGATCGAAAAAGCACTCAAGCAGGTCGCAGAATTGAAGCTGAAGCGGAAGCTGGAGCGTCTGGAGAAGAGGGAGAAGACATTTGCAAAGAAGGCCTCAACCGCTTTTGGTGCCCTGAAGACGGAAGACGAGGTCAGTGGTTTGGATCTCAAAGCACCATCAAGAACAGGGCCTGTATAAGGGCTAGAAGGAGGAGGCAGGCCACGAGGTATTGGCTAAATGGCTGTCCATATATCCCCAGTGCCGATCCATGGTTACAGACAACCCTCCTCATCGTCATAGATCGAACGGACATTATTTACAACTCATTTTCATACATGTAATCGCACTTTTAAAATGGTTCGCGCTAGGGAAAAATGACTTTTTTTTTTTTTTTACCAGATTCAATGGGCATAGCCTTCCCAGCTGAACAGCAGCCCATACCACTTTTTTTTTTTTTTTTTTTTTTTTTTTTTTCAAAAGGAAATATCTCTTTGGGTTGGGACCTAGACTTGGTACTGTCTTCAGCTGATGATACCAGCGAGATTTTTTACTTCCATTGCTGGTGCCAGAAGGTCATCTTCATCCCTGCATTTGTGTGCCTGGATTTGTACTATAAAGCACACGGCACATGGCACATGCAACAGGGCCTCGTCTCTCAACAGTGCTAAAGTACTTGTCACACTCCGTAGGTTGGCTGGGGTCCAACTATGGGTCCGAGAAGAGGCTAGAGGGTTTGTCTGGTCTTTGCTGCCCCTTTTCTCCCCTCTTTTCCACTTTCACTCTGTTTCCCTCCACTTCACTCCACTCCACTCCTTCCACCTTGACGATCCAGTCTGTTCTGTCTCCATCGCATTCCCCCTTGTTCTCTCATTCTCCTCTACACGCTCACACACACACCGCACAGCAATAATTCACTCCTCACCAAACAGCCCACCAAAAAGGACACACCACCTATAGGATTTCCCTTTTGCCACCTCAGCGGTCCTGTTTCTCGTTCCTGTCTTTCTTCATTCGTTACTGCGGCTGAGACCGACATACTTCAATTCGGGCCTCTCGCCCTTCTTCACACCTGCCACTTTTCCCTCCACGCCAGCACTTGTACCAGTACAGGCACCAGCAGATATACACTCACTCGCCCTCAAAAAGGTTCGCCAACCATGGGCGGCGCTCAATGGAAACGCGAGTTCGTGCAGGACCACAAGTTCGACTTTATCAACGTGGACGACTTTGTCGATAACTCCTGCTGGCGCCATTTTACCTACATGCTTGTCTTTGCAGCCATCATCCGCGGCATTCTCGTCTACTGCTCCGATATCTTCACCGCCGCTAACTTGCTCGCCAACTCGAACGAAAATTCCTTTGTCCCCAAAACTGGCGTCCAGCTCGATCTCCTTGGCAAATTGCCCTTCGACGTCTACAAATATCTGTTCTCGGGCTGTATTCTCCTGGGCTTCGTGCTCTTGGGCTTGGAGATTCGTAGGGCGAGGATGATCATCGTTTCCAGAGATATCTCCTATGCGTTTACGTCCCTGATCGCCAGTCGCTATTACACTGTGAAATCGTATCCACATTTTTGCCTCTTTGCTCAGATCAACAATTCGAAGAAGACGGTGGATGAGATCGCCTTTTTCTGCTTCTTTACTTTCCGAAGTAAGTTGTCTGTGAAAGAGACTTGGATGTTACTCTGCAATAGATATCAGAAACCCTGGTCCCTAACCAGCCATCTCTCTCTCTCCCCTTTAATCCTCCGCACAGACTGGAAGCGACTCATGTTGGCAGACGCACCCCGACAGGTCATTAATGCGACGATTTTATACCAGACATTCCGAGACCACCCTGTCAACTTTAAAGAGAACGGGATCTTTGACTGGAACAAGGTCGTTGGAGCGGACGAGTCATTGCTGCTGAAGAAAATTACCCTCGGGGGTATGATCTTCACAGTGTTTATGTTTGCGCTCTCGTTGCTTATGCTCATCAGCGCGGTCATCCTGTACATCCCCTTGGTCAGTCATATTCAAGGAAATTTGAAGGAATTTTGTTGCCACAAGATTGATAAACGGTAAGTTGTTCTCGCGTGCATCAAACAGTCCTCTCTTACATGCGCATAGTCGAACTTAAAGGGGCAGTGGAAACTGGGGGAGGAGGGAGCGACAAACGAACGAGCATTGTCACTAAACACTGTCTCATTTATCTCGCAATAGAATTGACGAGTTGATCCGTAAAAAGTCAAAGTCAAGAGCAGCAGACGAGGCAGCGAAGGCTGGAAAAGACAATGGATTCCTCAATTTGAAGCAGCCGACGCTTCCTCAGGTCGATCTGTTGGAGGCACCCCTGGCTCCGTCTGTCAATACGCCAAGGACGGCTTATACCCAAAAGACACCCGCACCACACTATGCACAGACACCCAAGAGTGCTTACAGCTATCCGCAACAGCAGCAGTCGCAACAACAACAGCAACAGCAGGGATACTTGCCCGCTGGCCAATTTCACAACGCTCCAGGACAACAGCAGTCAGCACAACGCGGATACGACTACTATCAAGCAAAGCCAACGCCGTCTGCCAAAACCGCAGCACCAAGTAAACCAAAGGATGCATTTGATCCCTATGCAGCCTCTGCATTCACAGGCGATGATATCTACAACTTCTATGCTGGCGAGCAGGACCGGCCGCATTTGCAGCAAAAGTATCCCGGTCAGGGTCAGACGTCAGGTCAAGGCTCGAGTCGAGACGGGTACGGATATGGCGGTGCCAGTTATACTCAAGGGGGAGGAGCAGGAACACCGAAAACTTATTCTGGCAACAACGTCGGTGGCAGCAACAATCAGACGCCGCCGAGAACACGGCGGTACGATGAATATGCGCAACAGAGACCTGCATCCCCAATTCAATCGCAGCATGGATCAGATCTGGACAACCGGCGTAGCAGTAGTCGTCATAGCGGCAGTCAAGTTGGTGCTGGAAACGCAGTAGCGGCAAATTATGGCAATGCACGGTATCCTCCTCGCAGCAACGGCTCGGCCACTTATGGTCAGGAGTATCAGACGAACCCTCGACGGCAACAGCAGCAACAACAGCAGGACATGCCGTCAAATCAGCGTGGTGCATATAGGGGTGCTGGGTATTAAAGTTCATGATTTTTACTATGGTAGACACATTGAATCTTTGGAAGATCCTGGAACCTTGTGGAGTATTCGACTCGAAAGCACTAGTTGAATGAAAACAAGACAGCTCGCTCCAATTTTTACAAGCTAGCATCGTCACTTCTCTACACATGAAAATATTACCCCATTAGCCATTTGTTTTTCATGCGACATTGCCCGTGCGAAGAACCCGTTTCTTCTGACTCTGTCTTTAGAGGTATTGCCGCGCATGGTGGATCCCGGAAAAAACCTCTCGGCTGCCCGAATCATCAGAGTTGCATGTATGGCCAATTCGCGAAGCAGTGGCTGGAGCGCGGCAAAAAACGGCTAGTCGGGAAGGACTTGAATCGTCGGGAGAAGGTGTTTAAAAACTTGTCCGACGAAGGACTTGCACAGAACGGAGTTGTCTATTTGAGAACCTTAGCGGTGGAGATCCATCGACATCTTCATCGGCGTGGCTCTAAAGATCAGGAATGAGAACCAGGAAAACATCCCTGAGTCAAAAATGGGTCAACCTTTAAAGGTCTCTAAGAAGACCAAGAGGGTCCTTGCTCTCCTAGTCTTTTTGATACTGGCAAACTGCAATCATTTCACGATGGATAATGGCTCGTTCAATAGGTCGAAGGAAGGCAAGTCCACGTCAAACGGTACCTCAAAAAGGGGGGAATCAAAGCATATGTGCAACAGAAGAAACCGCGTCTCACGAGGAAACAAAAGGATACGCGGTACAAATTCGCAAAGGAGCATTTGCATTGGACGACGGATGACTGGAAGAAGGAGATGTTCTCTGATGAGACCATCATCAGCAGGGTTAGGGAAAAATTGTGGTGTGGGATGCATGACCTACCACGGCATAGGCGACGCGTCTTTGCTCCCGGGCAGGTTCAATTCAGAAGCGTACATCGATATACTAGAAAACTACGTCCTGGCTTCGCGTGATTGGTATGGCATGGACGCGGCAACTTTCATACTCCAGCAGGACTACTTTGCCCGCTCAGAAATCACTGTTGTCGAGTGGCCAACAAATTCGCCAGGCCTCAATCCCATCGAACATTTCAGCTACGCAGAAGCTTTCGAGGCTGGTGATTGTTTGCTGTGGGTCCTTGGGAGGAATAGATGAGATGAAGAGATGAATGGAAGACAGCACTGTACCTCGTCCTCTCTCTCTTGTCTCCATTATATACCGCGCACGGACAATACCCCTGCACAATCAGACCATGCCTCTATTTCAATCTCCAAAAAAGTGAAAATAAGTTACACAAATTTCTTTATTTGAACTGTCGCTATCGCCTAATGAATGGCTTTTGAGATATGCTCACCGCACGGTCTGGTTATCAGTGATGCATTGAGAAACGAGGTCATGAAGCTGTAGCAAAGATGGGACGTTGAAGTCAAGTGGCTCACGCCTGCCTTTAATGGATCTCAATACGTCGAGGCTTGTGGAAGGAAGTGCGCAGCCAGCTCAGGGGGACAAGGGGGGTCTTACTGGGGCGGAGCTTCATTTGACGCACACTGGTAACAGTTGAGGAGGTCATCTCCTATGATAGGTTGATTGCGCTAAGTCGGTCAGCGCTAGAGAAAGAAACAAGATCACTACAATGCAACTCTAGGCATGTCTGCACACAAGTACATACCTTGACACCTTGCATAATCTCGAGAATGCGAACGAGCGGATACAGATTGTTGGCATCAGTGCACAAGCAGCAGCGTGCATATCTCCGTAATACATAAATGCCTTCAGATACGATCTCCATATGGTAGAAATCCAGCTCGCTTCCTACAGACGTTGAAAGAGTTTGATAGCCAATACATAAGCAATGGTGATGAAAATGCAGAAATAGAGAAAAGAGACATATGGATCATCATGTATCGTACCTTTGACTAGAATACCTTGAACGCACACAGGCTGTAGGGGTTGGAGTTTGATGATAGCGTCCAATGCGTACTTTAGTTCTTGACCCAGCTTGGTAAGGTCATCCCAAATCTGACCATATCCATTATTGTAGGCCGTCTTTCCTTCCAGAGAGATCACAGTGCATGTCTGAAGGCCTATGGTCGTCGTCACTGAGTAGTCGGGAACGAGGAGACGCGCTGCGGGGTCCTTGGTCTCCTCTAACGACGTAGTCCTATTAGAAAAATTAAGACAAACGTGGATATCGCGCATCGTATGGCCAACTATGAGGTGCAAGCATAGGGACATGCATACCATTTTGAGCTTGTATAAGATATGCGCTGAAACGATGCATCAACTAGTGGTGCCAGAATACTCTTCAGAAAGGTCGCTTCTTTAACCCGATCTTGGGTCCATAGTTCTTTTGAGGTGCTCAGGCCACAAAGAGCGTGCTTGAGCAGCCTGGATACAGGGGGAGTGTTTTCCAGCATTTCCAGAAACTCATCATACGAGTGCGAAGACGCATGACATGCCCACTTGTGACCCTCCAATATAATATCGGTCGCGAACTCAGCCACCTGCAGGGGTCCAATTGCTCTCCACAATGCGTCCCAAACTTCGTCCTCAACTTCACTTTGTAAACCTCCTGATTGTGATGGCGACTCCAGAAGAAAGATAAAATTGATTACGCTGTTAACACATAAAAAAAAACATGTCGTCAATAAACTCCTATTTGATAACCAGCCCATCAAGCGTCTCATCAACAGGTGCTTACAGTATCTCATGTGGCTGACTGATCCCGAAGTTATTCTCAACCGCCCTGTCACGGAAATCAAGAAGCGCCTGCCCAATCTGTATGTTGTCGTAGACCCATTGTTGGTTGACGCGGGAGTCCTTGCGACCTTCTCCCACTAGGAAATCGTTGGCATATACCTTGCCTAGGTCATAGTAGGTCTCCCCTTCATCTTCATACGATATGTCTGCTGGATCCGAAGGAAGAAGATCGTCCAGCGCGAATGGTAGTGGAGACGGAGCGGAGGCCAAGGTGTATTCAATTCGTGGACGACGACGTGCTGATGTTGGGGATGAGGTCATTAGCCCACTGGGAGAATATGCTAGTGGGGCTGAGTTGTAGGGCTCGTCGTCGCGCTGTCGCTTCTTATTCTCGTTGTGGATATCCTAGAACACCCCATCGTGCGTCGAGGTCTTTGTCAGCGCTTTTGTGGTTTCAAGGGTCGCCATCTGATTCAAAAGCTCTAGTTGCTGCTTGCCCATCTCGCTCTGATAGTGCTGAAGGAGTCTGTAGCAAAAAGTGGCAAGCCCTCCTGTCTTTTTCTTGGTGAGCTGCTCGAGGTTGTTAAGGTACAGGTCGAAGGTGGAATCGACCTTGATATACTCCTCTGCGAGCCATTTGGACGGTGGGTTACTTAGAAACAACATCAGCAGGAAACAACGTGCCGAATCAGAAAACAGCAACCACAACTTTAAGATGAATGTCTACCTCCCTCCAGATATACTTACTGAGGCTCGGTGATGATCTGTACACATTAAAAAAAAATAATAATAATACATCGACAATGAATGGATGATACTACCTGAAGTGCAGTCGCTCTGGGCATCTTCTTTCCTAATGCCAGAGAGGAGGTTTGAAAGGTCCTATTTCCGTTCAATTGCCTTTTTATTCAAAGATCTTGAAATAGGGTTTTTTAAGATCCTCCCCTCTGACGAGATGGGCACAGCAATTTTGCGCCATACTCCCTCGCATCCAGAAAAAGCCACTTTGACAAGTTTAAGAAAAAAGTCGGCCCCCCTGTATTGCAACACTTGCCCATTCACACTTCTCCTTCATCACACTCATTCCTCAACAGATGCCATCCCCTGCTACGACCCTTCGGAGACGAGGTATCTCTCCCCCAAGGGACATTTCCGATAATAATTCTTCCTCGGGAACCGAAAGGACAACAACTCTCACTAAGGAAGACGAGCAATCCCCACTCAAATCCCTAAGGACCCCTTCAGACCTTATCGCCGCCCATCCTGCGATCAAACCCCTGTCCAGACCTGCAACATCACCATTTGAAGTAGAGGACGATGCCTCTACGACGACGACTACGCCAACCAGCGCTGCCGCCGTTTTCACCCCATCAATTGCCCTCCGAATCCTCCACGTCCTTCTCAAACCATTTTATTTCCTCCTCTTTGCACTCCTCCACCTCGGCCACGAGCTCTTGATCAGCGCACGGACAATGAAGACCCTGGTTCAGGTGTTTTTTTTGCCACACAAGTTCCCGACAGCGCCGGAGATCGTTCGGGTGTTGAGACAGGATTTGGGCGAGGGGCTGGAGAAACAGCCAAAGCATCTGGCGGTGATCTTGCCGGCGGATGCGTCGTCGTCGGAGCAGGAGGAGGAGGAATGGCATGCGAAGGTCGCACAATTGGTGCAATGGTCGGTCGCGAGTGGAGTCAAGTGCTTGTCAATTATGAGGACGGATCGTAAGTTTGTTCTTATGGCTGTTCTTTTTTTTTTTCTCTTTGGTCAAATTGCAAATAGTCGAAGGGGCTCTCAAAACATGGGATTAATTTATGGTTGCCAGGGACCATTGTCATATGAATATGATGGAAAACACACCAGAAAATCGACTTAGAGCTTTTTTTTTTTTCTGTTGATGGCATTCTAAAACGCGGTATGAATCTTTTGTCATTTACGACCCATCTCCTTCTCTCCTGTTGATAGCACTGCACCCCCAAGTAGTCGATGCGCTTCAGGAACGAATCGACGACTCGTTGGTGGAATTCTATCGGGAGGAAGGGGCTGTACCCGTCGCTCGTGTCAGGACATTGCGCCCGGTCGAGAACAGCTTGCAGGCGATCACGGTTCATCAGTCCGAAACACAAAGGCAACAAAGGCTACATGGAGGGCGCGCTTTCGGTAAGGCGGGGCATTGTTCACGCGCTTTTTTTTTTTTTTTTTTTTGTTGTTATTAGTTTGAACCATTGATTCAGACGTCTAATAGGAATCATCACTCTGTTATAATGAATCTTCCTCTTTAGATTTGGATGTGGTGATCCTTGCCGAGCGAGACGGACATGACAGACTAGCAGCGAACGTCAGAGCTTTGGGCGAAGCTGCACTGCAGAAGGAAATTCAGAGTCAGGACGTCACCATGAAGTCCTTGGATCAACAACTGTCCGGTAAGAAGTCGGCCAACGTTATTTAGTCAATAGGGATCAGGATCTTATCGTCCATTGAGTTCCTGAAATGCGGATCAAACTATAAGCTAACATTTGGGCTTGTTTTTTTACTATTATTATTACTGTTCTGATACGACTAATGTGCTTTAGCTGAACTCTCGGAACCAGAACTTTTGATCGTATTCAAGGATGACTTGGACTTGAGCAGTTACCCTCCATGGCACATCCGCCTTACGGAGATCTAGTAAGCGTTTTTTTTTTTTGTCTTTCAAGCTGCCAACTCGTATAAGAACTAGGATTCTCACTGCTTTATTTTTTTTTCTTTTATGTGACCCGCTTTCAATAGCCATCATTCGGACCAGGCCATTATTCCTCAGTATACCATGTTTCTGCAAGCATTGCACCGCTATGCAAAGTGTGAACAGCGCTTTGGAAAATAGACAGGAAGCGTAACGGTTGTCATAACGATATATCGACGAAAATAAAGATAGCCGATTTACGCCATAATGCTAGCTCGAGTCTACTACGGTCATTCGGTCATTAAGACTTTTTATTTCATATCCTCCTTGCTCCGATCTGGATGAACTGTTCACTCGCTAGTCGCCAAAAGTAGCGGACACTGCGAAATCAGCTCTAAATCTTTCTTCGTTAACCGCTTACTCGCCTCCGCAGCCACCACCGCATCATACACATATTCCGGCGTTCTCATCCCTACAAGCGTACAACCCACGTTTTCCTGTGCCGTGCAGAACTGAATTGACTTGGTCGAGAGCGGCGACCCAATGTTCTCGACCTTATGGGGCCCCACATCCGAGACGAAATCCTTGCAAATCAGTCCCAGGACCAGATTGAGTTCATCATTCCGCTTGTCAGAGTCCAGTTGACAGAACGTGGCCATGTCTGTTGTCAGGACTTTGGCCTCCTTGCGATAACGGTCGATCCATGACAAGACTGCGTCCTTGTCCTCACGGTCTTGCTCATCCGTCGTAGCGGTGGTGATGCTATCCTCCAGGATTTTGAGATCACGGTCAATCGCCGGCAGGACCTCGCGCTCCAGAAAGTGTTTTGCTGCAAAGTAGTTGGACGACAGGCGTGAAAGGTTCTCGGACAGAACCTTAATGAGCGCGCGTGGAAGAAATTCAAACCGGATAAAAGTGTCAGCACGGATATCTACGATGCTCATCAGATGGGTATCGATATGACTTGGATATGCATTCTCACCTCACTCCAAACGAATTTCATGGCAAGCGACTCTTCTTCGACTATATTGGCATGGCGAAAATGAGAGACACGTCGATATCATGTTAAGGTGCTGTACTGCAAAATCCATGAGTAATGAAGAACACCGATCGCTTACTCATCTCCTTGATATCCAGCTCCATTTCCGCCAGCGAAGTGAAACTCAAGTCAAGTGTTTCCAGTAACTTTGTGGAAGTTTCTATACGTGCATTAGAACAACAGCAAATGCGTGAATAATCGCATCACGATCATAAAACCATCCCATTTCCAGTCCCCATTTTGTGGTGAATCATTACCTTGACGGGTATGTTGACCCTTGTTCTCCAATGTGACAATCTGTCCGCCAGCAATCGCGTTCAGAGGTCGATTTGTAAATACGAACAAGTCAAATTCCTATTGAGCAAGAAGACATAAAAAATGCTGAGCCAAGTAAGTTTATCTCGTTTCCATAGAAAGGATTATATTGCACTGCATCGCGTTTCGTCCCTCGACTGTACCTTGGCTTCCCGTGCCAATGACTTTGCAGGGAATACATCCGTGACCAGTTCGCGCTCAAATAAATTCAGAGGAACCTCAATCGCCACAAAATTTTCCTTCTTCCATCCAAAGTCAGCCCTAGTTCTCATGATAGCCTTGAGTGACAAATGATCTTCCGTCGTAGGTAGATGCAACGCATTCGAACAGATACCGTAGCCTCCGATCCTTCCATCAGCAACTTCTTGATCCAGATACGCAAATGCCTCTGCGATCTCCTTATAAAGTCTGGTCTTGCTGTATCCTCCAGGCAAGTGCTTATCGCCGAGCATGCGTTCTGGGTTGTTAATCATAAAGATGTCCAGTTTGTCCAGTTGCAGACGCGTGAGCGAGGCTGTGATTTGGAACTTGAGATAGGATGGGTGAATCGAGTGGTAAGATGATTCAGAGATCTTGGCGTATGAAGGCACGTTCTCTAAGGAATCCGTCGGGAAGGTCGAGGTCGGTGGAAGAATGAAGCCTGCCTTTGAAACTACCACAACTTCCTATGATTTGAACAGCACAAATCAACCGACTTTAGCAAGGATTATGGGACGTTGCGACAACCTTTCCGGAGATAAGAAGGCACGCATACCTCCCGCTTGACCTTGTCTTCCTTGAACAGCTCCTGCAGCGTGCTTCCCACAAATTTCTCCGAGGCGCCTATATTGCATCGTTTGTAGTAGTACCATTCACAATCGTTAATGTAGTATTATCTTTTGTCCCAACTCCTTACAGTGTTGGCCTCCTTAGTCGTCCAAATAACCCCCCCCCCCCCCCCCCCCCCCATCTTACCATGTCCGAAATGGGAGCTTGTATCAATAACATTTACGCCCGCCTGAATCGCCTTCAAAAGAGCCGCCCGATGTGCCGGCTGAGTCTCGTTAACGCGATAGGCGCCGAAGCCTAGCTTCGATAGCACCAGTCCACGTTTGGGGATAGTCGTTGAGGGCAGTGCTGGGTGTTTTGCCACAAACGCTGCTGTGCTCTCAGGAGTCGCCGCGGTGTTGAGAGCTCGGGCCGCAGAAGCGACGCATCGATGTGTCGCGTTGGTTGGTAGATGACGACATGTTTGTCGCCAAGCGACGCCGCGGCATTGGCGGGTAGTGTGAAATGAGATGAAGGATAGCATCGTCGCAAGGATCGGCACCAACTGGAGCACGCGAAGGAGAGCTGTGTCCCTTCATAGATGATATATTGACTGCCTTTTTTTTTTTTGTTTTGCATAACTCAGCACATTGCCACCAACTTGAACAAAGTATAGGAAAATGCATTTATTGCAAGATTGTATGTTTGTAGAAAAAGATGATTCTTGCGAGTGGTAGAGTAGCGGTGATGGTGGTGGCCGAGGTGGCTAGAGTAAGGATGAATATACATGAGAGGAGTGCAGAAATAAAAAAAGTGAGAGAATGGGTTGCTTAAGCACCGATCTTCTTGTTGAGGGTGCGCTTGATAACGCGGGCAATGACCTCTGTGTCAGGGAAGGCAAACGTCTCCAAGTTCTGAGCGTATGGGGTAGGGACATCAGCACCGGTAACGCGGACAACAGGAGCATCCAGGTAGTCAAAGGCCTCGCTCTCCATGATCTGAGCACAGATCTCGGATCCAACTCCGTACTGAGGCCAGCCTCCCTCAACGGTCACCAAGCGGTTGGTCTTCTTGACAGACTTGATGATGGTGTCGATATCGAGAGGACGGATCGAGCGCAGGTTGATGACCTCAACCTTGCAGACACCCTCCTTCTCCAAAAGCTCAGCAGCCTCCAATGCGAATCCGACCGAGCGCGAGTGGGCAACAATGGTAAGGTCCGAGCCCTCCTTCTCGACCTTGGCCTTGCCAATCTCAATCACAAAGTCCTTCGACAGCGCAGCCTCGGACATGGGGAAGTGAACGCCGTACATGAGCTCGTTCTCCAAAACAACGACAGGGTTAGGGTCGCGAATAGCAGCCTTCAACAAACCCTTGGCATCCTCAGAGTTCCAGGGAGAGACGACCTTAAGACCGGGAACAGATCCATACCAGGCAGCAAAGCACTGCGAGTGCTGGGCAGCGACACCGGCAGCAGCGCCGTTGGGGCCACGGAAGGTGATGGGACAGGTGACGTTACCGCCAGACATGTAGTGGGTCTTGGCGGCAGAGTTGACGATCTGATCAATGGCCTGCATAGCAAAGTTCCAGGTCATGAACTCGCAGACGGGCTTCAATCCAGCAAAGGCAGATCCGACAGCGAGACCACAGAATCCAGACTCGGTAATGGGGGTATCGATCACGCGCTTGGGGCCAAACTTGTCCAAAAGACCCTTGGAGACCTAAGAACACAAAAAGATATCGAGAGTGTGGGTCAATTGAGCTCGAGATCTTGTCCTTTCGTTGCATCCAAGCGCGTTAGGTCGTTGCCGGTACCAAAACAGATCCTTGTTATTTACCTTGTAGGCTCCGTTGTACTGACCGACTTCCTCACCCATCAGGTAGACCTTCTCGTCAGCAATCATTTCCTCCTCCAAGGCAGCGTTCAAGGCATCGCGGACGGTCATCTATAGTCATTTTATACCGTAAAAACGCGTTACTAATTGTAAAATACCATTTTCTGCTTCATTATCCGTCCACTGTCCCGCACATTTATCACTGTTGCCCACTGTCCTATCGTTCATCCGTTCCCATCTGGTCTCACCGTGGGAGCGGTAGGCGATAATTTGTTCAGACGAACAGTAGTAAATTGAGAGCCGCGGGCAACTCAACAAAGGTTTTGGGGCACGCGGCCTTCCCCATAACAGACTCCAGCTAATGAGCCAGTCTTCTGCCGTCTTCCAGGTTAACGTTCTCGAATATTGGATATTGCTGGTACCCAATCGTATAGGATTTTTTTTTTGTTGGGCTGACATTCCGTTTTTTACATAGATGAGCTTTAGTGCGCCAACTGGGCCCTCAGATATTGCGACGCTGACACTCCAAGATAAATGCTGGATCCTGCATTTCCATGTTCCAGAAATCCAGAAGTAATGTATGTGAGAGACAGATGGATATCTCATACCTCGACGCCACCCTTGGAGTTGTAGGCGCGCTTGGCGAGGAGAGCAGTGGCAGCGACAGGGTTGGAGCGAAGGAGGGCCTGACGGACCGAGGGAATGGAGACGACGGCAGCCTTCTTGAGCATGGAGGACATGATGGTGATAAGGTGTGTGTGGATGAGCGAGGGAGAGAGAGAGTGTGTGTGTTGATGTGAAAGAGAGAGGAGACGGAAGAAGCGAATGCGGGAAGCAAAAAAAAAGGCACCAACAAAAAAAAAAAAAAAGACCGCTGCGAAGCTGAGTATCAAAACGACTTATCTTTTGGCAAAAACATAAACAAAGTTCTTGCGATATCACTCTCCACAGATCAACCCAGCTGCCCCAGCAGCACTCGCTGCAGCGACCACCTTTTGGATTCATTATACCATGCAGTGCCGATGCAATCGATTGAAGGGTGCCATTGATACTGGGTATCCGTAGGAATACACCCTCTGATATGCCATTGTGTAAATGCATTGTCTGCATGGACAGAGCCAGCAAATGTAGACCGGGCATTGACCCTGGGCACCCACAGTATTTTATCGTCGGATGAATCCGCCATATCCACAATTGCTGAGCAGCCAATAAAATCTCACCAAGGACACGCTGAGCGGGCAACGTGAAATGGCTATGAAAACACAGAGTTTTCCGTAGTTCCGCTATGTCGCGTGTGCAATCCTATATACCCATTCCGCGTTCTTCATACGCATCTCTCTCCGGATATGCACCAGCAGGACTTCGGTCACAAGCTCAAGGCTTCAAGGTAAGCACATCCACGTGAGCATGGACGTCCTGAAGATAAAGTCGTTCGCCGCTCGTTACTTTCCCACGCCCCATCAGAAAATCACCAGAGGACTCTGGCCTCCTTGGAGTCTACATCGCATCCAGATAGGTAGTGCTGAGTTGCTCAACCGCTTTGTTGACTCCATTACCAAAAAAACGATGGAACAATACATTATATAAAGCATAAGGAGAGGGATCAGTTAGTGAATAACGCTGGATGCATTGTCATCATCGACCATGGCTTACTTGAACGGGTTATATAGGAGCAACGACAGAAATGAAAAGACATCGACATAATGGAGAAGGCCAGGCTGCTTTTTTATCAATAACCTTCGAGGATATACTTTCAGCGAGCCAGACTGACAGTTAGGTTTGTTTACAAGGCCCTGTTTTCTATCCGTAGTTATTTCAGACTCTCTTTGCTCAGGAAGAGCTGAATGGTTGTGAGAGATGCATGCAAACATAGCTCTTTCCTCCCCCCCCCCCCCCCCCCCCCCTCCCTCCCTCCCCACCCCCTTCTCTTTCAGTTTTGTTTGCATGACCATGGATCTCGTCCTGACCAGGGACCTCGCACTAGGATCCATCTTGTTTCTCCTTGCTCTTGCTGTCGCTCCTTCCCTTTCTTGTTTGAGGAGGGCGATGATAACTGTCACCGAATCGAGCATCAAAGGGGAAAGAAAATGGAGGCGAAGCGATAATGAGGAGCAGTAGATTATTCAAGACGAGACTGACAAGGAACAAGAGGCCCAAATTACAACCCGCTGAAATGGTACGAAACTGCTGACTGGTGGCAATCTTTTGTTTCTTTCGTTCCTCTCTTTCCTTCCTTACTTCCTTACTTCCTTACTTCCTTCTCCTTTTCTTTCCCATCCCCATAAATCTCAACCACAATGACCCCCGCGCCCTCGACCGCAGAGACTATCGCCTACCTAAAGTCACTGCCCGCAGTCCGCGAACGAGCAGAGCTTGTCTACGCCAATGCCCAAAAGGGCCAGCTCAAGTACTTCGATGTCGACTTCTCAAAGCTGGGCGACGTCGCCAAATTTGTCGTGGCGTTAATCAAGCGCGACTACGATGCGAACGAGATTGCCAACATCCCACCACACACGCGTCTGCGCCATTTCGATGTCGGTCAAAGGGATCGTATCGGACAGCTGGTCGAGAGCTGGAAGGGTAGGGTCGACACTCTCGAGACCGTCCGTCGACTCGTGGATTTGACCGTGGTCTCAGTCTTGCTGGATGCAGGCGCAGGAGACCGATGGACATTTGAGCAAAAGTCTGATAACGTCCAGAAGATGGCAAGGTCTTATTCGCGATCAGAAGGATTGGCCCTGGCCAGTTTGGCCATGTTCAAGGAAGGGCGGTTCTCAAGCGACATCCATCGCAGTCATCAGGTCGATGGTAAGAAACTAGCAATTGTCGCCCCTAAATTTTATGCAAAAGGGTTCGAGGGTCTGTTTTCTTGATGCACTTCCCGCATAATCACCTCCCTCAGACCCTTACTTTGATTCCGATTGCATTCTGGTCATCAAGTTTTGCTGATATTTCCCTGGAAACAACACAGTCGCTTTCAGTCTTGAGGAGTCGTTGAAGTTCATCCTATCTTTTTTGCGTGTTTTTCGTTTGCTGCAGCGCATCATGCAATCCCCTTCGTTCTCCTCCTTTGCCCTGTCATTTTAAGGCGAGCAAACGAACGAACAGACAAACGAGCGACGCAGAGACGTCTTTATTTCTGCCTTCTGCTTTCCTCTTTTTCGTGAACCCCTTCCCCCCTTCCTCCTCCTTCCCTTGGAGAATTCGTGTCCTGACCACACTGCAAGTGGTAATCGGTTGCTCAGATGGGGAATTCAGACTTGGACACGAGTGCAGGAATGCAACGGCTATTTTTTGTGCGGGCCCCCTTCTTTTTTTCACTGTCAGGGGGAGAAGTATACCAGGAGGTCTCGCCCCAATCATCCTACGAATAGTGTTTTGCTGTGTACGCTTACGCCTGATTATGGAATGTCGTACATGACGGCTGACATCTTATTCTTGCATTTTAGCTGATGGCCTGTGCAACCTTACACTGGAAAGCCTTAGAGAAGGGTTCCAAGTGGACGATCAGAAGAATCCGCTGCTCGGCCTCGAGGGTCGATGGGAGCTACTCAGACGACTCGGCAAGTCCCTCAAGGCCCATCCAGAGTACTTTGCCGGATCCGAGAATGCTGTAAGTAGCGTCTTGTTATCAGAGACATCGTTTTTGACGGCGATCAGCAGCGAGTTCGAGTGCGTGCACAGTATTGACATATAGTATTTCTTTTGTGTTTAGCTTCTCCGTCCAGGAAACATGGTTGGCACGTGAGAAAGCAACTGAAGAGTGATCAGTAGCAGCATATCCCGCCTATGATGCCTGATGGGAATGAGATGCCGGCATACTAAACAATCTAGCATCTTGTTGACACGCAAAAATAGATGTCCTGTTCAAGGAGGGAGCAGACCGACCACGACGAAAGGAAAAGTACGTGGTCCGCACGGAGTCGCTTTTCAAGATTGTGATTGACGGTTTTGCAGAGGTCTGGCCAGCGTCACGTATGTCATTGAACGGCGTCTCGCTGGGCGATGTCTGGCCTTGCGACGCCATTCGTAGCCCCAATGCCGCGCCAGACTCCACTGAGCACTATGTCCCCTTCCACAAGCTATCGCAATGGATGACTTACTCAATCATGGAACCTCTCGAGACAATGTTGAATATCGAATGGGAGCACGCTAACCTCTTGACAGGCCTTCCTGAGTACCGCAATGGTAAGGACGGACCATTTTGCGCGCAAATTATTGTTGTATGAATGGATGCAGCAGTACCTTAATACCTTGTTGCTAAATATTTTTTTGCATTTCATTCAACAGGTGGTTTGCTAATTGACCTCGGATTCATGACGCTGAAGTCCAAGGAGGAGGAACGTGGTTTAGTTAACTACAAGGACAATGCGCTCAGGCCTGGACAACCAGCAATTGAGGTCGTGCCGACATTTGAGCCTAGTGATCCCGTTATCATTGAATGGCGCGCCATGACCGTTGCTACCCTGGACCGCATTGCTGTCGAGGTCCGCAAGCAATTGAACATGCCCAACCTGACGCTTGCTCAAGTCCTTCAGGGCGGCACTTGGAATGTAATGTCTGAAAGCAGGTTTTTTTTTTAATGGCGGTAAAAAGCGCTGTCTGCTGACTGGAAAACTATTCTTCGATGTGTTGTAATGCATCCCACATAGGCCGGACGAGAGATCGCCTCTGTATCGCGTCCCAATACCAAGGGTCCCCCAATTGCCATTCTGAGCGACGGTACCCTGTTCTAAAAAGCCATTCTGCCGCCGCCTTTTTGATAGTATGGGGATCGACATCGATGATCAGTAATCTTCAAGCTACTCTCAATATTACACAAGAAACCAATACCAGAATTAATGAATCCCCAATGGTTTTGAACAACGTGTTTTCAAATAAATGCTTTATGTGGATATCAGGACTACAAACGGCAAGAAAAAAAAATGGCAAAGTGTGATGGAAATAGACTATGTATGTATGTATGTATGTAAAGGGCGGGCGGGACGTTGTTGGTTCGGGTTTTAGATGACCTTGGGCGCAAGGCTCAACAACTTCATCCACCTCTTTTGCCTGAGCTCACCCGAGACTACTCCGAGGACACGGGTTCCCAAGGGCTCGCCCTGCTTGTTGAGGAGCACACATGCATTGTCATCAAAGCGGACATAGCGACCATCAGGACGCAGGGTCTCCTTTCGTGCGCGGACGACGAGAGCGTGGCGGACATCGCCCTTCTTGACCTTGGGAATTCCCGATGCCGTCGCCACGGCGTTCGACTTGGCCTTGTTCACGACCACAACGATCTCGTCACCTATGGAAATTGTACAGAGCAATTGACGAAGAAAGAGGAGATTGTTGAGTATGAGTATAAGTATGAATGGGTCCAGGTGAGGGTGAGGATTAGGATAGTTAGGTACGATATAAGGAAACTCTCAGAAGGGGAGTACATTTTTTTTTTCAGATGCAGGGCATTGTGAGAGATGATATAAGGATAATATGTTGTTGCTGATGTAAAGGCCGTCGTTGCGAGTGTGTGTGTGTGTATATGTAAGAATGAGAAATAGGTAGTGTCAAGACGCACCTATCCTGGCGTATTTGCCTCCGTGCAGGACTCGAATGCACTCTGCCCAGACAGCACCCGAGTTGTCAATAACGTTGAGGATCGACTTCAGCTGAAGCATGTTGACTGTGTCTTATATGAGTGTGTGTAGAGAAAAAAAGAAAAAGAAAGGAGTGACAGGGGGATGGGAGGATGGAGGGGCGCGTGCCAGGAGGGTTAGGAGGGGAGGAGTGGATGATGCCAAGGTAATCAAAGGGTTGAGCTTTTTGGAAGGTGGAGCTCCTCCTCCCCCTCCCCCCTTGCTGTTTACATCCCGATCCAGGCTAGAAACACAGTCCTGAGGAACCCTTAACATCGCACAGGGGACAAGAAGGGGTGGTCAATGCGCGTTTTCGGATCAAACTCACGAGTAAAAGAAAATCTTTCTGTATTACTATAGAGATTACGCGTAGACTATATAGCAGAAAACTAAGAAAAAAACAGTAAAAAACAAAAGGTGTATGTACAGTATCATTTTGAAGGAGGAGGAGGAAGACACAGAGGAATATACACGAGGAAATGAGGTATATGATGATATGATACAGAAAGGGTCTTGAGATGCCAAGACCCGATGTCTCTTCCTGAGGAAGGAAGAGATGAAAGAATAGGGGAGGAGTAGCGCGCTGGGGCCCGCCTCATCAAAGTCCAGCCAAGGCGAGGGCGAACAAAGCGGCGCTTTTGTTGTGTGTGTTTTTGTTGTCTCCCTCCTATTGCTAAAAAAGGGTACCATCTCCTGATGATGACGGAGACAGACCCCCTCTCTGCAGAAAAGAAGTGAAGAATGGGAGAAGAGGCAAACAAAACGAGGAAAGGACATCGATGGTTGGATGGGGTGTGGATGTCTCACATAGTGGAGGACAAAAAAAGAATTGGGAACATGCCAGTGGGCATTGTTACACACCCGCCCTGTCTGCAGCCCAAGAAAGAAAAACCTCTCCTCTCAGAAAGGACGAAATAGATTCCAGCTCCTCTAGGTGGATCGAAACAAAAGGGAGTGAGAAATTATTTTTGGACCATGGACCTTGACTTCGTGTTTAAGCTTGACTTCTTGTTGCCCGGGTTCAGGGGTGAAGAATGGCGACGAGGAACCCCCCTCATTGTTCCTAGACAGCCTGGCTCAGCATGCTCAGGACCACCGCCGCCTCCTCAACCTTGCGTCGCAGACGGAACTTGCGGGCCCAAAGCCGTTTGCTCTTACGTGTGCGGTCCTTACGATCCTTGTCGTCCTTAACACGACCATCCGGAAGTGAGTCCCACTTGCACTTGCGAGGATGAATCGCCGGCGACATGTTGTGCACGTTCTTGAGGTGCCGCCTGAGGTTACAGTTCTGGTTCTTGCTCGGTTTGAAGGCCCGGCTGCAGACTGGGCACAACAACAGCTGCGTAGTCGTCGGCGCAGGTGTCGTTGACAAGGACGACGACGAGGAGGAAGACACCAAGGAGGTCATCGAGGCTGAAGCTTCGGACATAGAGCCGAAGCGGTCAGAGTCCACGGAAGGTGACGACTCTCGCGAGAATGAAGATCCCGCCTGGGACATTGGAGGAGAGCCCGACATGGAGAGTGCAAAATCACTGCGGTCATCCTCGGCTGGCGACATGGCTCGATGGTCAAAGGCAGATCGCGACGGCTCACATTCTTCTTCCTTGGGCGTCATCATTGGGATGCCAGTGTGGTACCCAAAAGAAGGGTTGAGAGTCGTGTTTGTTGCCAATCGTGGTTGGAAGTAGTCGACCTGGTGGGTATTGCTGCTCCTGTAGAATGATTGGCGATGATGAGGCTGCTGGTGATAGTAGGACGAGTGATAATCACCATGGCTTCGAGGGGAATGAATGGGGAGCATGTCGCTGGGTGAAGAAGGACTGGAGAGTGGTCTGAGGGGCGAATGGATGGATGAGTGATACTGTGGAGAGCGGGGTCTCTCTTGGTAGCCGTGCGGATAGTCTTGCTTTGGTTGCTGGGGGCACAGTAGTTGATAAGGATGGTGACGGGATGAGGAGGAAGAAATGAGTGAAGAAGAGTTGTATCGCTGAGATGCGGAGAAAGAAGGAGAAGGACAGGAGGATAGATGGTGATGTTTATGCTGAAGACTGGGTAGGATGGGCTTGCTGTATATCGAGTCGTGCGAGAACGAGGGGGAGCGACCCATCATGTCACAGGGTGTAGCAGGACCAGGCGAAGCAGACAGCGAGCGATCCGAGGCAGAGCTGCAGGCCGAGAGGAACGACGACGAAGACGAGATTGAGTAGGACCGGCTTTGGAAGGACATGGATGGGAAAGCAGAGCCAGGTGAGACTGAGTGATAGGGGTGTGCGGGTGCGAGGGATGGCGAAGTACAGGAAGTAGAATAGGGAGCAAGGTTGGTTTGGATGGACGGCAGATCTACAGACGACATTGAGTGCTTTTTATGCTTGAAGATAGCTGGTAACAATGATTGTTCTACTGTAGTACACTTTCAAAGTCCTGTTTGTGTTCCAAAGGCAGGATATGCAAACAGCTGAAGAGAAACTACGCGTAATAAACACAGGAGATGGTCGAAACTGAGTTGCAGACGTTCAATTTTTTATGCTTTATGCCGAGGGATGAAGGGCCGGGATCACTGCGGGATGTGTTTGTTGCAATGTGGAAAAAAAGGGCAGGGTGGGACAGGACAATGACTTGATCTCGTTGCTGTGGTGACCCTGCGGAAATCGAGAGTGATGAAGGTAGATCGAGCATGCCGTCAGCCTTTTTTATTTTCGTAAATAGTCTTAACGTTATGTCGTGTATGGTTTTGTGCTTGCGCTTTGTAGGGGTAGTCCAAAGTGCTTATGGGAATTACCTTGTGCGAAACTAATGGGGGGAGTCAGTAGAATAATAGGATAGTAGAGTAGAAAGTTGATCAATGGCAATAGCAAAGTGTGCAGCAGCGAACACGAGAGAGTAAAGATCAAGAGAATAGAAGAGGCCATGCGGAGGGAATACCTCGTACTTATACGGGAGAACCAAAGACTGGAAACAAGGGGTAATTGGCCTAGAAGCCAGCCAGGATAGGGAGCGTGTTGTTGCCTAGTCTATGTATTATATGCGGAATGTTTATAGTCTATGTGTGCTGATGATGTTGGGGAGCGAGGGAGGGAGCGAGGAAGGGAGGGGGGGGAGGGGGAAGGAGGGAAGGAGAGGGGTGGGGGTCTGCAACGAAGAGGGAGGGAGGGAGACGGAACACCACAAGAAAAAAAAAGAAAGAGGGAGCGCGTGGAAGCAATAAAGTAAAAAAGAGGACCAGAGGATGGAAATCGATCCAGCAATTAAAAGCAAGAGAGCAAAGAATCAGCGGAACGAGTGGACGAGAGGACAAGGCGGGGGGTGGTGACACACGGACCCATATCACGGTGCATCGTACGCGGCGGATGGACGCCTTTCATTCTTGTTGTTGTTTGAAATCCAGGAGTCGGGAGTGTTTGAGCAGAAGGAAAGGTACAACCTGGTTGTTGTGTTACTGCAGGAAGAAAAAGGAAAAAAGGGGGAAGGGCTTTGTACAAGCTGGTAAACAGCGGGCGAGAGCCGGTCAGGAGCAATTAGAAGCATAGGAAGAGGAACCAAAATGTAAATGAGAGAAAGGAGAGACTAATTAAATCGAAAGCGAGCCATCGAAAGAAGATCCATGGCCCCGTTCATGACACAAGTCTTCTTTCTAGATTTATCTTGCAGTCGTATTTTTCTAGCTCAGCACTCATCGCTCCTAGCCCGAGCAGCTCCTGTTTGCGAAAGCCAGATTCCTAAAGATGGATGCGAGCAACAAAAAGGGGCAGACCGAACAACGCCGTCGTAGTGCTGGGAATCGGGAAGCCCTCTGTGCAACTCTCGACGGTGCCTCTGAGCTGCGCCCTTTGACCATTGCAAATTCACTCTCTGCTTTCCTCTTATCCATGCGGACAAGACTGGTCTATATATCATCCGCTTTTTGTGCGCCCAATGTTACCAATGAGTACTGCAAGAACTAAATGCGCTGTGCTGTATTTTGGATCAACAATTCTACGTAGTGTGAGGTAATGCGGGAGAACTTGATACAAGGGCCTGTCGGCCTAGATGGAGGATATAGTTGTGTCATGTGTGTGCCAAAATAGGGGATCCTCTCGTACCTCCAGCTACAACAGACATTAGAAATGGACGGGAGTTAGACAGGATAACAGTATGACTAGCAAGCCGGCATTTAGGTTCCCGTAGTGCAATACAAAGGCACCTAGCCAGCAAGCTCCAAACATACGCAGGGGGGATGACAGAAGCAAGCAAAGACGACATAGATGCACGGAAACTCTGGTTGAGAGCCGTATATTGCTAATACGCCCCTGAGGCGTGTCGTTCGTTACCTTTTTTTTCTCGATGCGGTTTGGATGTTCATTCCGCAGCTCAACATGCACAGCCTTTGGGCTTTTGCAACAGATTGAACAAATAAAAGGTACTATCCTTGAGGAGCAGCAGAAATAGCGGCCCAGTAGCCGGGCCTAGTTTATCGCTCTCTATTGTTACTATGTCACAGGCTTACAAGACCGAGCATAGAAAGGGGAATGAGGAAGAGAGAGGCGGTGACACGACGGGCGCCTTGACCAAGGAGAATTTGCATGAACGCACGGTGCACTGAGCACGGGCAAAACACGAGGGACTGAAAACAGATCGATCGTTGCTCCTAGCGACTGGATTGGATTCGTACTGCACCCTTTCATAGTGTTTATGTTCATGATTAGGGTTCAAACTATGCATTTACAGACATGGGGACAAATAAATTCAGCTCAAGGGTTTATTAGGTTGAGGTAAAGAAATAAAAAATGAGCAAGCGTAGGGGCTCCTGTGCGCAGATAGGAGGAGAGCGGGCGCAATGGAGTAGACGCTTCAGGATTGAGAATTAAGAAGACGAACAAGGCAATCAAAAGAAGGGGGATGGAACATCGATCGCATTGTGTTCCTTACATGATGTCAATTAACTGCTCTCATAATTGAGGACATGACTGGCGTATCGCCCTGCACTTGAGCTCTTTCGGGCCAAGCGACAACATCGCACAATTCGACTCAGCGGTTCATTTTTGCAAAAATGAGAATTTAGTATACTCTTCTTGGTGGTCCTGAAGACAGTAGAAGAAAGAACATAATAACCACGCTAAAGAAAAGGGATCAACCTTCCTTCATTCTGGTGCGTGGTAGAATTGCACAATAGGGGACGAAAAGAGAAAAAGAGCAGAAAAAAGAGAACATCACTGACCTCCTCCTCATTTTTCCATTGCTCTTGTATCCGCGGCTCGTTTTCAGGCTGACAGAACCCCTCCGCATTGGGCCCACAAGTGTTTCATGACTTTCGCGACCTATTTTTTTTTTTTCAAGGGACCTTTTCCAGTTCACATTTTTGCCCCTGAAAAAGTACTTTTCCGCCTAGCGAAAGAGAGTGGATTACCATCAACAGCATTAACCCATTGGCACGCTATCAAAAGCCGTTTGATCAAGGCAGTATAAGATGCCAGGGTGGAGCGAGATGTCATTATCGAGCAGCTTGAAGAAGATCAATTATCAAGGTCGAGGGCCGATTTCGAGAACCTGAAGTATCGCCCGGAAATGATGTTGGACATGAGCTTGGGCCTGAGGATGACGCAACTGGAGATGAAGTTCGATATTCGCGATTCTTTCGTGGGAGGTTAGGCCGTTCGGCAAGACGACAATGAGGTTGAAGTGGCAGAAAACGAATGGGGTTCCGACGGCAAGCAGTCTGATTCAAGTTACTCCTCTGACTCTGATTCAAGTTCCTCCTCTGACTCTGATTCAAGCTTTTCCTCTGAGTCTGATGAATATGATCAATTTGATAGAGACTTGGATGGCGATAATGGGGGGCTGTCCCATGTTGATTCGAGCGAGACGTTTGCGGTGAAGACTGGCGATGCAATGGACGGGAAAGCAGCCCCTTGCTCGGAAGTCAGCTCTCGCCGATCAGAAAAAGAGTGCGCCACGGTATCTTGGACAGCGACAGCGACGGATCGCTTGACTCTACCGGCGGTATGGGATTGATTGTGGCGCCTATAGAAAAATCAATGAAAGGGAAAGCAACCTTTGGTATTGAAGAGAGTCCTTGTCAGTCAAGAAAAAGCATCCGTGGAAAGTTGTAGATTCAACTCTTTCGGAACGCTGCTTCAAATGTGCTCGGTGTGACTGATGCTGACCTATCTCAGCTCCGGCATTCCCTGCTCGAACAGTCGTCGCGCAAAGAACGCGTGTTGCCAGGTCATATATATACCCACCCTTTGCTGATGCATGTACTATCCAAAACCAAGATAGACCGACGACAGCGGAGGCAGACAGAGCTCCTTCAAGCCGGTACACAGACAGGGACGCCGAAAGACCCTCTCAAGCAACTCTTCCTCTGGGATAAAGGAAGGACAATACAGCTTTAAGAAGTAAAGTCAAGGAAAGCTTAGGGTTGTATTCGTTACTAGATGGGGAATAAATCAGATACACAACTATGGATCTCTATTTGTCTTTGTATAACGATCACACGCGTTGCCAAGGGTGGTCCGATCGCTTGCCTAGGGTCGACCGATCTGGTCGTGGTACGCGACAACAGCTCAACCGGCAGTCCACGCCCACAGATAAACAAGGTGCTTACGGAGGATACCAGCCATACCACAACCGACGCTTTGAGCAGTGAGGAGGAGGGACTGTGACCCAAGAGCGCCGACGCGGTGCATACATTCAACTTGCTTCCCAAATCTTCAAATACCTTCATAAGAATCCCCATTCCCAACAATAGTTCCTTTTTGCTTCATCACATCGCATCAGTGCTTCGAATCAACATGGTCGTATACAGTTTGCCAAGTCCACTCTCTACAATAGGCATCTTCCACCACATTGACTCATTGCATTCAATATCAGAGTGCTTGATTTTAACTGCGTTGCAACACCTTACCGACATCATGGTAGCGGAGGCAGTAGTCTCGACAGAGTTCAAAAGCCCTTTTACAGTAGCAGCATACAAACCAGGACCTAGACTCTGGAAGCCGAGACCATGAGAACAGAGCTCAGTCATAGAGTGTCCCGACTATAACAGGTGTTATCAGGCATTCAAGGCCCAGCGGGAGGTGATGGCTGTAAATCTTTTGGTATCTCATCATCATTCTACTACCCTGATGATTAACAAATAGGTTGGTGACAACTCGTACCAGCGCGACAAAAGCCATCTGCCCAATCCTCGATCGCAAGAAATTTTCTCGGGACAAGCCAAAGAGCACGTTGTTGACCGAAAAGAAAGCCGAGACGACGAAGGACGCCTTTTTGAACGCGAGTAGGCTTCCCAGAAGCGTATTGAAGGGTACAGAGGAAGTCCTTAGGTTGGACTTCGGCCTGCCCCCTCGATTTGCTGAAGCAGACCTTAGGGCCCACCTCGATCGATCCAACAATTTGGGGCGGTGGCGCGGGATCGTGCAGTTGGAGTTTGAGGTTGTCTGGGAAGAGCGCAAGGTAGACGAGGAGTCGATACAGCAAGCAACTCATTCCGGATTGGACGAGGAAGCCGATGTGGACTCGGATATGGAGAATATAAGAACGTGCACCACAACCCTCTCCAACATCATCAGGCCGGATTTATGGGAACTTGAAACCAGCAGGATTCTCAGCATTCTCAAGGGATAAAGATCCATTATTTCAGATGTCATGGTAGAGTTGTCGTTGTTAGCCTAAAAGGCATTGCTTGTGGTAAGTCGAATTTTTCCTGAAAACTGCCCCTGACATGTGCTGATATAACTTGACTCCATTTCATCAGCAACAACCACGGAGCCGTCGATCAAGCTGTCGATAATCGTGAATTCTGTACCAATTTGCCAAGGCTTGATTTGCGAAACTGTCGCAGAAAGAATGCCAGTGATGTTAATGGCATAGTCCACGCAGCGGAATATGACGATGATCATAAGGCTCGGTAAGCCCTGCATAGCTCGTGCTAAAAGTACTTCAGCAAAAAATAGGAACATCCCACATACTTTGCCTATTTGATCCCACCACCAAAGAGCGGATAGGTGGGTGAGCAAAGGATGCGGGTGATAGATGGTGGGAGTCCATACTCGAATGCGGCTCAGGGAATGATAGCCCTTATGGAGCAGCTGTACCTTATCTTCGAGGGCTTGCTATGAGCGGTTTGAGCCTATGCTGCGCGTCCTTGCCTTCTTTTTGCGACCGGGCATCATAAATAACAATCTCCATCCAGGACCACTCAAATATTATCCAGCTTCGCCCTTTTGCAGATCTCTCTTGAATACGCTCCAAGTCCTGCTTATATGCTGCTTCTTGCTCCAGTTGACTGATAATAGGTTCTTCCTCAGAATAGCAACCCCTTATTTCCACGTCTTTCTCCTGGTCCCATTCCACCCTCGTCTGACTCATCGTGTATGGAATCGGAAAGCGAGGCCCTTGAGGGCTGAATTGATACTGCTTAGGATTCGAATATTGTAGATGACGCGGCCGGAGCCTGGGTCCGTCTACAATTCTTGGTATAAGGCCTCGGAAAAGGAGGAACAATGTCTTGGGCATAGAGGCATTGTTGACTGCGGAATCGACTTCGCTCTCCGTGTTACAGGGAGCAGGACATAGCGGGGCAAAGAAGAAGAAGTAGGTAATGCTATGTGGGACTCTACTAAAAAAAGTCCGAGGTTTTCCACATGCACAACGTACTTTCACAATCATTTTGAAATGTAATCGCAACGCGCTGGTAAAACTAGGTTCGAGTGTACGAAGAATCTTGCTGTGCTAATGTAGAAGTCAAGAGAAGATTAGCCCTTCTGTAGGCAACGAAAGAATAAAAGGCTGATCCACATGGAAAGAATGGAGCTCACAGAGTCGGGCGGTTCACTCATTATCTTTGTTTTCGTTGTGTTCCATCAAGTGCAGTGTTTATGGCTCAACTCTACTACGGTCTATGCCGCACTTCTGTTTCATTCTATTAACAGTCTACTTGGGCCCAAGACGGGGAGGTAGGGACATATAGCATAGGTACATTATGACTAGGTCCAGGACCCCTCTTACGACGTCCAGAACATCAACGTGACAAGGATGATACCTGCAACAGTCGCCATGGCCAGCAAGATCCTCTCCCTGATTCCAAGTCTTGTGTTACTACCGTTAAGCGAATCCGTTCACTTGGCCAGGGTCCTCAATGATCACGCCGAAGCATCGCCACCATTATTTCCGCCACTAGTTCCTCTGATAATATTGTTCGCGCCACTAGGACTAGCAAGTGCTGCGCTTCCGTCTGTAATATCACAGATGCCCCTCGCTGGTAGCTCTGCTAAATGCGAAGCCAAAGAACTTGTAAACGACGGCTCAGTCGTTTATTCAAAAAAGACTGGAATGCCTCTACTATATACCGAATGACAACACTCGTACTCTACAATCGCTTGGGCAGCACAATTGATGCCAAATACAGCGCGGTTCTGGACAGTGGCTGAAACTACAGCGGATACGCTTCTAGGAACAAGTAGGCTGACTGCGCCTTTACTTGAAAAATTGGCATACATCATGTTTGTTGTGCCTGAATGATGCCCCATGGTGCCCTTTGGTCGATCCAGCGGAGGATGTTCCGAATATATGCGATAAAACGGACAAAGTTCTTTCCGCGGGCTAGCGCCGTGCGTCGTTGCAGGTGGGCGCATAGGGTCGATGGTTTGAGAGAGAAGGAGCGCGGCTAGGATCACAAAATAACACACTGAGGATAAGAATGTTGTATTTTGTTTGCTGGGCCTCTCACAATCACATCCTCGCCATCTCTACTCCAAACTCCATTCTTTCCTAAACTCCCCAAACTTTCATTCATTCATCTCTCACCGCCTTCTACCTTCTCCTCTTGAATTCGCTTACGACTAACTGTCATTCAAAGTTCTTCTTAACTCGCACAGACGCACAACATGGCGTCTAATCTCACCGTCTTTCTCGGAGGAGGAAAGAAGCAGCTCGTTAAGACCACGCCGACCATGATTCTCCGGCAGGTCGTGAATACCGTTTGCGAGAAGCAGGGCTATGGCGACCCTGAGAACTATGGACTCAAGTATGAACTCGCACCTCTTGCGTCTCGTTAGACCTGTTGCAATCGCCACTGACAACTCGCACATTGTCACTGCTGGTGCTAAAACATCCTTAGGAGCGGTAAAAACTTCCTGGATCTTTCTCTTTCTATCCGATACGCCAATATTGCCCCTGGGGCAAAGCTGGAGCTCGCGAAAGTGCCAAAAGACAAGTCAGGTAAATAAGACTCAGCAGAGTGTGATTTTTTTTTTCTGGTTTGTTCTATTGCATGAGGGGCTCACTTGTCAAACCAAGACAGGTCATGCCTGGTCCGCGTCTGACTGTTGGTGTGGCTCTGTATTTACTTGCCACCTCGCCTTATTTTTTATTTTTTTGGTGGTGGCGAAAGATGCTTGGGGACTATGTATATCCATCGTATGCTGATCTGGGTATCTTTCCTTGATTATACTTAGCGCCGACACATGTGGATCTTGCCCTGCAGCTAGAAGACGGCGGAAGGATGGTTCAGTCATTTGCTATCACAAGCACACTCTGGGATGTGCTTCTTGGATTCGAAAAGGCGTCAAACGGGTACGAACTGATCTTGTAGTGAATATCCGAGATGACTGAGACTTCTTGGGAACTTGACAAGCGCAGGTGCCTCTCCAAAGAAAGTTGGTCTGACTTTGCATATTTTCTTTTTCATATTCCGCATCCCGCATCCCGCATCCCGCTTGCCCCAGATCCCTTAACCTGACGCGGCGTACTGCAGTGCCCCAGTCGACAACAAAGAACATCTTTTCCCTCCAGCGAATCAAGAAGGCTGTTAAACCTGCCACAGAGGTTTATCTCCTGCCTGTCGTTATTCTCTTGGAGCGGGAGGTAAGGGACGCGCCAACGCTCTGCTACACGATTTGCTGGGGACATCCCAGAAGGAAACGGAAACTTATTGCCTCTTTATTTTTATTACCTACAGTATGTGTCAATCCAAACACTCAAGGCGACTACCTTGCAGCTCGCCGGTCTACTGAAAGGAAACGCCGTATTCCGTGTCATGATGCGATATACCGATGCAGGAATTGCAGATTTTATGGAAGAAATCGAGCGCGAGAATTCTCGACCTGCAACAGACAATGGTGAAACTCCTTCCTCAGAGCAGGCGTCTACATCTGGATCAGCCACTATCTCAGTGCCATCCTCTGCTGAGAGTGTAGCTCCAACACCTCTTGCAGCTCCAATGACCACCTCTCCTCCTCAGTCCTCCGCTCCACACCCCAGCAGTCCGTTAAAGACAACACCCTCTCGGCAATTCACAACCGACAAAACTGCAGGGGAGAAGGACTTCATGCAGGCAAAAGAAGCCTTCCATAGTGGCTCAGCCTCTGACCTTGGTATTAACCCACAGGGTGCTGGAACCCCTTTGCCAGGAGCACGTTCTGGTAGTATCGACCTCAACAATCGGGAGGTTAATATCGTGACACCGGCGCCAGGCACCAGTGGCAACATTGATATTCAGCGCCAATCACCAGTCCAGAACATGAACACGGTTATGATCGAGGCAACCCAGGAGATCCGCCAACTTCAGGAGCAACAGACACAAGCAGCTCTGACCGATCGTGTCAAGCGACTTTCAAAGGCATCAGATAGCTCTGACAGGGAGCGATTTGTGCGCAGCTTGCCACCTGGAGCGTTCACGGAAGAACCAGTCAGTGAAATGGATGTGGACTCTCCTTTTCCCCGATCTGGATCTCCAGGATCGATCCCTCAGACCCAGCAGGATGTTGTCCGACAAATTGCCCACCGCGTCAGTTTACAGTTGAAGGAAGCGCAGCAGCGAGGCAACTCTACTCTGGACTACCACTCATTGATTGCACAGGAAGTCGAGAGGGAGCAGAAAGCTGGCGTGTTGCCGACCACGCCCACTGGCAGCCGGAACAACTCTATGTACACGAGCAAAGCGGAAGATGAACAGTCCCCTCGCCTCATTGCCACGCCCGCACAGTCTATGTCGGCGACAATGGTTGAGGAAGCCATTGATCGCAATATCAAGGTTTTCAGGCCGCCCGCTGATAATGCCACGCCTCTCTCCAACCAAAGTAAGTTCTCTCTTGCGGACAAACCACCATTAAGCAAATGCATCTTATGAGTCGTTAGATTAATCTAATTTATTATTGGTTGCATCATACTAGTTGATCTGCCTGACGACTTTTATACACTGACATCCCAGGATGTGATGAGGTTGATGAACGGGCAGAAAGCAAGACGGGAGGAGGAGGAGAATCGGGGATTCAAGACAGCCGCAGTCAGGGCAGAAGAAGAAAAGGCCAGGGAACGTCGTTACCCAAAGACGATCATTCGCATCCGTTTTCCAGACAGGATCCAGCTCCAGGCGACATTCCGTAGTCAAGAGACAATTGGTGATCTTCGGAAATGGGTCGCAGGTGCCTGTGTTGGCCAGGGCGAGAAGTTTGATCTATGTAAGTTGCTACATCTTGGGACGTACGGGCACAAAGGAGAGGAGGGGATTGATCCCATGCTGATATATTTTTTTTCTTGGTCTGTTCAATGCCTTTTAGACACTACTCCGCCTAAGAAAGTCCTTTCAGATAACAAGCAGACGTTGTACCAGGCAGGACTGGCCCCTCAGAGCATCGTGTACTTCACATGGGCAGACTCAAAGCTGAACCAAAATTCGCCGTTCCTCAATGGCGAGTACTTGATGATGATGGAGGATCTGCCTATCCCTGGTCAAGAGCCAAAGGAGACCAAGCCAGAGGAGCCGTCGACTTCGTCAGCATCTGGCGAAGGGCAGGCGTTGAACCACAGTGGAACAATCCCATTACTGACCAAGGAGGACCGCCGGATGAGTGCACGTATGAGCGCGGATAAGCCTGGGAACGGAAGCAGCGGAGGACTGCCCAAGTGGATGAAGTTATCCAAGAAGTGATTGACCATAGTCTACTGCATGCCAAATACATATAAAAAATAAAAAAAAGACTGGCCAATCGACGCGTCGCGAGCAGAAACCCGAATTTTTGTTTACACTTTCACTTTCCTGTGTGTGATTGTGGTCGCGGTTGTGGTCGCGCACCAGCAGCCATGAGCGTGCCTGAAGAGTCGCCTCGAATCGCCACCATTTTTATTCTTTTTTTCATTCTTTTGTGAACTAAGAAAGGACCTTTCATCATCAGCCTCCGCCTCCCTTTTTTCCTTATTCTCTGTACTCATCGCTTCCCAACCCTCGCCTTGCTGCCTCTTTGCTATCCTCTGTCATCCTATCCTACTCACCCGATCCTCGTTCACGGTCCGCTTCTGAAACCCACCACACCACCGCCATGAGTATCGTCAGCATCACCCAAGTCCAGGTCCTTGACAACCCAACCCACTTTGCCAACCCTTACCAATTTGAAATCACATTCGAGTGCATCGCCCCCCTTGCCGCCGGTAATGATTGATCGTCTTTTTTGTCCTTCTTCTGAATATAATCGCGTCTTAGCGGTGCCTTTGTTACAACAACGACAACAACACATTACGCGACGGAAGGACTAACACGACCCTGCAACTGTCATAGATCTCGAATGGAAGATCATTTATGTGGGTTCAGCCAACAGCAATGCACACGATCAGGTCCTTGAATCTATCATGGTGGGGCCTGTTCCTGTCGGTGTCAACAAGTTTGTGTTCCAGGTACGCCTGCCAAAGCAGCGCTGCTAAACTGCTGAGACAAAGAGCTAAAAGAGCAGCTGTCTCATTTCCTTTTGTTACTTTGCCACATAAGCTTTGACACTCACCGTGCATTTTCTTATTGCTTCTTGTTGTAGGCGGACGCACCCAAGCCAGAGTTGATTCCCCATAACGATATCGTGGGCGTAACTGTGATCCTGATCACTTGCTCGTACCAGGACAAGGAATTTGTCCGGATCGGATATTATGTCAATAATGATTACTTGGACGAGGAGCTGCGCGAGAACCCACCAGAGCAGATTGCCTACGACAAGTTGTACCGATCGATTCTGGCGGAGAAGCCCAGGGTTACTCGGTTTCCCATCAACTGGTAATGCGCATGTTTTGCCTTGTCTCTGGCGGCTTTTTTTTTTTTTTTTTTTTTTTTGTCTTCATGTGCTGTCTCTAACCAGAATTATAATGTATGAAAAATATAGGGATAATCCAATGGAGGAGGAGCAGCCTCCACTGCAGACAGAAGAGCAGGTCCAACAGATGGAGGCAGCCTCGAAAGCACAAATGATGGAGGGTGGCGATTGGGAGGATATGGAGGCGTAAAATGCGGACTATTGTCACTGCTGACGAATACCAACTTGGCTTGATTGATGATTGCGGGACAAAACCAGTGGACTCCTAGGTGTCATTGGAACAACGATCGTAGCGCCTAGCTAGGTAATAAACAAAAGAAAAAAAAGCACCAAGCATGGAGTGAGAAAGGACACTGTCTTCGACTGTACGCATGTCGGCTTTAAATAACGGGGTAGTTTATTGTCGATGGATATGAAGGGAGGGAATCAGGAAAGCAAGAGAAAGGATGGGATCTCTTCCTCAACGCTTCAAGTGGGATCTTCTGCTAAATGGCCATGGCTGTGGCAAAGAGAGCAAGGACAGTGGTCAAGGCACCGACCACAATACTGGTGCCAACGTTGCCGCCGTTTCCACCGCCACCGATTTTCATGGTTGAGCAGACCAAGGCACGGTCAGGGATGGGCTTGTTCAAGTCCGTGCCGGCACAATCGGCGCTGGTCATGGTCCGACGGGTCTCATTCTTGGCAGCATTACGGATCCAGCTGTGGTGAACATCTGCAGGAAGAGCATCAGGATGGACCGCGCGGACGATATCCTGGAGGACGGCATTGTTCATGACCACAGCGCCTGAGAACCAATCACGGCCGTCGTTAGAGTTGACAATGCCATCCTCGCACAAGACAGCCTGATCCTTGAGGAACCCGTAGTCGTCGTTGGAGGTAAGCCTGTAATTCTGGAGGAAGGTGGCCATGTCGTAACAGGCGGCCATGAATTCGTCAATGTTAATATCGACGTCCTTGAACGCGGCCAGGAAGTCAACGTTGTTAGAGAAAGCACTGACGGTAGTGTCGTTGCAGAAGGTGGCGCCGGCGTCGGTGGAGAGAATTTGCTTGCAGGCAGCACCGGAGATGGTCCAGGAGGCGGTATTGTTGTTGTAGGCCGAAGGGGCGACGTAGGATGTCCAGGCAATGATGGGCTTGGTGGACTTGGCACTCGCGGCGCTCTTGAAGCAGGTGTAATTGTTGTTAATGGTCGCTGTCAGGTTCTGGGCAGGCTCTTCGAGGTTGAAGAAGGTCGAGTAGAACTCGAGCCACTCGGCGCGCTATAGAAAAGCGACACAAACTAATGGTATGCCGAACTCTCAAAACGAATAACTGTTTTCTATGCACACAGCCAATCTCGACAAGACAGCTATTTCACTTTTTTCTCTGGGCATGTTTTGTACGGATCAGGTAGCAAAAACATACTTTGAAGGGACCTGGGTCCGAAACTTCTGAGGTGATGATAGCCTTGTTCACGGTGCCAGACTCCGATCCCAAGGTGCTAAAGACTACATCCACCTCCTGAAACTGAGACGCGCGGAGCGTCTGGTTCTTGCCCTCAATCACCACAATAAACTTGTGCTCCAGATCATACTAAACGCAAGGTGAGCTGACCAAGGCTTTTGTGTCGACGGCCTTGAGGAGTCGAGCGTTTGCTTAACATCTCGATGGATACCACGGCGGTCGCGGCGATCGAGGCTGCATTCTTGACGGGAACTTGAATAAAAACGGTGGTGTTGCCAAAGAGCGAGAGATTGGGTGCTGGGGTGCCGCATTGGGTCAGGACGTACTCCTTGTTGGTAGTGGTGGCGGTGTTAGTTACGACCTTGTAGTTCTTTTCGTAACGGACTTTGAACAAGGCCGCGTTGCCAATTACTTTTTAATATATTTTTTTTTTGTTTTGGAGATGAATGAGAATCTACTTGTATGCATGCAAATATTCCCACGTCCCTTGATCGTGTGCGCTACAGCCATTATTCTCTCCGTGTTCAATCTGTCATTCAGGGCGTTGTCTTTCCCCATCCCAAGATAAAAAAAATGAGCGTAGTTGGAAGGCGCCCTGAAACACCGGGAGGAAGGAACGGATCTCGAAAAAAAAAAAAGTATGAAAAATCCTACTTTTATTTTTCGCGGATCTCATCCTCCGCCTTCCTTCTCATGCCGCTCCATGGTAAGTTTCTACTTGCATCTGAATATCAGAACCAAGTGTCAAGAGGAGCAACGAAAGGAGGAGTACTGCGGCCTCAACGTGGCACCATTGATCTGCAATGGCGTGGAGTAAAAATTGCGGAAGGGGGACTGGAAAATGACGGTTGCATTGGGATTAGGATACTCACCAGTTACCTTGCTGGGGAAATAGTCAGTATCGGAATCGTAGTTGGTGACACAATCATTTTGTCCGATGGGGCCCTGGCCCTGTGAGGCAGTAGGCGAGGCCAGGAACGGGGTAGCCAAGAACTACAAGGCGCGAGAAAGACTCTGGACTGCCATTGCCAGAATACCTGACCTGAAGGAAAGATGTCAAGACAAAAACGAAAGGAGAAAGGGAGAGAGAAAAAAAGCTAAAGCAATTGAATTCCCGGTAATCGGGAATACGGCGTCTTATAGTACGCGCCAATTGGCATCATCCTGATCCACATTGTCTTGCCAGCAATGTTTTAAGGGCAACAGTTGCGCATATATATAATTTGAAATAATTTATGATAAGATGGATGATCTATGAAAAATGAATGCGTGCATGAAGAATAGTGTAGAATGATAGGCAAAGTGTACTAGTAAAAGCCTGCCTGCCCTTTTATTCCAGCTCAATTGTTGCTGGGGGCTTGGACGAGACATCGTAGACAACGCGGTTGACGCCCTCAACCTCATTGCAGATACGCGACGAAATCCTCTTGAGAACATCGTATGGGAAGGGGAACCAGTCAGCAGTCATGAAGTCAGAGGTTTCGACAGCACGCAAGCAGATCATCTGCTCATATGTGCGCTTGTCTCCCTTGACACCGACGGCCTTGACGGGCAACAAGGCAGCATAGGCCTGAGCAATTTGACGGTAAAGACCAGCCTTCTTGATCTCCTCGATGTAGATGTAATCGGCTTTGCGGGCAATAGCGACCTGCTCCCTGGTAACCTCGCCGAGAATACGGATGGCAATACCAGGGCCAGGGAAGGGGTGGCGCCAGACAAGGTCATCATCCATGCCCAAAAGCCTTCCCAATTCACGGACCTCATCCTTGAAGAGCTCGCGGAGGGGCTCGATCAACTTCAACTTCATGTTCTCCTTCAAACCACCGACATTGTGGTGGGTCTTAATGGTGGCACTGGGTCCCTTGAATGAGATGGACTCGATCACATCGGGATAGAGGGTTCCCTGGAGCAAGAACTCGATTGGTGGAGTACCGGAGGCAGCGCAAGCATCATCAATGGCCTTGGCCTCCTCCTCAAAAACATCGATGAAGGTGTTACCGATGATCCTGCGCTTCTGCTCGGGGTCAGTCTTTCCGGCAAGGTTGTTCAGGAAACGGTCCGAGGCGTCAGCGATCTTCAAGTTGATGCCCATCTTGTCGACAAGCATCTTCTTGGCCTGCTCGCACTCGTTGTGACGCATGACTCCGTTGTCGACCAAGATTCCGTGGAAGCGATCACCAATGGCCATGTGCATCAACTTGGCAGCGACTGAGGAATCGACACCACCGCTGACGGCACCGATGACTTGACCCTTCTCTCCCACGATCGCACGGATGCGATCGACCTCCTTCCCAATGAACTCGGACATAGTCCACTTTTGCTCGGCCTTGCAGATCTTGACGACAAAGTTCTTGATGATCTGCTTTCCATCAACAGAGTGGGTGACCTCAGGGTGGAACTGAATACCGAACAGAGGCTTCTCATTGTGACGGACGGCGGCGAAGGGAGCAGTGTTGGTGGTGGCAATAACACTGAACCCCTCAGCGATAGCAGTGACCTGGTCACCGTGGGACATCCAGACCATGGACTCGCTGCTCAACTCCTCGAACAACATGGATGACTGAGCATCAGCGGCACCGGCGGGCAAGATGGAGAGGGTAGCGGGTCCGTACTCGCGGTGATCGCAGGGATCGACCTTGCCTCCGAAGTAGTTAGTCATTTCCTATAGGACGGCGCAATTATAAAGAATGTTAGATCCAATGGTCCTGGTGTACTTTCATAAAGCATAAGCCAACGAGCTTAAAAGTCTCGGCAGCATTCATTTACCTGGAGACCGTAGCAGATCCCGAGGACGGGGACACCTAACTCGAAGACACCGGGGTCGACACGAGGGGCATCATGGTCGTAGACAGAGTAAGGGCTTCCGGAGAGGATAATACCTACAAAATGTAAGGCCGCCCATGAATTAAAAGTGCATGAGTACATGGTGTCTTCATTGATGATATTCACTAATGAGGACCGTGAGAATGGCAATAAGGCCTTACCCTTGGGCTTCCAGGTCAGCTCCGAGATCTTCTGGGTGCATGGCAACAGCTCGCAGTAGACACCGAACTCGCGAATGCGGCGGGTGATCAGGTGCGAGTACTGGGAACCAAAGTCCAGAATGAGGATGGTGTCAAACATCTCGTGGACTTGAATCGTAGTCTCGGCCATGGTGCTTGTTCTTGGGAGTGTGGCAGTGGAGGAGGTGGGAAAGGAGAGGAGGGAGTTGGTGAAGGGGTGAAGAACAAAAATCAGAAAAAAAAAAAGACCCAGAAAATCGAAACCCAAGAGCCAAAGCAAGAGAAAAAGACAAAAAAAAAAATGTGCCTTTTATACACGGTTGTCATCTTTGTTTGCGTTAAGGGTGAAAGGGACTGCGTTAGATCAGGTCCAAATTGGTGGCAAAATTACACCCTCGGGACCATGAACCCATGGATTAATCACAGGACAGAAATGTGATATGGGTCTCTTTATTTCTCAAGAGCGGTAGTTTTTAGAAATTGGTATATTTTTTTGGAGCAGTATCCTGTCAAAGAATGGACAGCAGCCCGTATGTACAAATTCAACTGGGCGATGAACGACGCACTTCCATGCCAAGTGGAGATCAAGTCACCTTGACCACGATACTATGAATAAAAGAGGTACACAAACGCATTAGCAAAAGATGCATATCGACATGAATGAAAATAACATTCATTCTTAACAGATTCCATGGCAAGCATACCAGTCATGATCGGTGCCACTTGAATTCCTGGCGCGCTCCAGATCGGAAGCCGAAATACTGCACAAGTTGTCATTGACCGCTGGATCTAATGTGTCGATATCAAAAGATGAAAACCGCGTTAGCAACTAGACCATCGACATTTGTATGTAGTTCTTGAATATAGACTCTTTGCATGCATGGAGACCCGCTACCTCGATAGTAGAACATGTCCTCATTAGGATCGTAGGCCACCAGAACAACGAAATGCCCTATGGAGAAAATAAGTTCAAAAACACATACTGTCAGCAGATATCGTTACTGAATGTCAATTGATACAGGCCCTTATTGTAAGTGTATCCAATAGCTCCTTACCAATGTATCGGAATCCTTTCATCCTTTGAATAATTGATCCCAATGCTCCGGTACTGCAGCTGCAAAATGCCGATTTTTCCTGTGCAAAATGAAGCGTTGAGAATAGATGAGTCGCACAGTTACATGCACAGATAAAAAAGAGAAAAGAATGAACATAGCAACAGGAGCATACCAAACATTGCGGACACCTCAACAATCGCTGGTTCACAAGCGTGATGATTCCATAGTTCCCGCAATACAAAAACCGCTTGAAATCGTCCAGTGGAAGTGTCCTATGTTCATTTTCAGAAAGGAATGTAAACATTTGTTCAGTCATATATTTTTTGGCTCATCTCACACGACTAAGAATGGAGTCGGTGCATTTCCCCTCCCCCCTTTTTTTTTCTTTCCAATGATCTGTCCTCGTTCCCTCAGCGTTCACTTACAGTTCAATGACTCTGATGTTGGCTGCATCCGCATTGTCGAAGAGGGCGTTCACCCGCTTTTGATCGTCGTCAAATGACTATAGCAGTTCAAAGAGAAATAAGAGCGGGCAATGTTAAAATGACCATCCGTAGTTTCCAGCAGCAACTGCTAACGATATAAGAGGTTCGCCTTGGAGGATTGCAAGAGAGCATGAAAAAAGAAAAAAAAAGGGGGGGGAAGACCTATGCGAGCAAGAAATGGGCGTTCATGTGTTTCAGAGGAGCTGTGCCCTACTGACCTTGCGGTAAAACTTTTCTTTCGAATGGGCTGTATCTGCGCCGATAGTGCTTGTGTAGTATGTAAAGTCCCAGCCGTCGTCGCGACCTGGTGATAGATTCGGGACGACCTGTGGCGGCCGTTTCGAGAATTGTAACCGTGGCACACCGACTTGGTCGTTGGAGAGCTTTCGTAGTAGGTATGCCAAGTCAATCGTCCACACTGACTCAACTATACAATGCAATCAATAGGCAAGAAACAGATATTAGGAAAGTGTGCACGGGCCAAATGAGTTGTCATATGGGAAGCTGAAGCAACTGGACCGGGAAACGGATAGAGAAAGAGCAATTGAACAACTGTGAGGAAGCAGGAAAGAGTGAAATAAGGAGTGCAATCGAGTCGAGATCGAAAGGATACCTGAGCAATGCATGGTGACCTCTGCCAAGGATAGGTGCGCACCCAAGGCGTTGGCAACCATGGCGACGCATGCCAGTCCGCAGTCCCAACTGCTTTCTTGGTTTAGGTGCGGTACCGGTGTCGAGACTTGCATGTATAATGAAAGGGCGGAAGTATGACGAGACAGAGCTAGTAATAGGGCGATGCAATGGGCGTGGAATTGTTGGAGGTAGCGTATAAGTTGTGTGTGAGGTGAGAAGTGGTGAAACAAGTAGAAAAGACTTTGAGCCGGCTGTGTCCACAAAAGGGCAATATCGAGCAAGTGGCGCAGAGCAGTCTCCGTCAATCGAACAGTGCCCCCGCTCCTGGCCACACATCGTCTTTGTTGCCTTTCTTTTTCTTGTAATGTCCGCCGATACACACCCTTCTCAAAACACAGGTACCGCGGCTGTACCGACCATTCAGCGTCTGGACGAGGCTGTCGTTAACAGGATTGCTGCCGGAGAAGTAGGCCCCACATTCTCCTTCTTCACGTGGAAGCACGCAGACTAAAGCTTCTGTTCAACCATGATTAACAATAAACCAACTTTAATGATTCCAGATCATTCATCGACCAGCAAACGCCCTCAAAGAACTAATCGAAAACTCGCTCGATGCAAAGTCGACCAGCATTCAGATCTCTGTCAAGGATGGTGGCCTGAAATTGCTGCAGATCCAGGACAACGGACATGGTATCAAGGTACTTGGTTTTGTCTGCGCAGGAGACGCCACCATTTTTTGGTCTTTCTTGGGCGCAACACTTCGGACTAATTAATGCCGTGACCGTGAACGCGTTGAAATGCAGGTCGAGGATATGTCGATTGTTTGTGAGCGATTCACGACGAGCAAATTACGGAGCTTTGATGATCTATCGTCCATGTCGACATATGGCTTTCGAGGGGAGGCTCTAGCTAGTATTAGCCATGTCGCCCATGTCACCATCACCACGAAGACTAAGGACTCAAACTGTGCCTTTAAGTAAGTACCATTGCTCATCATAGGCAATTGAACTTCATACGAGTATATTCATATTAGCAATGCTACTTTCTTTTACAGGGCATCGTATTCAGATGGAGTGATTATACCTGCCAAACCAGGAGCTACTGCAGAACCCAAGCCCTGCGCCGGCAATAATGGCACCCAGATTTCGGTGCGTGCGACAAAGAGGAGAGAATGGTAGGGATGTCACACTCTGCAAACCGACACACTAATCAAGGTCGCTGAAAACGATAGGCTGAAGACCTGTTTTATAATGTCCCAACAAGACGGAAGGCACTTAAAAATCCAACCGAGGAGTACAATCGGATATTGGACATTGTCAACCGATATGCGATCCATAACGAAGGAGTGAGCTTTACTTGCCGAAAAGTATGTTGGCTGTCAAGCCAAGACTTGATGCATTGAGAATCATTGTTGAAGATATGTCGATGTTAACTCACATCTACTCCACATGATCAGATCGGCTCCAATACTCCTGACGTCCATACAACAACTGCCTCGGCTGTTCTCGACAATATTCGACAGATCTATGGCTCTTCAGTCGCTAATGAGCTATTATCCCTGGAGCAGAGCTATCCAATCTACTCATTAAAGATCAAAGGCTGGATTTCAAACGCGAACTACAGCGTGAAGAAGTTTGCTTTCCTGCTCTTCATCAACCGTAAGTAAACAGCTGGACATCGTAGGCGCTGCTTAGAGGAAGTTGAGCTGCGCTACTGGTTAAAACAGGATCTAACTATGGACACATTTCTTTTTCCTATTAGACCGATCCGTTGACTCTCCAGCAATTCGAAAGGCAATTGAGTCGGTCTATGCAGGATATCTTCCAAAAAATACACATCCGTGGGTATACCTGTCGTTGGAGATGGATTCAAAGAATGTAGACGTCAATGTCCATCCTACCAAGCGCGAGGTAAGGCTCATTTGAATCATATACGCAATCGGCCTTCCGTCCTCAGTATACATACTTACAAGAACTATTGGTATCTTAGGTGCATTTTATCAATGAGGAGGAAATCATCGCAAAGATCTGCGATGCTATTCAGGATCGACTCGGCGATGCCAATGTTTCTCGCAACTTTCTGACCCAAACATTGCTGCCACAAGTAAGCGCGAAGAGTCGCACCGAAGAGACATCATCTAAAAAGACAGGTAACATCTTGATTGCACAAAGTCGGATCAAATTCTTTTAAGAGAGATTTGATAATATAACGTATTCTCCTGCGAATAGCCCCGAAGATATACGAATATGATCAAGTGCGGACGGACAGTCGGGCTCAGACATTGGATTCGTTTTTGATCACCAGTCCACCATATTCTATCGTCAGCTCTTCTACGCGCAAGCGCGTGAAGGTCGGGGTGGAAAGAATGGAGTGCCCCGAGGGCGATGGCGACCAGGAGATGGAAGGAGCAAGTGACCACGATGTTCGACCACAAGGCAAAAGAACTGCTTTCGACGAGAGTGATGACGATACGAGTGGTCCGGCTTCCACGAAAAGTCCAGGATCGCTACTGACAAAGATTGACCAATTCAAGAGCAATTCTTCAGGAAAGTCAGGAAGTTCTGGAGGGTCACATGGTCGGATGGTCAGTCCAGCCAATGGTTCAGGTTCACTGGAGCAAGGCAGCCTATCCAGTACGACTGCGAGGTCAAAGAAACCACGTATCGAGGTGAAGCTGACCAGTATCCTTCAGCTACGAGATGAAATCAGGAAACAGGGGCACCCAATTTTGACACCAATATTTGCGAATCATACTTTTGTCGGGATCCTGGACAACCAGCGAGGACTGATTCAGAACGAACTCGCGCTGTATCTGATCAATTATGAAGCAGTCAGTGAGGAGCTCTTTTATCAGATCTGCCTGCGGGACTTTTCAAACTTTGGATTCATTCGTCTTTCGACACCGGCGCCGATCAAGGATATGGTGTTGATGGCTCTTGATGATGAGCAGGAGTTGATGGAAAAGAGTGAATGGCCAGAGGAGCTCAAACCCAAAGAGGAGATCGCAGAGGTATTCTTGACTACTCGATCATTTTAATCGTTTGGATGATAATACGGGTATATTAACCACATATTCCGCTACTATTTACAGACAGTTAGGAGTACGCTTGTTAGTCGAAAGGAAATGCTGCGCGAGTACTTTTCAATATGTATCACCGATACAGGAGAATTGTCTGCGATCCCGATGATGATCAAGGGATATATTCCTAACCTTGAAAAACTCCCAGATTTTCTTTGGCGACTCGGCTCAGAGGTAAAGGGATTATCCTAACCAGTTAATTTTTTTTATCCGCACTCGTTTTGCTAACCATATCTTAATGCAGGTTGCTAACACTTTTTTCTCCTTGACATACACATCTAATAATCCCAATAGATCAATTGGGCCGCAGAAAAATCATGCTTCCAGACGCTGTCGAGGGAGATTGCCATATTCTACAGCACTCAGCCGGAAAGAGTCGAGGATCCTCTTGAAGAAGTGGACAGCGAAGGTGAAAACATGGATGGTAACAGGAAATCGTTGCAGGAGCTTCAGGATGCGCAGTTCCAGCACATGGTGTCGACACTCATTTTCCCTGCGTTCAAGAAACAGTTCATTCCACCAAAAGCACTGATTGAAAAGTCTGGGGTGGTAGTTCAGGTCGCCCAGGTCAAGGACCTCTACAAGGTCTTTGAACGATGCTAAGAATAAAACGACCACACATCCTTTATTCTTTCAGTATTACACGCGATGTATCAGGTTACATGTCTAAAGTCTAGCTTTGACCTCAGTGGGGCCATGGATGTATTTACGCACGCTCATGCCTTTCGTAGTCTTTGTGATATGGAGGCGGTGTTTATGTCCCTTCTTGATGTGCTCGGAATGCTCCTCGTCGCCTGGGAGAATACCCGTCAGATGCAGCCCCAGTTCATCCTGCGACTCCAGCTTGAACTCTGGCATGATCGTGAGGATCTCCCGCTCCTTAAAATGGTCCAGCAGGTCCTCGTGTCGCTTGACGGGTAACAGATGTGCGATCGACACAAATTGCGGAGGCATGAAGATCTGGATTTGAGAGGCGCGATAGGCCTCCATGGCCTCCTCAGGCGTGAACCAATCCAGTCGCGTGGTCTCCTTTCCGTCCGCAAAAACACGCTCATCCGAGAAGGAGTCTCTGGACCAGGGAAGGACCGTAAGATAGAACTGTGTACGGAAGCGCTTTGGTTCCACGGGTGGGGTGATCCAGGAGGAATAATGACACAGGCGGTCGACGGCGGGCTTGAGCTTGTGAGACATGCACATGTTGTAGAATTCCTCAGCATTGTTGTGGACGCGATCGCGCCAGATCCGGATCTCGTCGTTCGAGAGTTCCGTTGGTGGATCGCTGACGAGCACGCCAGATT